ACCCACCGCACACACACACACACACACACACACACACACACACACACACACACACACACACACATATGTCCACCCGCCTGCAAGAGGCCATCGAGGCTGCAGGCCGCAGCGGGACGGGCAGGGGCGCACACCTGGCGGTGCCGAGCCCGCGCGGGCGGCGGGCACCAGGTGGTATCGGAGGCGCGGGCGGGAATGGCGCGGGCATGAGCTCGGGAGGCGCAGGCGAGGGCGGAGCCGGGAGTGGTGCCATGCTGTCGGCGGAAGAGCGCAAGGCGCTGCTGGCAGCCAAGGAAAAGGCGGTGGCGAGCTACGGCAAGCTCCGTAAGGTCCGCAGGTTCGGCGAGACGGCCGAAGTGCTGGCCGGCTTTGGTGGACATCGGCCGGGCGCGGCTTACGTCCCGTATTGGGTCCCGCACGCTGAGGTCCAGCCCGAAATCCTTGTTCAGGAGCCGTTCCAGCCGTTTCTCATCGAGTACCTCAACGCCGCTGCTTCAGAGTTCCATCCAGCGGAGATCACCCTCGTCGCTCATCGACACCTCGCCGCCCTCCCTCCGCAGCTGCTCGACGTGGTCACCCTCACCAAGCTCGATCTGACCTCAAACATGCTCACCGCTTTGCCGGACGGCTTCACCAAGCTGGCCAATCTCAGGTCGGTTGTCCTGCAGGACAACGCGCTGACGACGCTCGTCCCACTCGGCGGTTGCCTCAATCTCACGGCGCTCGACGCATCGGCCAACGAGCTCAAGGCCATCGACTCGAGCATAGCTTCGCTCATCCGGCTCACCGACCTCCGTCTCTCCGGCAACTCGTTGTACGAGCTGCCGGCCGAGCTGGGCAACTTGACCTCGCTGCGCCATCTCGACGTCTCGCGCAACCAGCTGGTCACGCTCTCGGGAGCCATCGAGCGGCTTCTCTCGCTCCACACCCTCATTGCCTCGCGCAACATGATCCAGGCACTTCCCCCAGCGCTCGGCTCGTGCGCCTCGCTCGTCGTCCTCAACGTCGCCCACAACCACATTCGCGAGATCTCACCCGAGATCGGGTCGCTTGCAGAGCTCGACGTCCTCCGCCTCGACCACAACCTCCTGATCCATCTCCCAGACGCGCTTGGTAGGCTCTCGAGCCTCCGCAAGCTTTTCCTCCACGTCAACCGCCTCGAGTCGCTGCCAGACTCGCTCTGCCTCCTCGAGATGCTCTGGCTCCTCCGCGTCGACCACAACCAGCTCGCCGACCTCCCGTTTCACATGGGCCGCCTCCGCCGCTTGGAGCAGCTGTTCCTCAACAACAACCTCATCCGCTCGCTGCCAGACCTCGGCGACCTTCCGCGGCTTCACACCGTCTGGATCCACAACAACTACATCACATCGGTAACCGGCAAGGTTGATGGTCTCGTCAACGCTGCCTACCTCTACATTCATGACAACCGCCTCACCTTTCTCACCCGCGGCATCGGCAGCCTCTCGCTGCTGCGCGCCCTCTACGTCTTTGACAATGACCTCTACGAGCTGCCTGAAGAGCTTGGCCAGCTGGCCCTGCTCGAGGAGCTCGACGTCTCGCGCAACAAGCTCCGCACCCTGCCCGATGCCCTCGGCGAGCTCTCGCAGCTCAAGGTTCTCAACGCCTCAGGCAACTCGATCACCGAGCTCTCTCCGCCGCTGCTGGCCCTGCCGGCCCTCACCCAGCTCAACCTCCATGACAACTCCATCAAGAACTTGCCCATCAAGGCACTCTCCGGCGCCCTGCCCTCGCTTGTTTCGCTCAACCTCTCGCACAACCACCTCTCGGGCGCAGACATGCGCGCCGTCCGCTCCGTCTTCCATGCCCTCCCCTACCTCTTCCTCGACGCCAACCTCGAGAAGCGGGTCATCTCCATGTTCCGCTCGCCCTCGCACAAAGACTCGCTCGACAAGTACGACGAGGAGCTCCGGCGTCGCGGCGTCCGCATCCGCGCCGAGCGCGCCGCAAAGTATTCCGCCAAAGTCTCCCGACTCCGCGAGCTGGTCCTCGGCAAGCGATAGAGGCCTATCTATGCTCGGCAGCCGGCGCCAGCAGCCACTGCCCGACAACGGCAGCGTGCAGCCCATACACCAATGAAACCGATGCCCAGCCTGTTGGTCGTTTATCCGTGCTGCGACTTGCGCTTGCGCTTGCTTTTGCTCTTGCTCTTGCTCTTGCTTTTGCCCCGCTTCCCCTTGCCACCGCCGTCGGCGCCGCGCGTTCGCCGCAGTGCCCGCAGGAACGCGTTGCTCAACAGCTCGTCGTCGTCCGAGTCTGAGCCGTTGTCGGACACATGATTGACGTCCTTGCCATCTTCGAGATCGTCGTCGAGCAGCCGCATGAGCGACGAGACGTCGACGTCGTCAGATGACGACGACACGACACCCGCGTCGACGTCGTCGGCCTCGGCATCGTCGTCAAAGTCCTGCTCAAAGTCTTGTTCGTCCTCGACAGCCTGCTTGAAGATGTTGATGCCGTCGTACCACTGGACAATAGCACGGGTCTTGGACTTGATCCGCGCCTGGACAGCCGCCGACGAAGAGAGTCGCATGATGTCGACGAGCGAGGCACGGAGCCGGAGCCAGGCCTGCTTGACCCGCGACCGGCCCGAGGTTCGGTCGACCTGGTCGGTGAGAAAGGCCTCGCGGAACTCCTTTTCCAGCACCAGGATGGTGAGCTTGCGGAGTGCCGACGGATTGATCCAGTTGAGGAACTGGACAAAGTCCTCGCGGTCGAGGTCGCGCGAGCCATTCGGCCCGTTCTTGGTGTACCCCGCCCGCCGCTCCGCAGGCGTGAGCTTGGGCAGAAAATGGTTGTAGTGCGGGTGAAGGCGCCACTTGAACCGCTTGATGCGGATCTTGCCGCGAGCCGCGAGCACAACTGCGCCGTCGTTGAGCGAGGTGTCGGTGTAGTTGGGCGCCGAGAAGACCGTTGTCACTGCCGGAAAGTCAAAGTCGGGCCCAGCCGCCGAGGCCTCGAACCCGTGTTTCTTCTGCTGGTGGGCGCGGACAATGCCGGTCACCGAGTTGATGCGCAGAAAGGCGTCGACAGCCGGCTTGCCAAAGTCGTGCACGTTCTTGCCGCGCGACGACGAGTGGAAGTACGACTGCCGATACCCGCCTGGCGCCTTGCGCCGCGCCGACGAAAGCGCGGTGAGGTCCCACGACTCGGCCTGGTCGTCGTCCGACGCCGCAAGGTCGCGGTACGGGTCGGCCCAGAGCGTGTCCTTGAGCGGCCCGCTTTTAGGCGGCTCGCGGAACCGCGAGATGCCTTCGATGTGCCGGAGCTTGACCACCTGCGGGGAGATGCCGCCATGGACTGCCAGCAGCGAGTGTCCGCCAGTCCTCACCAGCGCTGCCAGCGGCAGCGCGTCAAACGTCTTCATCAGCTCGTGGTAGAGCTTCTTCTGGTACTTGCTCGTGATTTCCGCCATCGATCCGTACTTGCGTGTCGTCTTGCGCGACTCGTGGTTACCGCGGAGGAGCCAGACCCGCGATGGGTACCGGACCTTGGCCGCCAGCAGCAGAAGCGCCACCTCGGCCGAAAAGTACCCGCGGTCAACATAGTCGCCGAGGTATAGGTGCTGCCGCTTTGAAGTGCCAGGAAAGCCCGAGATCTTGAACATCTCCTGCAGGTCAAAGTACTGCCCGTGGATGTCGCCCATGATGGCCACCGGCTCTTTGAGCACCAGCAAGTTTGGCTCCGACTTGAGAATCGCCCGTGCCTGCCGCACAATCGTCAGCGCGTCGGCCTTGCGGAGCTTGCCCTCCCGCAGAAAGTGGGTGTAGATGTTGCGGAGCCGCGGCCGCCCGTCGGCGTCAAATGCTTTGCCGTGCATCAGCCGGTTGTGGTCGTGGAGGAAGAGGACAAAAACCGGGCGGCTGCCGTCGATTCCGATGCTACTGAGACGCTTCGACGAGCGCGGAACGTGGAAGCCGTCGTAGTAGAAGCGGAGGAGCGAGCCTGATGGGTGCTTGGCCATCTCGGCCACCGCCGTGCTGAACGCCTTCATCGTTGCGTTCGCCTTGACCGTCACCTCGTAGTACTCGTCGAGATAAAACGCGTCGACCGTGACGCGGATGCACCCGTCAGGCACCGACGACCGGCTGCTGTACGAGTAGCTGCTGCCCGCGGATCTGCTGCTCGACCCGCCCGACGAGTCCGTGCAAGTCTCGGACTCGGACTCGCTCGAGTCCGAGTCCGAGTCCGAGTCCGAATCCGACTCGCTGCTCGAGTGGCCGTCCACCCGCTGCTTGAGCAAGAGAAACAGGTTGTGCGTCGAGGCGCCGCTGTCAGAGGCCTCCTCGTCCGAGAGTTCGTACATGGGTCCGGTGTAGCCCATGATGGTGCAAAACTCGGGAAAAGTGATGCCGCCGTCGTGATTGACATCTGCCACCGCAAGCATCGCCGCCTTGTCCTCCACCTCGAGCCCAATCTTGTTGAGCACCGCCTCGAGCTCCTCCACAGACACGCTGCCGTCGCCGTCGGCGTCAAACACCGCGTATGCATCGCGGAGCTCGCGGAGCTGCATCCGCTGCGCCGCATGGTGCATCGCCACAAAGTCGTCAAATGAAATGGCATCGTCCTTGCTCTTGCCCACCGTCTCCAGCAACGCCTGTGCGTCTGCCGCAGATGACGCTCCGCCCATTGCCGTCAGCAGCGCACGGACCTCGGCGCCCTCCAGGATTCCGTTTCCATTGCGATCTGCGGCATCGAACACTGCCCGCATTCCCCGCAGCTCGCCCTCGCTCAGCTCGGGCTCCTCTCGGCTGCTTGCCTCGCTCCTAGAGCCCGATCCGGACCCAAACGACAGGCCCGAGTCCTCGTAGCCGGACTCGTAATCGGTGCCGGACTCGTAGTCCGAGTCTGACCCCGAGTCTGACCCCGAGTCCGACCTCGAGTCGGACCCCGAGTCTGATCCCGAGCTTGACTGCGACCGCTCGCCTTGCTCGCCTTGCTCGCCTTGCTCGCCTTGCCCGCCTTGCCCGCCTTGCTCGCCTTGCTCGCCTTGCCCTCGCCCTTGTCCCTGCTCGACCGCCGTCCGTGGCTCCGTGCCGTGTCCTTGGCCTCATCTGCAGACAGCTTTTCCCACCCATGTCTCCGAGAGACGGGTGTGTGTCCTTGAGCGTTGCCCATACTGCCCTATATCCGTATTCTCAGCCAGTCGAAGCTACCGACAAGTGTACTGCCTCGGATTGTCGGGCTGGGATAGCTCGTCGGGCTGGAGATAGCTCGCCGTCCGTCGCGATCGCGATGGAGATCACCACCGCCCTTTTCTCCACCTCGCCGGTTCCCGGAATACAGGACAGGTGGCTACGCCCCGAACACGGCCAGATGACCACCCCTGGCGTTCCAGCTACCAGTCATCCACGCTCTACGCCGCCGCCCATGCCCCCTTACTCGGAATCTCCCTCTCCCCTCCCTTTGCTGGCCAGTCCTCGCCCTCGTCGCCGGCGGAGCGTCGGGTTTACGGCCTTTTCCGGAATTCGGCAAGTGATCACACCACCAGCCACCACCCCTCCGCGATGATGACTTCCACAGCGGACATCCGGGGCGTGGCCGAGACAGACTACGCCGCAGCCTTGGGCGTTGAGTGGCACAACGTCATCGCAGAGCTTGCGCCCGCACAGGCGGCACCCACCTACCCAGCCGACGACGCCGCCACGGTCATCAGCGCCATTGACACGGGCGCCGTCGACGCGGTCACCCACGCCATCGTCGACCTGCCGCGCCTCGGATGGGCGGCCGAGACGGCGCCATCCAGCACCCTCGGCATGTTTGCACGGGTCTTTTTCGCCGCCCTGCTTGCCGGCGAGTCCAACGTCCCGCCGCTTGCTGGGCTTGCTGGCGGGGGCGAGCGGGCGGGATTGGCAGCACCGGGTACCGCCACCGTGACGGCGGCGCGACGGTTTGTGCTTTTGGCGGCTGAGGCCATTGCGCTCAAAGCAGAGGCGGCCGACGGCCACAAAGGCAAAAACCACGGATGGGTGGTGCTGAGCAAAGGCTTGCGGTCCGGATTTGTCGGCTCGGTCCAGCAGCTGCGCATCGCCGCGCTCTCGCACGCCACACTGCGCGCCTCACCGCCCGCCAGCGCCCGCGAAGAGTTGCTGCTCGCGCTGGCAGCGCTCGAGACGGAGCAGGAGGCGGACACCTGCACCGATGCATGGGTAACTGCTGGGAGGATGCTGCTTGCACTCGCGCCGCACCCGGGTCCTGAGCTCGATGGCGTGGCTGAGATGGCGGCGAGCCGCGGCCTGTGGCGCGGCCTGCGGCTGGCCATCAGCGTCGGGCGGGCAGGCCGACTGCACGTTGTCCATCCAATTCGTGGCTCGGTCCTCCATGCCTTGGCCGCGGGCGGTGGCAGCCGCCGCCGCCCGCGGCCAAGGCCTGCCGCCGCCGAGCTCGAGCTTGCCGCCGCCACCGTTGCGGTGCTCGAGGGGGTTGTGGCGCAGCGCGCTGGTCTCACCCCCAACGGCTGCAGCGTCATCGGCCATATGCTCTCGATGCAGCGTGGGTACGACCGCGCGCGCCCAAGCATGCTCGCACGCGCAACGCGGTGCGCCACCGTCCGGGCACTGCTCGAGACCTGGGCGCACAAGACCGCGGCGGTGCCAGAAAGTGCGGCGCCCGAGCTCGGCGCCACCGCCGACGACGACCCGCTTACCCGCCAGCTGCAGGAGGCCTGGCTCCGGGTCCAGTCTGTCAACCGGAGTCTTGCCGGCCCGCTAGACCGCTTGCTGCTGCCGCGCAGCAAGCCCGAGCCGCCGCAGCTCTTTCCACGCCTCGGTGAGGTCGAGCCCGGCATGGTGGCCACCGAGCAGTGGCTTGCCATTCCGCTGGCCCAGCTCAAGACGGTTGTCGGCCGCAGCGGCCGGGTCATTCGCCCGCTGCAGCGGAGCCACGGCGTGGTGGTCCTCACCCCCGAACGCGACGCCGTCGTCTCGCCGCCGTCGCCAGCCGCCGCACCGACCCGCATCGTCGTTCTCGCCATCCTCGGCAGCGCACGCCGGGTCCGCAACGCCGCCGCAGAACTTGTCGGCCTTGCGCGCCGCGGTCAACGCCACGACCAGCACTTCCGCTCGCTGCGAGCAAGGACCGGCCAGCCGCGCACGCTCTAAACCATCTTGCCCTCCTGCGACATGCTGTCGCCGCGCAGCCGCGCCCAGAACACGCCCGCCAGCGCAAGAACAAGGCCCGAGACAAGGCCGACAGCAAAAAACGCGAGCTTGGTTAGTATAGTGCATGCAAGCGAGGCATCGGCGGCGGCAACTTTTGCCAGTCGGGCATCAACGCGTCCGTCGCCCACAGGCTCGCCGGCCTTGCCGCCAGTCTGGGGCTTTGCTCCCAGCCGAAAGACCGGATTAGGCATGGCGGCAGCAAAGTCTGCGCCCTGCGACCAGGCGTGGAGGGCAGAAAGCGAGCGCGCGCCGCCGTAGGGGATAATGCGAGGGCCACGGACGAGGAAGAGAGTCGGATAGCCACGGACGCCAAAGGCGCGGCAGGTGGTGGCCGATCGGGTACAGTCGATCTTGGCCACTCGCAGCTCGGGCGCGTCCTGCTTGGCTAGTGCCACCAGCACAGGCTCGAGCTCTTTGCAGTAGTGGCACCATGGGGCGTAGAACTCGACCAGCGTCAGCGACTTGTCCGACAACAGCTCGCCAGCATCCGCATCGCTCATATGCACAATCTGCCCGTTCCCGCTCCCGCTTCCGCTTCCGCTCTTGACCGCGGCATTCCCAGCTTCCACGCCACCACTTGCCACACCATCGTCCGATTCGCCTCCTTCCACACTATCAACCACCATGCTGGCGTCGGCTGCTCGCCCGGCCTCAGCCACCGCCGGCTCAGCTGCGCAGAGAGCCACTGCCACTGCGAGCAAGCAGATGGTGGCTATAATGGTTGAGCTCAGGGGCAGGTGCATGAAGAGGCGAGTAGGGGGTGGGGGTGAAGTGCCCAGCCCCACTCACTACTCCCCCTCCCCCCCCCCTCGCCCCTCCCTCCGGTTCCTGGCTGCGGCTGCCGACCGGGTGACCTCCCACCCACCCACACGGAAACTTGCCTCCACTACGATCCATGCCATGTATCACAGATCAAACCACAGCTATCATCACAAAATCCCAGCAGCTACCTAGTGATGTGCCTGTCTAGGCCATGTTCGCGATTTACGCTCCTGTGCTGCAGCAGAATATCGCGCTCATGTTGACTATGTCACCGCTATCGGATCTTCCTGATCGCCGCTTCTCGCAGACCTTGTCGTCACCCGAGTGATTCTGTGGAGAGGCTCGCGCAAGGCTCTGCGTGGACCACGTGTGCGCATAGAAAAAGTGAGTTTAACGCGAGAACGCCTCGGACGCCCAAGTCTTGTAGTCGTAGCCACCATCGACCTCGGGCATGACGGTCTTGAGGAACTCGACCTCCTCGGCCGGGAGCGCCTCGAGCATCTGGGCCTCGGTAATGACGTCGGCGCCGTTGGTGAGCTGCGAGAAGGCAGCCTCGATCTCCTCGAGCGAGTCGTGGTCGACGGTTCGCGAGGAGACAAAGGCAAGGAACTCATCGAGCTCGATGAGCTTGTTGCCGTTTGCGTCGGTCTTGGACATGCAGGCCTCGAGCTCGTCATCGTCCATCTCATCGCCGAGCGCCTGGAGGGCGCCCTTGAACTCGAGCTTGGTGAGAGCGCCCTTGGACGACTTGTCAAAGTGCGAGAAGACCTGGGTGAACTCGTCGATCTGCTCGGGCGAGATCTCCGACGAGGCGGCGGCAGCGATCGACGACGAGATGTCCTGGACCTTGCCGGCGGCGACGGCGACAACCTGGTCGTACTCGACGCGGAGGCCGTCAATGTTGTAGTTGGAGAGGGTGCGGATGCCGGCGGTGAGGAGGGCCTCGGCGGCGTTCTCGGCGGCAACGAGCTTCTCGCGGCCGGCGTTCTGGCACTCGTCAAGAATGGCCTTGGCAGCAGTCAGCTGGGCCTCCAGCTCACCCTCGGGCGGCTGGTTGAGCTCGGCCATCTTGGCCGACTGCCAGCCGTCGAGCTCGGTGGCTGCGGCGTCAAAGGCGTCGCGGAGCTTCTGGTCGCCCTCCTGCTTCGACTTGGCGGCCGCGAGCGCCTCGGCGCGCTCGTCGATCTTGCCGGTCGCAGCCTCCCACTTGGCCTGGACCTCGGCGACCGGGAAGCCGCCAAAGTCGTCCTGCCCGGCCTCAGTCAGCTGGGCCGCGAGCTCCTGGCACTTGGCGTACGCCGCCTCCTGCGCCTCGCGGTCGGCCACGGCGGCGTCAAACTCGGTCTGCTGCTCGGCCACGGCCTCGATGGTCTCGAGCTCCGAGAGCTCCTCCGACACGGCCTCCTCGAGGTTGTCGAGCCACACGTTGACGGCCTGGGCCGCCGACACGTAGTCGATGCGCAGCGTCTCGAGCCGCTCCTTCTCGGCCGACTCGGCAGCCTGGGCCGCCGCGCGCTCCGCCAGCGCCTTCTCGTCCTTAAGGTTCTCGATGGACGAGTTGACAATGGTGGTGTAGAGCGCCTTCTTCTTCTCCAGCTGCGACATCGAGTACTCGGTGTGCTTGTTGCCGGTCACACCCAGCGCCGAGACCTCGGCGTCGAGGGCCTCGACCGGGGCAAAGGCCTCGGCGAGCGGGGCGCCGTCGGCGTAGAGGGCCTCGGTCGCTGCGATGCGCGCGTCGATGTCCTCATCGTCGACCTCGTCGACGGCCTTGGTCTGGGCGTCGGCCCACTCGACAAAGGCCTGCGCAGCCTCGCCAAACTCGACGCACTTGGCCTCGATCTGGTTCTGCCGCTCGAGCTCGGCCTCGAGTGCCGTCCGCCGCGCCGCAATGGCCTCCACCAGCGAGGCGTGCTCGTTGGCGATGTCGTCGACCGTCACGTTGGTCGTCGCGGTCGTCCCGAGCTCCTCGAGCTTGGCCGCCGCCGCGAGCACCTCGTCACGCTTCGAGTCGTTCGAGCCTGAGACCTGCTCGTCGTCGGCATCGAGCGCCGCGGCGTACGCCTCGACCTCCTCGAGGTTCGAGCCAAACTCGTGGGTCGTCACCGTGTCGAGCATGTCGCGGACCCAGCGGATGTAGTCGGACGCGCCCTTGGCAAACGCCACACGGGCAGCCTCCTTGGCCTGCTCCGACTCGAGCGCAGCCTGCAGCGTCTCCTGCTTCTCGGCAGCCATGCCCGCGAGCGCCTCGAACCGCTCCGACGCCTCCTGTGCCTTGTCGTTGACAGCTTCGACCTCGGCGTACTCGAGCTCGGCGAGCTTGGCCGCCACGTCGAGGAGCTTGTCCTTGGCGGCAGCCTTCTTCTCGTAGTCCTTGTTAAAGGCGTCAAGCACCACAAGCTGAACCTGGGCAGCCGTCACCGAGCCGGTGGCGGCCTCGGCGCCGAGGTACTCCTCCTTGCGGTCGATCCAGCCGAGGACCTCGGTTGCGTCGCCATCAAACTGGCGGACGAGCGAGGCAATCTGCTCCTGCCGGTCAAGCTCGGCCATGAGGGCCGTGCCGCGCGCCTCCTCGGCCGCCACCAGCGCCGCCCACTTGGAGCCGATCGTCTCGAGCGAGAACTCGGCCGGCGGCGCAAACGGCGGCCGGTTGTGCTCCGACGCGGAGAGGATGGTGTCGAGCTGCGAGGCAAGGGCCTCGATCTCGGTCTTGAGCCCGGCCTTGGCGCCCTTCTCGCCCGTCCGGTACGCGTTGAACTCGGCCACGCCAGCACGCGCGTCGTCAAGGCTCCCACCGCTCACCACCTCGACCTCGAGCTTGGGCGTTGTCTCGTCGATCCAGGCAACGAGCTCCTCAGCACGCGAGGTGTAGTCCTTCTTGAGCCGCTCCTCCTCCTCGAGCTCGTACAGGTAGTTGCGAACGTACACCTTGTGGTGTCCGAGCTTCCCGCGGAGCTGCGCAAGCGTCAGCGTCGTGTGCGGGTTCGAGGTGATCCGCAGCGCGCGCGCCTCGGCGTCAATCGCCGCAACCTTGGCCAGCTCGGCCTCGGCCGGCTCGCCCGCCGCGTACTCGGCCTTGACGGCCTCGGCCACCGCGTCCGGCTCTCCCTCGGCCGCGTCGACCGTGGTCCGCTGCGCGCCGAGGTAGTCGACAAACGCCTGCGCGGCCTCGGCAAACTCGATGCGCTTCGCTTCCATCGCCTCCTGGCGCTCGAGCTCGGCCGCATACGCCTCGCGCCGCGCCTCGATCGCTGCGTCCACAGACGCGCCGGCGGCCACTGTGTCGTCGACAGTCAGCGGCGTGTACTTGTTGTCGGTCACACCAAGCTCAGCAAGCTCGGCAGCCACGGCCTGGATGGCCTCCAGCTGCTCCGTCGACTGGCCCGAAATCTCGGCGTCAGACGCGTCGAGCGTCGCCTCGTAGCCACGCACTGACTCGAGGTCGTTCCCGCCAAACGTCGTGTCCGAGAGCGCAATCTTCGAGCTGTGGCAGAACTTCATGTATGCCTTGGCCTTCTCGGCAAACTCCTTCCGCTTGGCGTCCTTCAGCTCCTCGCGCTCCACGCACTCCCACAGGTAGTCAGACTTGGCCTTGGCAAGGCCCTTCTGCTCCTCCGCCGCCGCGTTGAGCGCGTCCACCCGCGCCTGCACCGCGTCAGACTCGGCGTAGTTGAGCGCCACAATCTCCGCGCCGAGGTCGTTGACAACCTGCAGCCGCGGCACGGCCTTCTTGGCTTCACCCTCGTACGCATCGTAGATCTTGAGCGCAGAACGCGCCGCAGCCATCGTGTCAATGTCCTCGCGCAGGTTGAGGTAGTTGGCCTTCTCGTCGTTCCACTTCTCGAGTGCAGCCGCCTTGCGGTTGAACCGGCCCACGAGGTTGGCCACCTTCTCCAGCCGCGCCTTCTCGGCACGGAGCGCCGCCAGCCGGAGCCGCTCAGCCTCCTCGAGCGCGTCCCACAGCTCCTGCAGCTTCTCGGGCGTGTTGCCGTCCTCGGGCACCCATGCAGGCCGGTTCGCCTGCTTGAGCTTGAGCGCAAGGCTCTGCATCAGCGCCTCGAGGTCAAGCTTCTCCGCAGACTTGGGCGGCTTCTCGTTGGCCTTGTACTCGCCGAGCTCGTCGAGCTTGGCAATCGCGTCCTCGACCGTCCCATCGCACTCCATCCCGTTAAAGTGGTCCGTCTTGTCCGAGATCCACTGCGCAAGCGCAGCAGCCCGCGCCGCGTAGTCCTCCTTCAGCGCGTCGTTGGCCCGCGTCAGCTCGATGAGCTTGTTGATCCGCCGCGCCGCAGTCTCGCCCTTGGAGCCCGCCGCAAAGTACTTGTAGTACTGCGAGACATACGTCATCACAGACCGCTCGTCTGGCTTCTCAGACTCGACCATGTCCGCCACGTCGAGGAACCGCGGAATGCCGAGCTGCTCCTCCGCAACAGAGAACGCAAGCTCGAGGTTCTCCGCGTCGTTGCCGGCAGAGAGCGTCTCGTACGGGATGAGGTTCGGCTTGTGCGCGTGAATGATGGCGCAGAACGCAAGCCCGTTCTTCCACGACCGGTGGAAATTGGTAATGTCCACGTTGTCGTACTTTTTCGTCTTCTTCTGGCACCAAAGCAGGAGCGCGTCCTTGGCGTTGAGCTCCTCCTCGGAAATGTCCGCAATGTCGAACTTCTGGATAATCGTCCAGATCATACCCAGAATGAGCTTCAGGTTGCAGTCCACCACGTCCTCGGCAGAAATCGAGTCCAGCCGACACCGCGTGTTGAGCAGCTCGAGCGCGAGCGACACGTTCTGGATCTTCATGATCCGGAGCTTGCACTTCTTGATCGGCTTGGCAGAGACCTTGTCGCCCGAAAGCACCTCCGCGAGCGTGATCAGCAGGAGTCCGTTCTCAAAGTCCTTCTCCAGGTCCTCGAGCGTCGCGCCCACCTTGTTCAAGTGCAGCTGCACCCACTTGGTGAACGACTTCTGCTGCATGCGGATCCATGTCGTGTCCGCGATCTTCCACCCGGAAGCAGAGGTACCAGCCATCTTCTTCTGTACATGTCGCGCCACAACCCCTCCTCACAATCGTGAGTCTTCCCCAAACACAGCCCACAGGACAGAGGCCACACTCTCGCTTGCCTGCTGCTCCATCTCCATCACAGCATCAAAAATTACGAACAAAGTTCTCGCTGCTCTCGCCACAACCCAGGCAGTCGCCGCGACCTCTCGCATTTGGGGAACTTGCGGGGGTGAAAGGGGGCCGTGGGAGCACGATGGACGACCAGGGCCAAGAAAAATAACCGCCCATCCCCCTTCCCATCCCCTTGTACTTTGTGGGTGGCCAACTTGACTTGCATGGCTCGCGACCCGGAGAGGCAGGACGGTGGTAAACGGGGGGGGGGGGGGGGAGGGGAGGGGCCACCGCTTTCAACCGAAATGCAGGCGAGGCCAACGAACACCAAAAAAAACAAACAACCATTCATTGGCCACTACCACCCAACGGCCGCTTCGGGGGAAGGAGCAGCGGAGGGGCGGAGGGGGGGGGGGGGGGAGCGTGTGTGTGGGGAACAGCCATTACGACCTCAAGTCGACCTGGCAAGGAAACAGAGCCAACAACTGCCTCGTGTGTATGTGTTGGAACTTGAGCATGGTCCTACATGCTTGCTATACTCTTCATCGCATCATGCTTGTCGTACCGGTTCAAAATGAGAGCTGTGGTGCCCGTCGCCTTCTGGTCGGGTGAATGGCGTACTCGCCGCATTCAGCTGTTATTCTCCACCTGCAAAGCACTTTCTTGAGCACATGTGTTGCCAAACTGGCCACGTTGGGGCAGGCTGCTTACTCGCTCTTCATTTCGCCGCTATCCACCGAGTTGCCCCACCGCAGTTGAAGATATTGTCGCAGGGTCACAGTTGCCCTCAGTTGCTCGCCCAGAACGGCCCAGACGCCGGGTCCGAGGCTGAGGCCACCCAACTCGCAACATCAGACCATGGCGAGCGTGGCTGCATCAGGCAGCTGTCGTGCTCAGGATGTGGCCAGGCGAGTGTTTGAGGCGGCGGTGGCTGCGGCTGACCCGCGGCAGTGCGTTGCTGATGCGCTCACAGTTGCCGGCTCTGTGCTCTCGGTGGCTCGCCCACTGGGTGGGAGCGCAAAGGAGGGCGAGGCGACGGCGGTCTCGGTTGATCTGGCCGAGACTGGTGGCGTGGTGCTGGTGGGCGCAGGCAAGGCGGCCGTGCCGATGGCAGCGGCGGTGGTCGAGGCGCTCGGGCCTGCCCTTGACCACCTCGGCCTTCCGCTCTCGGGCCACGTGGTGACCAAGACCGGCCACTTTGTGGGTACCTCGTGGGAGGCTGTCTTTGCCGACTCGCCGGTTGCGGTAGTCGAGGCTTCTCATCCGATTCCGGATGCCGGCTCGGTGGCGGCGGCCGATGCTATTGTGGCTGCGCTCAAGGCTGCGGCGTCGGCCTCGCCGCCGCCGCTGGTCATCAACGTTCTCTCGGGCGGCGCATCGTCACTGATGGAGTCGCCGGCAGGCCCGCTCAGCCTCGACGACGTACAGGCGACGTACGAGGCGCTCATTGGCTGCGGCGCTTCCATCGATGACATCAACGCCGTCCGCAAGCATCTGTCGGCGGTCAAGGGCGGGCGTCTGCTGGAGGCTGCGGCGCCGGCCGCCATCGTCACGCTCGCTCTCTCGGACGTTGTCGGTGATGCGCTCGACGTCATCGGCTCGGGGCCGACCGAGGAGGACACTACATCGTTTGATGACGCCCGCGCCGTTATCGCCCGTTACAACCTCGCCAACACCTTGCCGCCGCCGGTGGTCGCTTACCTCGCCGCCGGCTCGCCAGCCAACGACACGCCGTCGCGCGCAAGCCATCCATGCCTCTTTGCCGCCGCCACCAATGTTGTTGTCGGCTCAAACGCGCTGGCGCTGGCTGCGGCTGAGCGCACCGCCCGCGAGCTCGGCTTTGGCGTCATCGTCCTCTCGTCGCGGGTCGAGGGCGAGGCTGCCGGCGTTGCTCCTGTCTACGCCGCCCTTGCGCGGAGCATCGTCGACTCCGCGGCGCCGATCCCGGCGCCGGCGGTCGTCCTCGCCGGCGGTGAGACGACGGTGACGCTCGGAGCGGCGCCGGGCAAGGGCGGGCGGAACCAGGAGCTCGCGCTTGCCGCCGCCGTCGCCCTCGATGCGCAGCGACCGAAGCTTGATCCGGCCGCCGCCGCCCGGATCGCCATCCTCGCCGCCGGCACCGACGGCACCGACGGCCCGACCGACGCAGCTGGCGGCCTCGTCTCGTACGCTACCGTCGCCGCCGGCGACGCCGTCCTCGGGCAAGGCGCTGCCCTCGCCGCCCTCCGCACCCATGACGCCTACCCATTCCTCACCGCCGCAGACGCTCTTGTGGTCTCGGGCCCGACCGGAACCAACGTCATGGACATCACTGCGGTAGTCGTGGCCTGAGTGCGCACTTGGAGCAGCCTTGGGTGTGGCGGTAGGGAGGGGGAAGAGCGTTTTGCGGTCACGATCGCGATCACGATCGCGCCAGGTTTCGCCATTCTCAGGAAAAAGCCGCACGATACAGATACAGGCGCACTCATACGGCGTAGCCTTGGCCCTCCCCCCACTCCACTTCCGGAAGCCGTACAGAGTGAGGCTGCGATAGGTGGCGACGGGGCAACATGACGTTTGATTTGGAGCAGGTGCTGCACCACCGGGTGGTGCGGACGGGTGAGGCCGAGGGCGAGAGCGCGGTGCCGTCTGCAAGCGAACGGAGCGCGGCCATTGCGGCGGCCGAGGAGGCGCTGGCGGCGGCCAAGGCAGCGCATGTGCAGGCATTGCGTGATGCCAAGACTGCGCTTGACGCCCACGAGAAGGCTCTGGCCACCGCCGAGGCGGCGCAGGCGACGCTCGACGAGCTTGGCGCCGGCATTGAGCATCTGGAGAGCCAGCTGGCCGAGGCCACCGAGGCTGCCGCCGCAGCTGCGCCCAAAGTCAAGGCCACCGAGGCTGCCGCTGACGCCGCGGCCGACGCTGTCGACGACGCCAATGACGAGCTCGAGCGGGTCACTGCTCTGCCCGTTGGGGTCGTCTACGAGAAGGATCTGCCGCGCCCGTACCGGGTCGTTGCCCCGGCCGATCCCATCTCGCACAACACCTGCCGCGACCGCCTCTCGCTCTGGCTCAACGCGCACGGCGTCGTCATCAAGGCTGAATATGCATGAATACGGGCAGGTGTGAGACTTACGGGGAAGAAAGGGAGCGTTTTCGTTCAATGGGCCTGCGCAGCAAGAGCTGCGGCGAGCGCGGCCACGCAGTGAAGCACGGCGATCGCCACAGCCGGCGTGGTAGCGGCGTCAGCAGGCGGCTACGACGCCAGCGCGCGCGTGGCCGAGACAAAGTCCTGGTAGTGCGAGGCGTAGGCCTCGGCAAGATGCTTAAAGGCGGCATCGACGGCCGAGGCGTCCGGCGCGGCGAGCTCGAAAAACGGATAGCGGAGCGACTTGGCGAAGTGCAAGCCGAGATCGGCATCTACAGCACGCAGATCGCTCTTGTCGGCCTTGTTGGCCACCACCATGCCGACTGCCGGCAGCGCGTTGTCGGCCGAGAGCAACTCGGCCCACTCGCGGATCCACTCAAACGAGTCGATCGAGGTCACGTCGTAGACAAAGATTAGAACGCATGTGGCGTCGACATACTCGCGCGCAAGCTCGCGGAGATACGGCTGACCAGGCGTGTCGTAGAGGAAGAACTGCACGCTAGCCGACGGCAGCTCCAGCGCCTTCTCCAACGGTGTCTTGACCTTGTGCTCCGGCACCTGCCCCGCCACCGGCGAAGCCGGCGTCGACGACGCCCCGCTGCCGTCCTCCAGCACCACCGTCCGCAGCGCGTCCACTCCTGGCAGCTCCACAGCCGATGTCATCGAGTAGTTGGATGGGAACAGTCCACCGCCCGACTGAAACACTGCCCATACATCGCCCACTGTGAGTGCCCTCCCTCCCGCCAGCCTCGCACCAGTCGCGCGCCGACCTCCTCTCCCCCCTTCCCCTCTCCCCCGCCCCCGGGGAACATACCCTGCGCAAGCGCGGTCTTGCCCACCCGAGGACCGCCCACAAGCACACACTTGCACCTCAGCGAAGCCATTCCTGACAAAGTGTGGTTGAGTTGGGTGTGGAGAAGTCGGGGTTGGGTTCCGGGGTCGGGGTCGGGTCGAACGTCGGGTCTGCGGTTGGCGCGTGGGGGAGGGGGGGGGGGGGGCGGACGGAGGGGGAGGGATCGACAAACAGTACGTCTGGTTGCAACATCATCATCAACGCCAACAGACTTGCGAGTTTCTTTGATCTGCTCTCTCGCTATTGAGGCAACATCGGTCGGCGATGTTGAGCAGTGCCGCTGGCACTGATCGTGATGTCGCGCAAAAGGTACAGCCCACAACGCGACGTCTGACTCTGTCGTCACACGCTGGAGTGACTCCGGCTTAGGGCATAGCTGGCTAAATCAAGGCCATCAACAAAGTCTTGTTGTGCGAGTAGCCAGGCTACGACCTCTTTGCGCCCGTTTGCGGCCGCCAAGGTCAGGCACGCCTGGCGATCGTCGGCCGAGCACGAGAGCGCCGAAAGCAGCGATTGCACCACGGCGAGACTCCCGAGGCGGCATCCACTCTTTAGCGCGCAGATCAAGCGCTGTCCGGTGAAGCCATCGCAAACAACATTGCTGCTCACCATCACATGGCACACCACGCTCGTCATGCCGTGATCGGCGGCGGCCTCGACGATGGCTACTTTGTCAACGTAGCTTCCGACCGAGTGGAGCCGCACCACTAGATCCAACACAGTCTGCTCCGGTAGACCGCCGACAATGGCGGCAACAACAAGCGGGACCGAGTCAAGACCGTAGTACCTGTCCTTCAACAGCATCTCGTCCGGAAAGATGCCCAGCCTGCCCCCAGCAGCGGCGACGGCCTCGACCAGCCACCACCACGCCTCGCTCTCCGGCTCGGCGACGGCGCTGGCCATCATCGGCTCGACCCACACGGCATCCTCCCAGTACCAGTCGTTGGTGGCAATATCATCGGCCTCGCTTCTCAGCGCCATCCGTGCTCCACGCCACAAGCCGTTCGCCACGCAAGCACCGATGCCGAGCAGCGCCGCCGCCCTTGCCCGCGACCAATCATCCCCAAGCAGCGCACACGCTGCCTTCTTGCATGTCATAGCCCACGCAAGCACATCCTCCGCCGTAAGCACGCCAGTCTCGTACGCCACCACATGAAAGATCTCCTTGGGAAGCGCCTCCATCCTCGGCGATAGCCCCCACAAGCAGAGAGCAGCCACAGAACTCTCAAGACAAGTGTGCTGACCTATGTCTATGCCCCGCCCTCATCAAAGCCACGCATCACATCGGTGTCATCCCAGACTCCGATCATGATCGACAACCCAGATGTAGATGCGCCATTCAGAAGCGTCTCATTCTCCGCCACAACCCTTGGCCCCCCCTCTCCCCCCATCTGGCGCCACCAGCCCGACCGGCTGCGGATCATCCTCGGCTACTCGAGTCAGCTCACCCACCCACCCCGCCACCCACGACACCACTTCCCTACCCTCATACCTCTACCTCAGGACTCACCCATCGAAGCCATGGGCGGTGAGTCACGGAGCTACGGTGGATTGGTGACGCTCTCGATCATCGTCAACTACGTCCTGGGCGTCGGCCTGCTCGCCTTGCCCTACGTCTTTCGGGTGGCCGGCATTGGACTCGCCGTGGTGGCCATTGTCATCGGTGGCATCTTCACCCACATCACCGCCATGCTGGTGGCAGAGGCTGAAGATCTGTCCAAGCGCGCTCTTCGCAACGGTTCGCTCGTCCTTCCAGGATCGGTCTTCTCGTCCCACGTCTGTTCGTCGTCCCCCGTCCTCACCGAGACCTCGCCCATGCTCCGTCGCACGACGGCTGCTTCTGCTCCGTCGGCGATCGCGGTCAACTCGGGTGATGTGGAGGTCCTGTCGGCCACAGCTGGTGCCGCGCCGCGCCTAGATCCGCCGCTCGAGGTTGTTGACATGGTTCATCTCTACTACGGGCCGCGGGTCCGGGTCGCGTACATCATCGGGCTTGGGACGTATCTCGTCGGCGGGCTCTGGGCGTACACCGCCATCTTTGCGGTGGCTCTCGGCGCGGCCTTTCCGCTCAAGTTTGCGGTGGCGCCCGAGCATCGCGCAGGACTGACCTGCGATGCTCATGCTGGCTTTGAATCGGATTGTGAGCTTGTGTATCTGGTGTACATTGCCGTCTTTGCCGCCATCGTCATTCCGCTCTCGTTTGTGGATGCCGCGTCGCAGTGGCTCGTCCAGATTGTCCTCACTGTGGCGCGGTACGTGACCATCGCCATGATGATGATCATTCCGGTTGCGGCTCTGTATACCGACTCGGTTGACGCCGCGCCCGGCGCACCTGCACACCCGCCACACATCGCACCGGGCGCCGACGACCTATTCCGCTGGACCGGGACCGGCCTGGCGCTCCTCACCGGCCTCTACTCGCTCGTCTTCCAGCACTCGGTCCCCGGCATCCTCGCGCCGCACCGCAACAAGGCCTCGATCCCGCTTGTCCTCGCCCTCTCTATCGCCTCGATCAGCATCCTGTACATCGGCCTCGGCATCGCGTCGGCGTTGTACTTTGGCGAGTCGACCCAGCCGTCGATCAACGTCAACTACTCGACCTTTCGCTACGGCCGTGCAGATGGGACCAATGTCCCGCTGTGGGGCAAGATCTGTAACGACATCATTGTTCTCTTTCCGGGCATCTCCTCCATCTCGACCTACCCGCTAATCGCGCTCACCCTTGCTAACTCGGCGCTTGTTACTCTTCCGCTCTCGATCACCGGCGCGCCCGGGTCTGCCAAGCGCGCTCGCGCCACCTGGGTCACCCGCGCCGCAGTCGCCATTCCTCCGGTCGTGGGCGCGGTCTTTGTCCGTAACCTCACCACCATTCTCTCGTACGCCGCCATCCTCGCCATTGCCATTGGCCTGGTCATGCCTGCTGGCATCTGGCTCGGCGCCGTCCGCCATGCCGCCGCCCACGGCATTGACCGCGTCGCGCCGTACGCCTCTGTCTTTACCTCGCGCATCACGGCTGGAACGTCGCTCGCGTTTGGTGTCGCCTGCCTCGCTGCCTTTGTCGTCGGCCTTGTTGCAAAGAGCTAGCCGAGAGCAGCCTGCTCATCGCGCATGGTCTATCGAGTAGTCGATGTCGGAATGAATGTCGCCCGGCGGATGAGCCGCAGACGCTGCGAGCAGCGCGCGCGCCTGATCAGCTTGGTTCATCAGCGCAACCAGCCTTGACTTGAAGGCTCGGGTGTCGACCCGCAGTGTAGACAACGAGCCGACGCCATCCTGAAGCGCCGACCGTAAATCGGCGTGGGCAGCTGCCACCGACGCGGCGTTGGTGGCCGGGACGGGCATCACTTCCGCCGTCGACGCGTCGGCGGCAGGCACTGCCACCGCTGCTGCAGCTGCCGCCGCTGCGCGTGCCATGTCTCGCTCGTATCGCTCGCGCAGCCGCTCGAGCTCATTCTCCACAGCCGCAATGAGCGCCTTTTGCTCCTCGATGATCTGGTCCTGTGCTGCAAACAGCGCAGCATCGAGTCGCGGTTCGGGTGAGCTCGGGACGGCGGCCACCGCAGCAGCAGCTGGTGCGTCGCTCTGGCAAGCAGCTGCTGCCTTGGCCTCCTCGAGCTCTTCCGAGAGCCGATTGATGACGGCCTCGAGCATGGCCACGGTCTCACGCTCCGAGCCGGCCTGGTCTTCAGCAGCCTCGAGCGCCGCCCGCGCGGCAGCAGCCTCGGCGGCGGCGGCCTGCTCGGCAGCACGTGCGCGGGCGTCGGCGGCAGCGCGGACCTCGTTGAGGCGGGCCAGCGGGACCGAGTCGGCAGCGGTGGCTGCGGCGGCTTCCTTCAGCGCCGCATTGGCCTTGAGCACGGCCTTGAGCTCGAGCTGGAGCTCGGCAATGACATCCATGAGCCGCAGCATGTTCTCAGCGTCAGCCTCGCGGGCTGACGGTGGCCGCCAGCCTCGCGGGCGGACCTGGGCAAGTCCCTCCTGGGCGGCGAGGACCAGCAGTGCCGCGCGATGGATGTCCATGACATGTGCTGACCGCCGCAGGTTTGCCGCCTGTCCGACAAGCCGCGACGTGTCCATCGCCGCCGGCGCCACCCGCAGCTTGGCCTCGACCTGCTCCACGCCGGTCTCGGCAGCTGCCGCTCGGGTCTCAAACTCGGCCTCCAGCCGGGCCAGCTCAGCCGCAAACTCGGGAGCAGCGTCCGAACCAGCCTGCGCTCTCCGGGCCAGCCACGCCGTCCGCTCCAGCGCCGCCAGCCGAAAGGCCAGCACCCGCCTGTCCTCCAGCACATCGGCCAGCATCCGCGCCGAGCAGTCGTCAGCCGCTCTCCCGCCCACAAACGAGACATAGTCGAGCGAGGCCTCGGCCTGCCCGGGCTCGACTGATCCCGCCGAGATATCCGCCACGCTTGCCGGCACCACCAGCTCATCCCCAGCCCACCGGCCCACCGCGCCCTGTAGAGCCACCCGTAGATCCGCCGCCACCTCGTCTGCGCCAGGCACCTCCTGTTCGGCAGCCTCCTCCAGCCACTGTGCCGCCCTCGACGCCGCCAGCACCAGCCCGTCCAGCCCCCCATCAGCACCAGCACCAGCACCAGCACCAGCACCAGCACCGGAACCCACAACAGCCTCCATGCGCGTGAGTGTGTGTGAGCGTGTGCGCGAGTGGGGTGTGGGCCCACGCCGCAGCAGCCGCTGCCACTGCCATCGGCATAGACAGCCGGTCGACGGCACCAGCACCGGCACCGGCACCTCACCCCCCCCCCCCCCCCCCCCTCTCACCACCACCATGGCCTCCCCAGCACAACCATCCGTGACGGACGCCCTAGCTACCCTTGCCGCCGCATGCCCGTCGTCCCCGCCGGCTGCCGCCCTCAAGGCCCTCTGCCGGGCCTCGCTAGAGGCTTCGGTCAGGGCTGCTCTTGCTGCTGTCCTCCCGCATGCCCTGGCCATGGCTGTCGAGGCTCCGGCGGATCATCCGGCTCTGCTCTATGTCTGGCGCCTGCTGCGGAATGCTGCCGCCGGATGTGAGGACAACCAGCTGGCTCTGGCCACAGCGCTCGCCTCCTCGCCGCTGCTCCATCCGAACCACTTGACCGCCCTCCTTGCCCCTCCGGCCTCGCCGGCCTGTGCGGTGGCGTATCTGCAGCTGTTGGTCAACGTGGTCTCGGCTAACGAAGCTGCTGCTGCTGTGCTGTTTGATCCGGCTCTACCGGTCCTCTCGGCGGTGGTGGCCTCAGAGGCTGCTCGCGCCGTCGATGGCCTCATCGGCCTCGTCCCGCTGTTTGTGGTCCGCGCCGCCGTCGCCGTTCCGGATCTCTTGCCACAGAGTGAGCCTTGGCTTGCGCTTGTGCTGGAGTTAGTGGCCCAACTTGATACCGAGGACTCGCTCCTCTTCACCAACGTTGTGCATCTGGTCGAGCTGGCGGCCGACGCAGGCGTGCTCGGCGCCTGGCTGGCCGCCGCCAAGACAGCGTCGCCTGACTCGGCCATGGAGCTGCTGAAGATCCTCGACGGCCTCGTGCACCGTGCCGAGAGCGAGGGCGGCGACGTGACTGCATTTACTCCCCTGCCGCTTGCCGAGACCATCATGGACGACCTGGTGGGCGACATCAACGCCATGCTCATGCCGCTAGCCGCCGGCGCGCCGACGGCCGGCAGCGGCAGCGACAGCGACGACGACGACGGACTGACCGGGCGCATTGCTGTCAACCGCGACGTGCAGGACTCGGCCATGGCGCTTCTCCGCCTCCGCCTCCGCATCCTCGGCATGGTGCTGGGCGGGGCGGAGCCAGTGCTGCGCGACGCCGCCGGATCCCGCGGCCTCGTCGCCGGCGTCACCATGCTGCTCAAGGCTGTCCACGCCGCGCAATCGCACACTGTCCAGGCACGCCGCGCGCGGAACGGGCCTGACCATGACGGCTCTGGCATTCCCGACGGCCTTCTTGCCGAGGTCATGCGGCTCGTGGCCAATGCGGCCTTTGAGTCGCCGGCCAACCAGGACGAGGTGCGCGAGACCGACGGCATGATGGTCATCCTGGACTGTTGCAAGCTTGACGAGCGCAACCCATATCTCCGTGAATGGGCTCTTATGGCTGTCCGCAACCTCACCATTGACAACACCGCCAACCAGGAGGTCATCGCTGAGCTGGAGACTCGCGGCATCGCTCCCGGCACAGACCTCGACTCGCTTGGTATTGATGCCGAGATCGACGAGCACGGCAAGCTCCGGGTCTCGCGTCGCAAGTGAGCATCCTCACTGCAACTCGCAGCAGAGCCATCAATCAAAGACAAACGAGTGCGACTTTGTTAGCGACGGCGGTGCCTCGGGCGTCTCCGAGCCCGAGCCCGAGGCGGAGTCCAGGTCTGAGTCGTCATCAGACTCGCTCCCCAGATGCTCCCGCCTGATCACGCCGGCGTCTTGCTGGGCACCCACTCCTGGCGCTTGCGCCTTCACCGGCCATGCCCTCGGCGGAGGCTGCAGCTCGTCCTCTTCCCTGTTGTCGTCCTGATCAAAATCTTCATACTCGTACTCGTCCTCAGATGACGACGACTCCTCGCCCTCGTACCAGTCGAGCTTGCTCTGCATAAGCGCCATCTTGTAGCGGAGGACGACAATCTCCTTGCGGTAGTAGTTGACCAGGTTCTCCTGCTCCTCCAGCCGCCGCTTGAGCAGGACCACGTCAAGCGCTTCACCGCGCGTCGTCTCGTCCAGAAACCGCACCGACTTTTTCTTGCCCTTGGCCAGCCTACTTCGACCCGCGGCCACCGTCTTGGGTGCAGGCGTGCTACCTGTCATCGCTGCCGCCTTCGCAGCAGCTCTGCCAGCACTGTTCTCGCATTCGTCGGCCTCTACTGGTGCGCTCGCACCTGCCTCGCCGCCCACCTCAGACATCCCAGCCGCTTCCTGTGCCCGGCTCGTCTCCATCTCGGCCTCGTCCTCGGCCGTCCGCCACATGTCGGCCAGCACCTGGTGGCGATGCTTGGTCAGCAGCTTGTCGATCGAGTGCATCGAGTCGCGCGACCGTTTCGCCAACGCCTTGGCCGCCTCGGCCCCAGCCTCACCATCGCCATCATCCACCACCGGCAGCGGTCGCTCTCGCCTTCTCGCCCGCCGCGCCGCAATGCTTGCTTGGCTTCCCCGGCAGCATGCCGTCCACCGTCCTTGCTTCCGCCGTCGTCGCCGCCGCCCGAGTCACCAGCGCCGGTGGGCGCAGGCTCCACGGCCCCTTTAGACTCTCTGTCCACGCACGCCTCGATGCACACCTCGTCCATAACTGGCTCGATCCCGCTGGTTGTCCCGACTGGTCCCGTCTTCACCCCTCCGCCACGCCACGCCACCCGCTCGCCTCGCTTCGGCGTGGAGTGTGGGCGCTCGGCCACAAGTCGGCTCCTTTGCAAGTGTCACCGCCGAACTTTTTCTGCCCCTAGAATCCACTGACCACGCCCTGATCGCTCCACTGTGGCCTCTGCACTCGCCACATCATAATCTAACGCCGCCGCTCACCAATGGCTTTATGACCATACATCTACATGCTCCGTTCTCGCTGCCTGCTTGCTGCCCTGCCGCCCTCACACCCACCCCGAGATGAAGGCCCCCAATGCTGGGCATCGCCACCAGCACCCAATAACCCGCTCCACCATCACCCCTCCCCTCCCATCCTTCCCCACCATTGCACCATTGCATCCGTAGCGATCAACCCAGTACCCCCTCCCCCCTCCCCCCCCTACTTCCAACACAGCGACGTGGCCTTCGCCAAAAAATAACGGACCGTCCACCGATTAAAAATAGACAACGAAAAAGTGGGCAACTGGTTGGCATGGCGAGTGTCGGCGAGCGGAGAGCCAACCGACCAACCGACGACTGGTGAAGGGCTGGGGGGGGGAGGGGCGGGGGGGGGGGGGGGGAAGGGGAACAGCAGGCGAGCGTAACATCTCACCACCACTCTTGCCTGCCGGAGAGGGACTTCTGTATGGGTGCTAACCAAGGAAAGGCTACCAACGGCAAGGGGGGCAAGGGCAAGGGCAAAGGTAAGGTCAAGGGTAAGGCTAAGGGCAAGGCCAAGAGCAAGACCAGCACAGCCGCTGCTCCTGCTCCTGCTCCTGCTCCTACCCCTGCTCCTGCCCTTGCCCCTGCTCCTGCTCCTGCCTCTGCTCCTGCCCCGGGCAGCTCCTCCACCCCTACCACTGCTGCCACATCTGCTCCTGCTCCTGCTCCTGCTGCCTCCAGCTCGGCTACTGCTGCTCCTGCTCCCGCTCGACCAACTGCTGCCGCTCCTGCTCTCGCTGCTCATGCTCCCGCTCGGCACTCGTCCGCTTCGCAGCAACCGCTTGCTTCCCGTCCGCAGTCGACAACCGCTACTGTGACCTACGCCGGTGCCAGGTCGTCGGGGACGCAGCGCTGGCTGCTGCTCCGCTCTCGCCGCCGATGGCCTCGGGCTCGGCTCCCCGCACCAAGCACAAGGGCAAGCGCAAGTCGCGGAAGGGTTCCACAGCTGGCAGCCCACCGACGCGGGGAAGCGTAGGCCTGGATCACACCGGCCACCGCCGGTCGCCCATGCCTTCCGAGGTCTCGCACTCGCCGGAAAAGGCTTCAGCTGCCGACGACGCACGGGTCGAGCGCAAGCTCGCCCTGCTCTCGGACAGAGAGATGGAGCTGGAGCGCCGAGAGCAGAGCCTGCGTGCCGAGGCTGAGCGGCTGGCGTTGGTGGCTTCTTCGCTCCAGGCTGACTACACCAAGCTGCAGCGCTCGGTCAAGGCAACCCAGATGGCCGAGCACGAGGCGCAGGTCCGCCTTCGGCGCAAGGACAACGAGGCCCGCCGGGCACAGAACCAGATGCTCAAGTACGAGCGCAAGGTCCGCCACGAGGAGCGCCTCATTCAGGAGGAGAAGAAGCTCCTCCGCTCCGCCATTGCCGACGCCATCACCGACGGCGCGCTCAAGCCGCAGCAGATCTCGCACGTCGAGGCCCTTGCTCGCAAAACGGTGTGGGATCCAAAAGTCAAGACCACCTCGCTGCTAGCCTCGCTTCCAGCCGAGAACTCGACCACCCGTTCGGCCGCAGGCTCGGTGGCGGACACCACCCTCCGCGACGGCCCGCCGCCCAAGACCTCGTTCTCGGGCCTCCCGCTCGACGCCAACGGCAAGCCGATTTACCCCAAGCGCCGCGCACGCCGCAATGCCGGCACCGCGTCCCAGGGCGGCTCGGCGTCCGGCGTGTCCGCTACGCGTGCACCTGGGCGCGGCTCGTCCGACGCGGGCGGCGGCCCGCCGCGCGGCACCGTCGTCACCATCGACGTCACCCAGCTGCCGGTCTCGCCTGACACCTCTCCGATTGCGCGTGGGCCGAACGCCTCGGTCCTGGACGTCATCGACACCTCGGGCATCGGCAACTCGCATGGCTACACTTCGTCGCAGTATCGCGCGGCCCGCGCGGCCCAGGAACTCTCGCCGTCGCCGGCGCTCCGCCGGCGCTCGCGACGTGGTGACGACACCGAGTCGGTCACCTCGTGCTACTCGACGCGCTCGGTCGTCCTCGACGACAACGAGCTCGATGCCATGTTTGCGCTTCGCAACTCGAGCGGTGCTGAGCCGGCGGCGCCACCGACCGGCTCGTATGCCGCGTCGTTCCTCGACCGCTCGCGCTCGTCACGCGCCCACGACGCGTCGGCTTCGGAAGGCTACGCCTCGCAGTTCCGCAAGCGTAAGCAAAAGTCGACCAACTCTCGCGTCCGCCCACCGCCGCGCAAGACCGCACCATCGGGCACCAAAGCATCAGCCGGCGCACCGAGCGGGAGCAAGCCGAGCGCGACCAAGCAGTCCAAGGCCAAGAGCGCCCAGGCCGACCAGGTCCGTGCCCTTGGCTACGAAGCCATCTATCCAGACGTGAGCATCGACGAGTCGGCGCCACGCCCGCGGCCGGTCCGGCGGCGGCGGCGCAAGGTTCGCACCACTGGCTCTGTCGGCGCGGCCGACGTGTCTGTCGCTTCGGGCGCGTCGGCTCCTCACGACGAGTCCGACTCGGAGTCTGTTGCCACGCTCACGTCTGCGTCGTCGCTTTCGACGCTGCCCGGGCGCCACGACCACATCCATGTTTCGCTTGACCCAGACGCGCCGGTCGACGACGACCTGCGCCACTTGCTGGACCAGATGGACCGCTTCCAGCGCGAGGTCGCCCGCCGCAAGATGATGCGCGAGACAACAGCCGCCGCTGGCTCCTACGCCGCCGCCCACTCATCGCTCCTCGCCACGCGCGCCCAGAACTCGGCCTCTTCGTCGACCATTCGCCAGATCGAGGCCGACATGGCGTCGGACGACGAGCTGGTTGCCCGTCGCGACGGCGCCGACGCCACTCCGTTCTTTGACGTCTACGCCTCGGGCACGCCGGCTCCTCACGAGCAAACCCGTGCTGCGGCCACAGGCTCTGGCCCGCTCTCGACCACCGACCTGGCGTCGGGAACCCGCCGGCAGAGCTCAAGCACCACCGCGTCGATTTCGGGCGCGTCGATCGTCACCCGGTCGGCGTCGACGTCGGTTGACGGCGGCGACGCCGCGCCGGCTGCTCACTACTCGGGCGGCTCCTACGCCGACGCCCACGGCTACGAAGCGCAACTGCCTGCTGCCTCGAAGCCGGTTGAGCTCACCGAGTCCGACGACTTTGACGAAGCACTGCTCACCGGCAACCACTTTGGCACCGTCGGCCTCGCTGCCTACCTCTCCGAGGACGAACAGGACGCTGCTGACATTGCCGACGCCGACGCTTCACTGGCCGACGTGCTCGACGCCGAGCCGATGCCGGCGCCCACCCCGGCGCCCGCGCCTGCCCATCCGCTCTCGTCGTCGTCACACGCCCTCTCGTCGGCCGATGACATCGAACTGGAGCCGCAGCCCGCGCATGAGCCGGCAGTCATCGCGGTCAACCTCTTTGCCTCGGGCCCCGACTCCTCGCTTCCAGCGGCCGAGCCGGTACCGGAACCTGCGCCTGCGCCTGCCGTCGACGGCTCGCTCTCTATCGAAGATCTCTCGGCGTGTTCGGCCGAGTTCGAGCCCGAGTCCAAGGCAGAGCTTGAAGCTGAGCCCGAGCCGGCCGCCCGAGCCGTCCCGCCCACCCCGCAGCCATCCAAGCCTGTCGACGACCCGTACCTCGCCGAGTTTGGCCTCGACTCGTCGTCTGACTCGCTCGTCATCGACCACCAGTTCTCGTACTCGGAGCGCGCGATGGCAGCTCAGCAGTAAAGCAAGACGCTCAAGACCGCACGCTTTGACCTGCACGCGTTTGCTTGCGTTTTATTCATCCTGCAGCTGGATCTTGACCAGCTCGGGCGTCGCCTCCCACCACCGTTCAAAGTCGGAACGGAGGACCGACGACGCGAGCTCGACCGCCCGCTCGAGGAAGGCCAGTTCGTCGACAATAGGCTGCATCCATGCACGGTTCCGTTCAAACAAGACCTCGTCGTCGGGGTTAAGCACGGCCTCGCGGCCAGAGTTTTTTCGGGCCACACAGTTGAGAATGACACCGTAGAGCAGTCCCTTGCCCGAGTCGATGAGGTCGTGCTGGAGCTGACGTCGGAGCGAGCCGAGCATGCGCTTCTTCTGCAGGACCCGCTTGCGCTTGGAGAGCCCAGGCTCGCTCGACATGTACTTGCGGAAGGCCTCGTCCTTGGAGATCGGCTCGCGATCGGCACCAGGCTCAGCGCCTGCGCGGGTCAGCCGCTCGTATACGCCCTCGCTGCCGCAGTCACGCGCATGGGCGGCGTGCTTGCGCTCAGCGAGGACGGCCGAGACAGAGTTGATTTCCGGCACAAACGAGCACTCGCGATCCATGTCGGCCTTGATCTCCTTGACATGCTCACGATATCGGCTCAACGCTGTCGGCGGCACCGCAGCATGGAGCGCCCCGTCGGGCACCTTGTCCGGGGAGCCGTACTGCTCAGCAAGCTCGCGCTCAATGCGAGTGTACGACATTTCGCGGGAGGCCTCGGTGATCTTGGGCACATGCGTGCACACCTGAGCCTCCTCTGCAGCCAGCTCAGCGCGGAGCTTTGCGGTTCGCTCCGACGAGATCGGATCGGCAAACTTGAGCATCGACGGCTCGCGCGGACCCTTCTTTGCCGCCAGCGCCAGCGACTCTGCGCTCACCTTGGGCACAAACGTGCATTCGGCCATGCGATCGGCCTCGACCTGCGCAGCCAGCTGAGCCCACCGCTTCTCTTGCTCGGGCGTGCGCTTGACCGTGAGGTCAACCCGGTTTCGCGACGCCGCCGCCGCCAGCTTGCGCGATCGCTCCGAGATGACCGGCTGGTACGTGAGTTCGGCGTCCCAGTCAATCTTGGCACGGCTGGCCTTGGCCGACGAAGCCTTGAGACCACGGGTTCCCACAAACGATGGTGCTCGCGCCACAGTTGTCGGCTGGACATACCGCTTGCGAGCTCTTGCGGGCGGCGACGACGACGCAGCCGGTGTTGGCGACGAGGTACGGACGCGGCTGGGGCTCTCATGCGCCCGCGGCGACGCGCTGGGGCTGACCGCACCACGGGCTCGGCCCTGCGGGTTTCGGCCGTTTCCGCCCGACCCGGCTCGGACTTGCGGCCGCGAACGGGAGCGGTGGAGCACACGGTGGTGAAAGGCAGACGGTGACATGCCGTACTGCTCACGGTACCACTCCTCGAACGCACGCTGCTGCTTCCGCTCGATCTTGTTGAGCGCCATCTTGAGCGTTTGCACCTCTTTGGCCTTGGGTACAATCTGCGCTGCGAGTGCTTGCTTGGCCGCCTTTGCGGGCGACGCTCGCTTGCGGCCCTTGGGCGACGAGGCCGCGGTTAGCGACTTGAGCTTGTCCGGTAGAGCGGCGAGCTCCTTGACACGAGCCGCGAGGATGGTTCGCCGCTGGGCCACTGCGCGGGCGAGAGCGGCGCCGTGATCTGAATTGTGCGACCAGGCCTTGAAGGCGTCAGCCGGTTCGACTGGGCGCGGCTGTGGACGGCGCGAGCGGGCAAGGCCGTGGCTCGTTTCGGTGAGAAAGAGGCGGTCAAAGACGGCGCCGCGCTCGCGCTCGACATCGACGCCGCCTTCGCCCGAGTCAACGCTCGACCCGCGACGGGCCATCTTGCGCGAGGTTGGCGAAATGGCCGGCAAAAAGGTGCACTCTTTGACCTCGGCGAGCTCTCGGGCATGCAGGTGCTCATCAAGCTGGCGCTGACGTTCGGCCGAACGCGCAAAGAGCGGCGAGTCAAGCGAGAGGGCGGCCAGCTTGGCCTCTGTCGGCGACACGGCGGCGGCCGCTGGTGGCGGCTCACGATGCGTTCGTGGCGAGTCGAGCGAGTCAACCTCGTCGGCGTCAGGCGACGCGGCGACAACGACAAAAACACCGTCGTCGACCTGTCGCTGGAGCCAGGCGTCAAACTCATGAGCATACCGCGACTTGGCCTGGGCCACGATCCGCTGCGCAAAGGCGAGCTCGCGAATGGCGTTCTCAATGGGCTCCGGCGGGTGATACTCGCCGAGCGCTGAGCGGACCGGTGGACGCGGGTTGCGAAGGCCGTTGAGCTGAAACACCTTGTGCAGCGCCAGCTCGAGATCGTCGGGCGTGCCATGAGCCTCAAGCTCGGATCGGACATCCGCAAGCTTGGACGCGTAAATGGCTTCTTTGTCGCGCACAACCCTCCAAGCCTGCTCCGACGCGCGGAACTCGGTTTCTGCCGCCGCGCGGGTCTTGGCCGGCAGCGTCGTACGCGATGCATTGAGCGAGAGCCGGGCGATGACATCGAGCTTGGAGATGGACTTGCCTGTCAACCGCTTGTACGAGGCTGAGATAAGCTCGTCTCCGTTGTTGGCAATGTCGATGGCCGGCTTGAATGCGTTGTCGCGGAGGATGCGGTCATCGGTGGAGAGGCCGATGTCCGGGTTGAACCGAGCCTTGCGGGCCTCGAGCTCCTCCTTACTCCGCGCTGCACGGCGCTGCGCCAGACTTTTAGACCGCTCGCGAATGGCAGGCGCAAAGGTCAGCTCGCGCTCCTCCTCCTTGCGGATCTTTCGGCGAGTGGCGTCGAGCACATCGGTCTTGCGCAGCGCCAGCACCGCCGGATCTGACGAATGAGCAGCCTTTGCCGCGAGTTGACGCGATGCCGGCGAGATGGCTGGCGAAAAGGTGAGCTGATCCGAGACAGCGAGCTTGCCCTCGACCATGCAGTGCTTGTGGGTTGGCGACGAGGTGTCGACTGCCGAAAAGATGCTGCTGCCCTCGGCCTTGCCAAACGACGACAGCAGCTGGCTTCGCACACCATCCAGATCCTCTCTGGTCCTCCCGCGCCCACCACCAGCCTTCTGCCGGCTGCTTCGATTTCGCAACTTCGCGCTACCAGCCCCACTCCCGCCAGCTGCAACGCCCAGACGTCCGCGCGGCGCCGGAGTGGCGGCGGCAGCACCACCAGCGGCCCCGGCTGCGGCTCCGCTCGCGCCAGCACCTCGGGCCCTTGGCGCTGGAGTGGCGGCGGCGCTTGCACCTCTTGTCCTTCTCCGTCCAGCGCGCACCGGAGTCGCCTTGGCAGCACTTGCGCTCTTCTTGGCGCTGCCGGTGCCGCGCCCAGCCCGGGCCTTGGGTGCCGGCGTCTGTGTCCCGTCGCGGGGCCGTGGCTTCCGCCCGGCCGGTGTCCCACCACCGCCTCGCCCACGGCCTCGCCCACGGCCTCGCCCACCACTTTGCCGGCCCTTTCTGCCTGCGGCGCCGGTGGGCATGGTGAGTGGCGTGCGGGCGTGCTGCTGCGGTTGCTAGTGCTGCGAGGGGCTCTGCCGTTGCTCGTTCGCTCGCTCGTTCGTGGTTGGTTCATTGCCGCTGGCACCAAATGGGGGCAGTCGTCACGAGGCGGCGGCGGTGGTGGCGGCGGCTGCCTCGGCAATCCGACGCTGGCGCTCCTCCTCCATGGCACGGTTGGCCTCTTCGGCGGCGACGGCGCGGGCGTCGTTGTCGGCCGCCTCGGCAGCTTCCATCGAGGCCTTGCGGCGCTTGCGCTCGGCTTCGGCGAGGCGATCGGCCTCGTTGCGGGCGGCGCGGCGCTCGAGCTCCTCGTTGGAGATCGACTTGGCCTCCTCGGCGAGGCGGCGCTTGCGCTCGGCCTCCATGGCGGCGTCTGCGGCTGACGCTGCTGACGCGCGCTCGGCCTCGTCGGCCCGGGACGCCGCATCAACAGACGCTCGGCGCCGACGCTGCTCGTCGGCGGCCATGAACGCGGCCTGCTTCTTGGACGCGGCATGGAGAAGAGCCTCGGTGGTGTCAGGTTCGAGGGCGCCTGTAGACGATGCAAGCGCCTTCTCCACCATGCCCGACTCGATGAGGCGCTGGCGCTCAGCCTCGACCTGCTGATCGACCTCTTCCCGCGCAGCCTGCCGTTCGAGATCGGTAGCGTATTCAGCCACCGCAATCTCAGCCATCTGCCGCTCGCGCTCTTTCTCGATGGCAGCCAGCGCCTCGACGCGGGCAGCCTTACGCTCTTCCTCGTCACGCGCAGCCGAGTTGTCGACCGACGCCCGGCGGCGGCTGCGCTCCTCCTCCATGGCCACATCTGCGGCGCGGCCAGCAGCCTTGCGCTCTTCCTCGTCACGCGCAGCCGAGTTGTCGACCGACGCCCGGCGGCGACTGCGCTCCTCCTCTTCCATCGTCGCCGCCATCCGCTTGTTTACCACTCGCATGACTTCCGTGTCGGCCTGCGAGTGATCGAAGGGGTGTGAGAAAAGGAAGGGAAAAAAAACTGAGGCCAAAAAAAGGCACGCTTTTCTGCCATGGAACAGTGTGGGGCACAGGCATGGCAGAGGTGTGTGCGTATGTGTTTGGGGGGGAGGGGTATGGAGCGGAAGGAGGGAAGACGGCGAAGAGATCCGGGATGCGTACCGCAGCGCGGGTAGCAGCAATTGCATGGTCTGCAGCAGCGCCATGGTCTGTGTGGCGAGAGGTGCTCCCGTTCAGACACGCCCTCGTGCCAGGTGCACCCACCACAGTCTCGCAATGTTCCACACCCGTGCGTGCCGAGACGGCACGTGCTCAGCGAACCACTATTTTTCGACCATATTTCAGCTGCAAGGCCATGGTATTGATGTGCATCCACAGTGGATGTGAGTGAGTTGTGCATGTGTGTGCATGTGTGTGTGTGTGTATGTGCGTGTATGTGCATGTGTGTGTGTACGTGTGTGTGTGTGTGTGTGTGTGTGCATGTGCATGTGTGTGTGTGTGTCGTGTGCCCGTGGTTCCGGTGTATGAGCGAGTGGTCCAGTTCTGGTCGCCAGCTGGTGACTGTGACGGTGCTCCTCTCTCGTTTTTCCCCCTCATTTCCTCCCACTATGGCCACTGCTGTGCGTTCCGTGGTCAGCCGCTTCCTTGCGCGGTACTCCGGCATCGAGGGTGGAGTCCTCCTCCGCGGCAAGGTCTTCCAGCAGCTGGGGGAGAAGTATCCTTCATTTAAGAAGTTTAACAACGGTATGCTCCTTGCCCGCCCTTCTCCACCATGCCTGCCCCCCTCCCTCCCCCCCCCCCGTCCCGTGCTCAGCGCCACGCGTCCTCTTCTCAATCATCCTACATTGGTGTTCATTCTCCCTCATCCCGGACCCGCCACAGGGCGCACCTTGCACCACAGGGTGACCAGCACACCCCAGACCCACGACACCACTCACATTCTCCCATCGTCTCCCTTTTCCCGCTTCTCTGCGTGTTATTCCGTCATTGCCCGGCGTGTGACTGCTCGCGCTGTGGCGGGCCAATGCGGCGACAAAACGTCAACGAACGTTCGAATGGTGTTATTTCTGCTGGTGGCGTTATCGTGGGCATGACGACGATACGATTCGGCCCGGGCACTGGCTGCGCCAACGGGGCTGGCAACGGTGGCGACCGACGGCAGTGCTGACGGTGGCGCCGGCGTGGAAGTGGGGGCTGGCAGCAGTTCCGTTGTATGGGGCGGTGTCGGGCGATGTGCAGGTGGAGAACATCGACCTCAAGACCTCGGGCGCGCTCTCGCTGACAGGCATTGTCTGGGCGTACTACGGCATGCTTGTTCGACCGACGGCGTACTTGCTGGTCGCCGTCAACATGGCGCTTCTGGCGGTCAACGGGACCAACGTTGCCCGCAAGGTCATGTACAACCGCGAGCTGGCGGCGGCGACCGACCTCTCGGTGGTCGACACCCTCCAGGTGATCCCGGCGCCGGCGCTGACTGCGGTTCCTGCAGCCGACGTCACCGTCGTCACGCCGAGTGTGACCGTGGCCGAGAGCGACGTGGCCGATGCCGACAAGTAAAGTTGCAATTTTGAGATTTACTCGGCGCTCAGCGGCTTGGCCCTCTTGGCCGGCGCGGCGCCGTCGTCATCGCTGGGCGCGGCAGGAGAAGCCGCCGCTGCTGCGGCAGCAGCGCGGACGCCACTGCGTTGGCGTTTGCGGGCGGTGCGGCGCATGGAGGCCTTGCGGGCCTTAGCAGCGGCGATCTCCTCGGCGGTGGGCGCCGACGGGTCGTCCGCGAGCGGCATTGACTTGTGGCCGGCAAGGACAAAGCCCGAGGTGTTGTGGAACGAGACCTCCGGGTGGGTCCGGTCGGGGAGAACCTGCTGCGGGCGGAGGAATGTGTGCGAGAGGCGGAGGGCGATAGCCGAGTCGGTCTCGACCAGCCATTGGAAGCAGGCGACCAGCGGCTCAGCGTAGGAGAAGAAGATGGCAAACGGCTCGCCGAGGCCGAGGATCGGGTAGATGGCCTGAAGGACCGGAAGAGGATCGTCCTGTGGCACCATCAGTAGGCCGTGGGCTGTGCCCTCGGCCAGCGGCAGCGGCGCAAGCTCGGCCGCCAGCTCCGGGTTGACCAGAGCCTCCAGCTGCGTGGTGACGAGCGGGGCGAGGATGGGCGAGTCTCCGCCTTGCGCCCAGTGCATGATGGAGAGGCTGTGGAGCTGCGGCGAGGCACAGCGACCGTAGTTGACGACCTTGCCGTGGCCGCCGCACCGCTCCAGAACGGCACCGGTGAGCAGGCCGTTTGTGCCGTCTACAATTGCATACGAGGCGCCGGCGCGGACGTTGGCAGCAGTCAGCATGTACGCCAGAGCGTCCGGGCGGAGGAAGCAGAGCTTGCGCGGCGAGCGATCAAAGAGGGCGTCGGCGACGCGTGCGGCGGTGGCCTTGTACGCGGTGAGGACGTACTCGTACTTTTGCTTCTTCTTGACAATGTACTTTGCCTGGGAGAAAGCGGTCTTGGAGTCGTAGGCGGCGTGCGACTCGACGAGCTGACCGATGATCTCCTCCACCGGCTTGCCCTCCTCGCGCATGGCCTGGATGGCCTCTGCCGACATGGTCTGCTCCTCCTTGAGCTTGATGTGGCGATTGTCACCGATAACCCCATCCTCCGGCGCACTGATCTCTGTCAGCTCTGTATCCGTAGCCACTGAGCTCATCCGCACCATCTCCGAGCCCACCAGATGGAACATGCTCCCGTACGGCTCGCCGACCAGACCCGCCAGAGTTGCCCCATTCTTCTTCTTCCCCATCCGCAGACTGGTGGAGGCAGAGGCCTTCTTGATCATATAGAAGCCCTTGTTCGACCACAGCACAACCTGCTCACCCTCAGAGATGACATTGTCCTTGCTCTCCATCCTGCCCCTCTCCAACCTCTCCTACTCTCCGTCTCTCTCGAGTCTGAGCGGTGAAGTGGTCGTCGGTCGGCGACAACGAGCCCTGCCACTGTCCGGTCTTGCCCGTCCCGTCTTGACTGACCGCTCATTCGACCAGTCGGATAGCCACGGGGCCTGGGCCTGGGCCAGGAACGGGATGGGGAGGGAGGGAGTGGGGAACAGTGTGTGGTGATGGCGGGATGGGGAGGGAGGGAGGAGGGGGATCTAGGGTGATGGTATCAGTGTGTGGTGATGGCGGGATGGGGAGGGAGGGAGGAGGGGGATCTAGGGTGATGGTATCAGTGTGTGGTGATGGCGGGATGGGGAGGGAGGGAGGAGGGGGATCTAGGGTGATGGTATCAGTGTGTGGCGATGGCGGGATGGGGAGGGGGCGAGGGGGTTGGGAATTGGCGCTGCGTGGGGTGCTGGACATGGTGTGGTGGTGATGATGAGATGAGGACGATTATGTTGACTGCTGATAAGGGCATGATCGGCGCGCGCGCGCGTGTGTGTGTGAGGAGGGGGAGATGGATCATACTTGTGTGTTCGAGATGATGTGGTGGTGATGAGGGTGGAAGTGATTGGAGGCAGTGGGAGGTGGTGTTCATGGGCCATGGTGACCAGGCTTTGGCCTCTGGCTTGGCTGTGGCGACCTGGCGACCACAGGCGAGTGCGACCACCACCGAAGGTCGCCCGCCGACCACCTGACCACCCAAGCCGACGACCTGTGGCCACACCCGTCCACCCCACCCCTTCTTCCACACCCCCCACACCCCCACCCTCCCCCCCACCCACCCCATGCACTCGCCCACCCCCTCGCCGCCGGCCACCGTCACCCTTGCCGTGGCTGACCTGTCCGGTCGTACCGTCGCCCTCGCCCTCGCCCCGCCGGCTACCTATGCCACAGCAACTGCTGCTGCTGCTGATGCGCTGGGCGTGGTGGAGGCCATGCGTCTGCTCCCGCCACCGCCGCATCCAATGCCCTCCGGTCACACCGATGAGCTTGTTCCTGATGTCTTTGTCGGACCGGGCGCTCCACCGCTGCTCGCTGTCATGGCTCGTCCGCCGGTCGACCCGCCGCCGCCAGAGCCCGGCCTGCCGCCGTCAATGGACGAAGTCATGCGCGTCACCTCCGCCGCCATCGATGACGACGATGCCTCGCTCGATCGTGCACATAACGTGTGCGCCTCGGTCCGTGAGCTCGTCTCCTCGCTCCTTGGCATTCCTGTCGACGCGCTCGACGCCGACGAGGCGTCACAGGACGTTCATGCCTCATCGACGCCACAGCCGGCTCGAGTCCCGCCACCGGTTGCTGCTGGCCCACTTGCTGCCCTCACTGACATGGGCTTCCCCGAAGCCCACGCCCGCAAGGCGCTCATGCTCGCCGGCGACTCGGTTGCTCGCGCCATGGAGTGGCTGCTACTGCACGAGGGCGATCCCTCGCTTGACGCCCCACTCTCCGAAGAAGAGCTCCAGCGCGTCGGCGTACTGGCTCCCTCCGCTGCAGCTGACGCAAGTGCCACGGGCGCAATCGCTGCGCCACCACCATCGTCTGCTGGTGACGCTGCCGGCGAGCCCTCTGTGTCCGAGCACACTGAATCGCTTGACGCAGACCCCTTCCAGCCCAACGCAGACATCCTGGCCTCGATCCGTGACATGGGCTTTCCCGATGATGACATTATCGCCGCCCTTCGCGCTACCGACAACCACGAGGAGGCCACCGTAGCCTGGCTCCTTGGCGACTTTGACACTGCCGACGCGCTCGTCGCGGCACGGCGGCCCGGCGCGAACGAGGGTGCTCCAAGCGATGGTAGCCTGGGCGTAGACGACGTTACGCCATCAATCGACACGCAGTCGCCTATTGTCCAGGCCATTGTCAACAATCCAACCATCCAGGCCGGCCTGCGCAAGCCACACGTCCTTCAGGCCTTCCACATGCTGCTGACAGACCCGTCGTCGGCGGTGCAACTGATCAACGACCCCGAGGTCGGACCCATCCTTCTCCGCATTCACACCATCATCTCCAACCTCGCTGCCCGCACCCACTAGCCGCGGTTTTACTCGTTCACCTCGTGGACGTGATGCATGTCGTGCGCCTTGCACCACTCGAGGCCGGCAATGGCCCGCAGCTTCTGCAGCTGCTTCATCGAGTAGTTGGCTGCGCCGAACTGGACCGACACCTCGAGCTCGTTCCCGGCGCGAGAGACCGTAAACGCCTCGGTCTCACCGGGGAACGCGTGCGACATAATAACCATAAAATCCGGCTTTGAGTTGGTCGGCATGCCGCCAACCGCCGTGATGGCGTCACCAACGAGCAGCCCCGCGGCCTCGGCAGCCTTGCCGGTCCGCAACTCCTTGATCACCACTCCTGTCGATGCCGTGTCGACCACCACACACCCGAGCTGCGGCTTGAGCCCGAGAAGAATCTTCCGCGCCTTGTCGCGCCTCTCGGTCTCGGGGTCGGGCTGCGGCTCGGCTGCTGGCACCGATGCGCTGGCACCGGCAGTGCGCTCGTCGTCGTCGCTGTCGGTGTCGGCATCATCGAGCGCAAGCACCTCAAGCTTCGACTTGTCCACCTTTGCGGCCGGTGGTGCCATCGCAAGCGGCCCATTCAGCGCGGCATCCACTTGTGCCTTGGTGGCGCTCGAGCGATGCTCAAAGACCTTGGCTCCTGCCTCCGCTTGGAGCGCACTTGCCGCAGCCATAGCTGCCCGAAACGCGGCCAGCTGTTCTGAGCGCACGCAGCCAGAAGCGGCCGAGCTGGAGGCGGCCCTTACCGCCAGCGGCGAACCTTGCTCTCCGTCAGCGTCGGCTGCATCATCCACAGCGACACTCGTCACATCGGGCACAGCCATGTCCTGGCCCAAGAACGAGCCACGCGCACCTGCAGCCGTCGCACGGCCGATGGTTGCGGCAGCGACGTGCCACCAGGTAAATGCAGCCGCGAGCGCGGCGCGCCACGCAGGAACGTCGGCTGGCGAGCTCGGTGTGAGCGTGTAGCGGATATCCGGACAGCCGTTGCTACGACCCGGCACCACAAAGACGAGTACATGACCGTCCGCTGCAATTGTGCCCTCGAAAGCTCCGCCGTCGAGGCGGACTGCGTTCTCGACGCCAGCATCGGTAGCCGCCGAAGAGTACAACAGGAGGATGTTGTGACGGACTGCGGCGTAGCCATACGGCTTGGAGACGTCTGCAGAGACGGCCAGAGCCACACCGCCGTCGCATGCAGGAAGGCCACCAGCATCGGCATCACTTTTGGTCACGCCATAGGCGGCAAGAGCGAGCTCGAGGTCCGAGTCAAACGCATCGTGAACAGCGCGCATGGTCGGGACGAGGGCGGCCGTCGGCACAAACCGAGTCCCCTTTTCAGCAGCCGCAGCCAACTCGGCCTCGAGCTCGGCGACACGATCGCGGAGAGTGGTCAGCGCGGCTACATCATCAGCGTGGGCAAGCGAGTATACCTCCTCAAGGGCGGCCAGTTCGGTCTCAAGAGCGGCGATCTGGTCGGCTTCTGTAGCTGCGGTCGACTGGGCCTCAGCCAGCGAGCGCGAGAGCTCCTCAACATGCTCGGTGTCACGAGCCTGGATGGCATCTAGCTCGGCGTGGGTGGCGTCGAGCTTGGAAGTGAGGGAAACCAGGCGCTCTTGCATATCAGCAATGCGGGCATCGTCAGCCTCGCGCAGTCGAGCAAGCTCATCCTCGAGCTCGGCGATGCGTGCGCGAAGCTCGGCATCAGAAGACTCCATCTCGGCCTTGAGAGCGGCAAGTTCGGCCTCAAGCTCAGCGATGCGATTCTGGTCCGCATCTTGGAGAGCAGAAAGCTCGGTGTGCATGGCAGCAAGCTGAGCCTTATTGCTCTCGAGCTCGAGCTCGGCCTGAGAGACCTTGGAGGCAAGCTTGGTCGACTCGTCGTCGGCCTCAGTCTCCAGGTCGGCAATGCGAGCATCGCGTGCAGCCAGAGTCTCTGTCAGCTCGGCGATTCGGGCATCGCGGTCAGCAATGATAGACAGCTCCGTCTCGGCGGCAGCAAGCTTCTCTTGCACCTCGGCCAGCTCCGCCTCGAGTGCAGTGATCCGCTCGGCATCATCCTCCTTGGTCGACGCCAGCTCCGCCTCGAGTGCAGTGATCCGCTCGGCATCACCCTCCTTGGTCGAAGCCAGCTCCGCCTCGGCGGCTGCAAGCTTCTCCTGCACCTCGACCAGCTCCGCCTCGAGTGCAGTGATCCGCTCGGCATCACCCTCCTTGGTCGACGCCAGCTCGGCCTCGGCGGCAGCAAGCTTCTCCTGCACCTCGCCAGCTCCGCCTCGAGTGTAGTGATCCGCTTGGTATCATCCTCCTTGGTCGACGCCAGCTCCGCCTCGGCGGCAGCAAGCTTCTCCTGCACCTCAGACAGCTCCGCCTCGAGTGTAGTGATCCGCTTGGTATCATCCTCCTTGGTCGACGCCAGCTCCGCCTCGAGGGCGGTGATCCGCTCGGCATCGCCCTCCTTGGTCGACGCCAGCTCCGCCTCGAGGGCGGTAATCCGCTCGGCATCGCCCTCCTTGGTCGACGCCAGCTCGGTATCGGCGGCAGCAAGCTTCTCCTGCACCTCAGACAGCTCCGCCTCGAGTGTAGTGATCCGCTCGGCATCACCCTCCTTGGTCGACGCCAGCTCCGCCTCGGCGGCAGCAAGCTTCTCCTGCACCTCAGACAGCTCCGCCTCGAGTGTAGTGATCCGCTTGGCATCGCCCTCCTTGGTCGACGCCAGCTCCGCCTCGAGTGCAGTGATCCGCTTGGCATCACCCTCCTTGGTCGAAGCCAGCTCCGCCTCGGCGGCAGCAAGCTTCTCCTGCACCTCAGCCAGCTCCGCCTCGAGTGTAGTGATCCGCTTGGTATCATCCTCCTTGGTCGACGCCAGCTCGGCCTCAAGCGCAGTGATACGCTCGGCATCGCCCTCCTTGGTCGACGCCAGCTCGGCCTCGAGTGCAGTGATCCGCTCGGCATCACCCTCCTTGGTCGACGCCAGCTCGGTATCGGCGGCAGCAAGCTTCTCCTGCACCTCAGCCAGCTCCGCCTCGAGTGTAGTGATCCGCTCGGCATCGCCCTCCTTGGTCGATGCCAGATCCGCCTCGAGGGCGGAGATCCGCTCGGCATCGCCCTCCTTGGTCGATGCCAGATCCGCCTCGAGGGCGGTGATCCGCTTGGTATCATCCTCCTTGGTCGACGCCAGCTCGGCCTCGAGGGCGGTGATCCGCTCGGCATCACCCTCCTTGGTCGAAGCCAGCTCCGCCTCGAGTGCAGTGATCCGCTCGGCATCGCCCTCCTTGGTCGAAGCCAGCTCCGCCTCGGCGGCAGCAAGCTTCTCCTGCACCTCAGCCAGCTCCGCCTCGAGTGTAGTGATCCGCTTGGTATCATCCTCCTTGGTCGACGCCAGCTCGGCCTCAAGCGCAGTGATACGCTCGCCGTCACTCTGCTTCACCTCTGCCAGCTTCACCTCGGTCACAGCCAACTTCTCCCGTGCACCGGCAAGCTCTGCCTGGACGTCACCAAGCCGTCCTTGCAGCAGATCAGCTCGGTCTGTCGCACCCTGGATCCGCTTCTCTGCAGCCTCCAATCGAGTCTCTCCATCGCGCTCCACAGCAGCAACCTTGGCCTCGAGTCTTGACACTTCGTCCTCGAGCCCACTAACCCGCCTTTCGGAGCCGGCGCACGTAGTTTCCAGCCCAGCCACAGTCTTCCTCAGCCCCACAATCTCCGCCTCTAGGCCTTCGGCCTGCATCTTGCTTTCCCCTCGAACGCGTGCCAGTTCATCCTCGAGCTCGACGATGCGCGCTTTGCTCTTCTGCCGCGCTTCCGCGAGCTCCTCATCCAGCTCCGCAATCCGACGCGCCTCGGTTGCCCGGCTCAGCTCCACCTCGGACTTGACCCGCGACAGGTGTTCGGCCTCCTCGACCTTGACCTGCTCAAACTTGGCCACAGACACCGCTTCCGCGTCGACCACCTCGGCCTCCAGCGCGCTGATCCGTTTCGCCGACGTAGTCCGTTCGAGTGCTAGCTCGGCCTCGAGCTCGCCAATCTTCGCCAGCGACTTCACTCTGGCCTCCGAAAGCTCGGTCTCGAGCTGCGAGATCCGCTGCGCAGCTGATGCCTTGACATCGCCAAGCTCGGCCTCCAACTGGCTGATCTTGGCCTGGCTGGTCGCGGCTGCAGTACGCAGCTCTTCCCGTATCCGCGCGTTCTCCTCCTTTGCGGCTGCCACCAGACCTTGAAGCTCGCTGACAGTCTCACCGTGTCGCGCCCGCTCGGCGGAACGATCCGCATCGAGCCGGGCTACCCGGCTCGCTGCATCTTCCTCGCTGCAAGTTGCCTTCTTCGCTAACGCAGCTGCCTCGGCCTCGCTCCGACCCAGCGATGCGAGCGCTGTCGCGAGCTCACCTTCAGCCTCTCCCGCTCGCTTCTTCGCCGCGGAAAGCTCGCCGCTCACTTCAGCAAGCTCGCTCTCTACGCGTGCAAGCTTGGTTGCTTGAATCTTCAGCTCACGCTTGGCTCCACTAAGCTCTGCACCCAGTTGAGCTTCACGTCCCTCGAGCTCAGCACGCGCCTCCACCCACTTGGTCCGCGCTGTTGCAAGCTCATCTTCTGCTCTGCAGATCTTCTCCTTTCCAGCAGCCAACTCGGCCTCAAGCTCGCTTCGCGAACGCACAGCTGCCCGTGCTTCAGCCTCGGCTCGAGCCTTCAACTCGTCGACTTCGGTCGCAAGCCGCGCCGCATTCGCCCGCTCATTCGCACGATCGCCGGAAACCTTCCGCGCCTCGTCACGCGCAGCGTCCACGTCGCCCTGAAGGCGCGTCTTGACTTCTGCAGCGCTTGCCTCGGTAGCCGCGAGTCGGTTGCTCAACCGGCTGTTCTCGTCAACCGTCAGCTCGACCTGCTTTCGCAGCCCAGCCAATTCGGCTTCCAGGCCGGCCACACGCTCCTTACTTGCAGCCATACATTGCGCTGCTTCGTCGCGCGCATGCGAGGCATCCGCACGCGCCTGAGACAGCGAGCTAGTCAAGCCAGCCACTTCGTCGACAAGACCATCACGGCGCGCCTCCAATCGTGCGCATTTCTCCTCTAGCGCTCCAGCATGCACACGCAGCTCGCGCTCGCGCTCCTGGCTTTCTTGGCAGGCAGTCCGGAACCGGTTCGACTCGGCCTCGGCCGTGGCGACTCGCTCTCGTAGCGACACGCCTTCCGCCACAGCTCCCGCGCACGCAGCTCGTACCTCCTCCAACGCACTTGCTTTGGCATCCAGGTCGATGCGCGTCCGCGCAAGCTTGCTCTCTGTCTGCACTAGTTCCTCGCGGAGCGTGCTCACTTCTCGACGCGCCGCCGCCAGGCTCGTCGCTTCGCTGGCACTCTGCGCACTAAGCTCACGCACTTGGAGCGCTATCTCCATCTTGGCCGCACTCTCGCGCCCACTGGTCTCCTCCAACTTGGCCACCGCTGATGCCAGTCCGCTCCGCTCCGTCTCCGCTACGCTCAGCTTAGCCTTGGTTGCGCCAAACGCAGTCATCGCTTCCTCATGCTCGCTCCGTGCAGCTGCCAGTCGCGCCTCAGCCTGCTCCTCCCGCGCCTCGCTCGATGCCCGCGCCCTGCGCTCAGCCTCGAGAAGGCTTTCGGCCTCGCGCACCAACCGCCGCAGCTCGCTCACCTCGCCTGCTTGCTGATCCACCACATCCCGAAGCTTACGAATGCTCTCGTCGGCAGCCCGCGCTTGCGCCTTCAGCTGCTCGCGGAGCTGGCTGACGAGCTGGCGTTCACGCGCAACCGTGTCGTCTCGCTCAGACAGGCTCGCCATCAGCCCATCCCGCGACGCTTCTAGCCCGGCTGCCCGTGCCAATGCCTCGTGCAACGACTGGCGCAGCTCGCCCTCGCGTGCCGTGCCAGCAACAGCTTCCTCGCGTGCAGCGACTGCACGCGCCTGAAGCTCGGCAGCTCGTGCGCCGCTTGCCTCGCGTGCAACAGCGTGTGCCTCTTCCCGCTCTGCAGCGCCCTCGAGCTTAGCCTCCAACACCGCGTTGGCTCGATTAGCCATGGCAAGCTCTCGTCGCATCTCAGCGATCTCGGCCGCCTGCGCGGTCGCATCACGTCCTGCCCGCTCGCGTTCCGCTTGCCGCTGTGACCCAATCGCCTGAAGCTGCTGCCTCAAACATGTGCCGTCGTCACGGAGTCCAGCTACTTCCCGCTCGAGCGCACTCTGCTGTCGACGCGTCTCGGCCACTTCGCCTTCTAGCACCGTCACGGCAGCACCAAGCTCTCGTTCACGACCAGCACTCAGCTCGGCGCGCGCTCGCGCACGCTCCAGTGCAGTGGCTGCCTCGGCAGCATCGCGCTGCGACCGCGCCTCGCAAGCACGCAGTCTGCTTGTCTCAGCCTCACTCGCCTCCAGTGACGACCGCAACGCCCGAAGCTGTTGCCGTGCCGCCCGCTCTGCATCACGCGACTCTGCTAGCCGGCGCCGTGTCTCCTCGAGAGCCGCAGCTACGGCATCCACACCAGCCTGCTCGATCTCGTCATCGGCAGCGTCCAACGCTGTCTGCTCGGACCTGGACACAGCGACGGCCTTCGCCTGGGAACGCGCTGCCTCCACTTCGCCTGCAAGCCGGGCCACGTCAGCGGCGGCCTCGGCCAGTCGCTCCTCGCGCTCTGTAGCCTCATCTACTCCCATCCACCACCACTCGTGCTCCCCAGTGAGTCTCACACTCGCATTTCTCGTTGCAGAAGGGCATGTTACCCCCCTTTTTTCCTCATTCCGTACCCCGTCGTGCTGTCAGTTTGGCCTTCGCCGCGGCAAGCTCGTCTTCCAGCTCTTCCACTGCCACTTGCAAGCTCGACGACTGCGATCGCGCCTTGCTCACTGCACCGGTAAGAAGAACCACCTCAGACTGCGCCTCGTGCAGCAGCTCCTCAGAGCTGGAGAGTGCCTCGCGCAGTCGCGCAGCCACCCCCCGCTCGTGGTTGGCCTCGTCGTGCGCCTGCTGCAGCTCGGCTCGAAGCTCGCGCAGCTCGGCGCGCTGTTGCGCGAGGTCATCCTCAAGCTCATCCGCACGCTCAGCCGCGCGGCCAGCTGCGGCCAGCTCCCGCTCGAGCTCGTGCACACGCACAAGCGCATTGGCGCCGTCGCTCGCCTCAGCTTCCGCAACAGCAAGTCGCGCCTGTGCCCGCTTGAGCTCGGCACCCAGTGCAAGCTCGCGCGCGTCGGCGTCAGCCGCAGCCTCACGAGCCGCGTCGCCGTCGTCGAGCGCCCGCGCAAGCCGTGCCTCTACCGCACTACGCGCAGCCTCCGAATCCTTGAGTGCGTTTTCGTTCTGGGCAGCTTCGCTGTTGGCGAGCGAGAGCTCCTCGCGAAGCCGTGCCGTCTCGTTCACCAGGTCGGACTTGACCTGGTGAAGTGCTTCCTCGCGCGAAATCATCGCTTGCCCGGAGAGCTCGGCTGCATCAAGCGCCTGTCGCGTCGCCTCCAGCTGGGCCAATGCTGTCTCGGCTTCGGCAGTCCGGCTCGCAAGCAGCGCTTCGGCTTCGTCGAGCGCCGTCGCCGACGCTGCCGCCGCTGCTTCAGTCGACTCGTGCAGGCTAAGCAGCTCGTCAATCTTAGCCACGAGCTGCTCCACGTGACTCTCGGAGTCCATCAGCTCGCTCTCAAGCTCTTCACACTTGCGGCCTAGCGCCGCCTGCGCCATTTCAGACTCTTGCAGCGCCTCGCTCAGCGAAGTGACGTCCGAAGAATGCTTCTCGCACAGCACCTTGGCCCGCTCAAGCTCAGCCTTGGTCGTCGCAAGAGTGGAGTCAGCCATGCTGGCAGCAGCTTCGAACTCTTCACGAGCTTCACGCTCGGTCGCCGCTGCCGCCTTGGCTGCCTTAAGCTTGCTCGACAGCACCGCAGCCTCCTGCGACATTGCCTCGTGCTCCGCCCGGAGACTCTCAAGGCTTCGCTGAGTCCTCTTCAGCTCTGCTGCCGTCTCGACGCACTCTTCATGGCTCGCCACCAGCCGCTCCGCCATCGACTCCTTGGCCTCTTGCACCCGAGCCAATGCCGCAGTCATCTCACGAACCTGAGCCTGAGCCGACGACAGCTGCAGCGCCACGCTTGCATGGGCATCCTTCTCGGATCCGAGCTCCAGGCGGAGCGACTTGACCTCGCGCTGCGCGTCAGCAAGCGCATTCTGGGCTGTCTCGCTTGATCGAGAGCTCGACTCGCTCTGTCGCTGGATGCTCTCGATCTGAATGCTCTGTACAGCTGCGGCGTCGTCCTTGGACGCCAGCTCGCTCCGCAGTGCCCGCAGGCTATCGGTCAGCTCGGCAACCCGTGCCTGAGCCCCAACAGCCTCCGCCTTGGCCTCGGCTGCAACCCTCTGTGCCGCTTCCGCCTCGGCCTCGGCCTCGGCGGCCCGCGTCTCGGCGCGGGACTTGTCACGGAGCGCAGCGTCGCGCTCCTTGCCAGCCTCGAGTGCAGCCAGATCGGCGGCCGCGGCAGCATCCCGAGATGCCGTTGCTCGCGTGCGCGCAGCTTCGGCCTCGGCTTCGGCGTCGAGTGCCTTCTGTTCCGCCGCCCGCAGCAAACGCTCGGCATCAGCCTTGGCATCAGCCAGCGCATCGCCTCGCTCCATCGCCTCGACCCGTGACGATTCCTTGGCCTTTGCGGCGACCGTCACGCGCTCGAGTTCCGCCTCTAGCGCCGCAACACGCGACTTGAGCGCCCGTGCTTCGCCCGCCGCAGCCGCAGCCTCCTCCTTCGAGGCGGCCGCGGCTGCTGTCGCCGTGTTAAGCCGCTGCTCAACGGAGAGCAGCTGCGCTCCAGCAGCTGCCGCTTGGTCCATCGCCACCTGTGCCTTGGCCGACTCGACCTGCACCCGCGACTGGGCCGCATGAAGCGCCTCCTCGTCCTGTGCCGAGCTTGCCACCAACGCCGCGTGCTTCTCCTGCATCGTCGCCAGCTGTGACTTGACGTTCGCCAGCGCGGTCGCACCAGCCCCGGCCTGCAGGGTCTTCGACTCGAGGAGGACTTCGAGCTCTGCAGCGCGCGCACGCGCTTCGCGCGCCGCCTCCGCTGCCGCCACTTCCCGCTGCACTGCAGCGTCAAGGTTACTGGTCAGCATCTCGTTCGACGCCTTCAGTGTGCCAAGCTCGGCCGCTTGCTGCGCAACCTCTAGTCGGAGTGCTGCTGCTGTCGACGTCGCGTCACCGCTGTTCTTCGTCAGCGACGCCAACTGTGCCTCCAGGCCGGCAAGCTGTTGCCGCAGCGCGTCCTGGGTAGCCTTCTCGGCACGAACAGCATCCATAGCCTGTGTCTGACCAGCCCGTGACTCCAGCAATTGGCTCTGGGTCGCCTGCAGCGAGGCAGTCATCTCCCGCTGCGCGTTCTGCAGCTCGTCGTTGAGCCGCGTCGCCTGCTCCAGTGCCTCGTCCGACGCTGCCAGTCGCTCCGAGGCCAATCCCAGCTTGCTCTTAAGCTCACGGGTCTGGGCCACGGCCCGCTCGTGGGCCTCGGCCAGCTGTGAGGCCGAGGCTTGCGCCTCCAGGACGGTGGCGCGGCTCAAAGCAGCCTCCCGCTGGAGAACGGAAACCTGGGCATGCGCCGCATCCGCTTCGCGCCGCGCCTCTGAACACGCGTGCTCGGCAGTGAGAACCGCCGCCCGCGTCACATCGAGGTCGCTGGTCAGCGACGCAGCATGGGCCTCGGCCACCTCGAGCTTCGACTGCAGCGCCTGTGCGCGGCTGGCTGCTGCTGCGGCCTCGCCCCGAGCGCTCTGTGCAATCTCGTTGGACTCGCCAACTTGCTGCTGCAAAGACGCAATCTCAGCCCGTAGTGCCGCATTGGTTGTGCTCGCTGCCCGGATGTCAGCCTCTTGTGTCGCGGCGGCGAGGCCCGCCGCAGCCACCTTGTCGTGCTCGCGCACAAGTGCAGCTTCTAGCTCGCGAATCTTGTTCTCCAGCTCGGCAGCGCGAGCATCCGCAGTCACACGGGCGTCGCCGGCTTCGCGCCGGACAGCTGCAAGTCGCGCAGCTGCGGCGTCCGCATCGGCCGCACGCGCTGCATCGGCCGCAATCGCGTCGGCCGCGCGCGCCTCCTCCACCGCACGCTTGGCGGCCTGGGCCTCTGCCAGCTGCTTCGCAAAGAATGTCTCTGCGTCCGAACTTGTTACCGCAGCAGCGTCGCGGGCCTCGATGCTGGCCTGCGCCTCGGCAAGCGCCGCCTCGGCCGACTCGGCTCGGCGCGTCGCGGCACGCGCAGCTGCCTCGGCAGAAATAAGCTCAGCGCGGACGCCGGCCAGCTCGGTCTCGATGGTAGCCTTCTCGGCCCGTGCTCCGTCGAGCCGCCGCTGAGCCTCGCTGAGGTCCGCGGCGGCGGTCGCACGGCTCTCGGCCAGTGCCGTGTCATGACGACGCTCGGCGGCAGCAACTGTCGCTGTCGCTGCTTCGAGCTTGGCTGCGAGCGCCTTGTTCTCAGCAGAGCTGCTTGCCAGCGCTGTGTCCACAGTAGACTTTGCAGCCTGTGACTCGGCGAGTGCAGCCTTGACTGAGGCCAGCGCCTGGTCCTTGGCGGCGACTTCGGCCGCCAGCGACTCGGTGCGTGATCCGACCACGTTCAGCTCGGCCTTGGCCTCAGCCGCCGCGGCCTTGGCCTCGGCAGCCTCGCGGTTACGATCGCCGAGCTTGGTGTGTGACGCAGCAAGGGCGTCGTGCGCTGCCGCCAGCGAGCTCTGCAGCTCGGCCACGCTTGCTAGCGCAGCCTCCTTCTCGCGCGAGAGAGTCGTCACGCGCAGAAGGTCGTGCTTGAGAGCCGCGTGCTCTCTGCTCAGCGTTTCGTGGGCAGATTTGAGCGCCGAGTTCGACTCGGTCAGCGCAGAGTGCTTGATGTCCAGGTGTGCGAGAGCAAGCTTGGCCTCCTCTGCCGCGGCGGTCGCCCGCACCGCTTCGGCCTGAGCGTCCTTGCGCGCATTGCGCTCGGCGCCGGTCGCCTCCTGTGCCACCTGTAGAGCATCCCGCAACGCCACCCGCTCGGCCTCCGCAGACGCCAATGAGCCCGAAAGCGCCGTGTTGGCATCACGAACTTCCCGGAGCTGTGCCTCGGTGGCGAGGAGCTTGGCCTCAACCTCGGCAGCATGCTGCGACGCCGCGTCTCGCTGTGCACTAACTAGGTCGAGATCACTCGACTTGGCCTGAAGTTGGGCCGAGTCGGCCAGAACACGTGCAAGCTCGTCGCGGACGGGTGCAAGGAGCGCAACCTCCCGCTCAGTCGACTCAAGCGAGAGCATCGTGTTCTGAATCTCGTCGCGGAGGAACTCGTTTGCCGCAAGAGCGTCTTGCAGCCGCACAGTTGTCTGGGCCAGCTCCGAGTTGAGGGCAGCCGCCCGAGCCGCGGCCGCCTCGTGCTCGGTTGTCACCGTCTCGAGCTGGGCAGCCAGCCGCATCCGGTCGTCGACGACAGTATTGTGGCGTTCCTCCATCTGACGCAGCTGCTCGGCGCTCGATTCAAGCTGGTGGAGCCGGACCACCACCTTGTGATGCGCAGCGAGGGTGTCGAGCACTTCCTGCTGCGCGGCCGCGAGCTCATCCTTGATCTTGGGCAGCGCCAGGAGCTCGCGCTGGGCGTCGTGGAGCGCGGCGGACACTGTCTCCATTTCGTCGAGCAGCGTCTGCTTATCGCGGGCCAGCGCCCGCGCCCGGGCCTCGGACGCCTCCAGCACCGCAAGCTGCTCGGTCGCCTGCTCGAGCGACGAGTTGGACGACGCCAGCGTGCTTGCTAGCGAACTCTTGACCGCGGCGAGATCCTCGAGCTCGGCTCGTGCAGCCTTGAGCTCACCCTCAGTGGCAGCGAGTCTGGCCGGCAGAGGCGCAAGCTCAGCCGCGGAGGCACTGGCGCCGGCAAGCGACGCCCTCGCCACTGTCAGAGCCTGGTTGAGTGACGCCACCTCGTCCGCTAGCGGCCGCAGCGTGAGCAGCTCGGCATTGGCCGACGCGAGCTGCGACGTGAGCGTCGAGACCTGCTGCGACGCCCCGGCAGCAGCGGCAGCAGCAGCCGCGGTATTGTTCCGCTCGCTCGTCAGCAGCTGCTCAAGCTGAGCAACCCGAGCTTGCTCGGCCGTCACGCTCGACTCGGCCACAGCAACCGACGACTCGAGGGCGGCGGCGCGAGTCTGCGCCACTGTCAGCTGGTCAGCGAACTGGTCGCGTGACGCAGTCGCCCGATCAAGCGAGCTCTCGGTGTTGCGCAGCTCATCCAGAGCAGCCTTGAGCTGGGTCTTGGCCGCCAACGCTGCCGCGAGCTGATCTTGGCTCTCGGCGAGCTGGGTCTTCAGCGCCGCCGCTTCGACATTGGCCCGGCTCGCCACGGTGAGCTCAGACTCCAGGTCCTCTATCCGCGCAGTGGCGTTTCCGACAGCGATCTTGAGCGCCGTGTTGGATGACGCGAGCGTACGAGCATGCTCGTCGGCCGCAACTTGGGCGTCGCGCAGCTGTGCAACCTCCAGCTTGGCCGCCGAGAGCTGGGACTGAGCCGCAAAGACGTCCTTGGAGCCCGACGCCGCCGCCGCCCGTGCCGTCGCGAGCTCAGCCTCGAGCGAAGACGCGTGCTCTAGCTTGGCGTTGGCGGCGCGGAGATCAAGCTGGGACGACGTCAGCTCTTGGGTGACTGCGTCTAGGTTTGACGTTAGCGCCGCGTTGGCAATGGAGAGCATGGTGTGCTCTTCGGCAATGCTCGACAGCTGAGCCGCCTTCATCTTAGCCTCGGCAAGGAGCTCTGACGTGTGCTCCAGCTCGGGCGCGAGGACGCTGACCTTCTTGATGGCCGCGTCGCGGGAGGCATGCGCGAGTTCGAGGTCGCCCTCGAGCTCGATGATGCGGGCACGGGCGGTGGCAAGCATGATCTGCGTCTCATGGGCAGCCGCCGATGCGTTCGACTCCGCCTCCGCGAGGCGCGTTACCTCCAGCTGGGTGTGCGAGGTGAGTGCCTGTGACGACTCAAGCTCAGTGCGGAGGACTGAGAGCTCAGATTGAAGGCGGGTGCGGTCGGCAGCCGCCGCCTCAAAGTCGGAGCGGGTCGAAACAAGCGAAACCTCGACGTTGGAGAGCGCAGCGGCGCGGCGCGAGACGTCAAGCAACTGGCCCTCCAGTTCAACAGTCGAGTTGGAGAGTGCATGCGTCGCCTGCTGGGTCTCGGTCAGCGTCGTCTTGAGCTGCGAAAGCGTCCACGACTCGGCCTCCAGCTCGAGTGCGTACGCCTGCCACTTGGCCAGCGACTGCGAGAGCGCCGCCTTTTCGGCCATCGTCGACGACAGTTTCGTCTTGACCGACGAGATCTTCGTCGCCGAGTCGGTCAGTGCCGCCTGGGCAGTCGCGGCCAAAGTCTTGAGCGGTGCCGTGGCGGCGAGCGCAGCTTGCGCTGCGGCAAGCTCGCTGACAAGCTCGGCTTCGCGCGCACTAGCTGCGACGAGCTTGTCCTCAGCTCGGTCAAGGTCGCTCTCAAGCGCCTCAATCTTGGCGTCCCGGGTCCGGGCCGCAGCCGCGGCAGCGGCGGCTGCCTCCGATGCCTGCTGCGCGGCAGCTTCGGCGGCTTCGTTGGCGGCGCGACGGAGCGCTGCGAGCGACGAGGCGTGCGAAGATTCGAGAGTGTCGCGCTCGGACGCGGCACGAACGAGCGCCGCGTCGCGGTTGCGCACCGTATTCTGTGCTGCCGCAAGCTTTGCCTCAGCCGTAGTCAGAGCGTCCTGTGCGGCGGCCAGCTCGTGCTTGGCAGACCGCGCGGTCTGCGACTCGTCGGCCAGCTGCTGGGTAAGCGTCGCGACGCTAGCCTGAGCCGTGGCAAGCTCAGCCTCGGTCACTGTGGCCGAGGTACGGGTTGACACCAGCTGGGCGTTAGTAGTGTCGAGCTCGGCCTGGATCCGGGCAATCTCGCGCGATGCCTTCTCGGCCTTGACTTCCAAGTCGGCGGCATCCGACTGGGCGGCAGCGAGGTCGACAGCAGACCGCTCGAGCTCGGCCTGCGATGACGCAAGGCTCACGGTGAGCGCGGCAATGCTGGCCTCGGCCACCCGCAGCTCGGCCGCTGGAACAGTGTCGACCGGCGGTGCCGGCGGCGGCGTCGCGGCCGCTGTCTTCTGCTGCGGCGAGCCACGGGTCGAGTTGGACGGCCAGAGCAGGTGTGAGTTCGAAGACGCCATGACCGCCGAGAGCGAGGCAAGTTCAGCCTGAAGCGTGGAGACCTGGTCGCGGAGGAGATCAGCCTCTGCTGTTGTTTCCATCTGCTGCGAGACAACCATCGAGCTGGAAAGCGCCATCGAGAGCTCGCTCTTGAGGGTGGAAATGTCGGCTCGGGCCGATCGGACCAGGGCCTCGTTGTCGGCTCGCGACTGCGTCAGCGCGGCGCGAGTCGATGCAAGCTCGGCGCGGAGTGCCGCCAGTTCACCCGAGTTCGTGGCGCGGCTCTGGGCGGGACTCGTGCTCAGCTGGTACGCCCGCAGCTGGTGGGCCTGGGTGGCGGCGAGCTGCTCGACCACCGTCAGCTGGGCCTGCAGCTCTGCGAGCTGTGAGCGAAGCACATCCGAGGAAGCCGATGGTGGGCTGGCCGCTCCGCCGCCTGCCTTTGCTAGCTGGCGGCGCAGTCGCTGGACCTCGAGCTCGAGCTCACGCTCGCGCTCACGCGATGGAGTCGAGGAGGGGATCGGCGACGCGCGCGGCGAGGCATCTGCTGGTCCCGAGCGTGCGGTTTGCGGCAGAAGCGATGCATTGGCCAGTCGGGCCTGGAGCTCGGCCACAGTCTGCTGCTCGTCCTGCAGCGCAAGGACAAGGACGTCCTTCTCCGAGGCCAGTCGGGCCGAAAACGACTTTTCGGCGTCGAGCCTTCGCTCGAGCGTCTCAAACTCGGCATCGAGAGCAGCAAGGTCTGGCGAGGAGCGAGTGTCCACCGCATGGAGAGCAAAAGGAAGCAGCGCCAGTGCGTCTTGATAGTTGTTCCACAGCTCGATAACAAAACCCTGCAGCGCTGGTCGAGCCGAGAGCTGAGCCAGTGCCAGGCCAGCCTCCTGCTCTGTCTTTGTCTTTGCAGCCTGCAGTGCTGCAATAAGGGAAGGAAGAGTGTTCCGCTTCGCCAGCGGAGCATCCGGCACCACCTCGTGGTACCGTTCCATAGCACTCAGCACCTTGCTATTGGTGTAGGAGGAGGTGGAGGGGAGGGGGGGAGGGGGGGCTGTGAGTGGCAACAGAATCATAGCAACCGATGGCTATGGGCATGACCCGCACTGCGGCCGGGAGGGGCTGCGGGGGGAGGAGGGAGGAGCTGGGGACCTGGTGGGGGTAAGGCGCGATGCAGAGGAGGGGGGAAGGAGGAGGAGGAAGAATGGGGTTGTGGTTGGGCTACGTACCTTGCTGATGAGCTGGTGGAGGTCATGTCGGCCAGCTGCTGCTGCCTGGCAGAGGGGGGTGACCGGGTGGCGAAGAAATGTGTCGGGCCCAGTCGAGCGATGGCGGAATCGCTGGCGTACGGCAGACGGAGAGCGCTCTGGCGCGCCATGTCCAGATGCGAATAAAGAGTGGTGGGTCAGCAAGGTTTACGTTGTGGGGGGAAAATAGTGGATCTTTTAGATAGAATCAAAAGGTGGGCGGCGGCTGGTTGGCGGGGGCAAAGCCGACGCGGGGCGGGCTGACCGAGCGGTCCCAGACGGTGGTGTACTGGCGGAGGACGACGTCGCCAAGGATCCAGAGCGGGCCGGCCTCCTCGACCGGAATCGACTCGATGCCGAGGACACACTCGGTCGAGTTGGAGGTCTGGACCTTGAGGACGTAGTACTGCGGAGCGAGGTCAAGCTTGTTGCCCGAGATGGTGAGCGAGATGGTGGGGAGCGAGTCAACGTTGGAGCAGTCGGACTTGACGGTGCCGACGGCCTCGATGACACCCTTGGCGTCGTTGGACGGGATGGCGAGGATGGTGGTACCGGTGTCAACAACGGCGGCGCAGCCGAGGAACGCGCACTTGTGGGCAAAGCTGCCGACAGTGACCTGGGTCATGCGGATGAGCCAGTACGACGGAAAGTCGACGTTGACGTAGAAGAACGAGGCTCCGGGCTTGACGTATGACTCGTCGATGTCGCCAAAGAGGAAGACAGACTCGGTGTTGCCGGGTGCAACGTCGTTGGAGAGAAAGACCTGGAGCAGGTCCTTGCTCAGCAGCTTTTGCGAGATCATGTTGTCAAACGGCGTCGGCACGCCCTTGGGCTCCGAGATCTCGTCAAAGGCGAGGCCGAGGATACCGTCGAGCGGCTCGTCCTCGAAGAACTTGGCCATGACATCAGCCTGGCCCAGCTTCTGCGACTTGATGTTAAGCCCGGCCACATGGACGGTATCGATGACCAGCGAGCCGGCAGTGAAGCCGGTGCCGTACGGCCTGAGCAGGAAAGGAGGGATTGGAAGGGAATTAGAGACCGCGAGAGGAGGGAGGAGAGTGAAGATGGAAGGCAATGAGAGGGCAAACATCAACGTACACAGCGAATGGCTGGCCATCAGCAACAGCAGTGGTCGAAGCCGTGGCGTTGTACCGCGGCTTGGTCGAGCATGCTGCCGAAGCGCAGAAGACCGAGGGAACCCAGAGGTTGCTTGAGCCGGTGTCGAGCTACAGCCCAGCCCACACCCATCCATACACCTCCCACACGCCGTGAGTGCCATCCATCCCTTCCTCGCAAAGTCTCCAAAAAAAAGCATCCGCAACTGCACCTGCATGCACAGCGCCACGTTTCCGAGCCCACCACACACGTACCACCACACGGTAAGGGCCCTGGGCAGGCGTGCCGACGGTGATGTTGGCGACCCAGAGCTCGTCACCGTAGTTGACAACCGTCTGGGGATGACCCCCGGTGGCGGCGTTGTACTTGGCCAGCGAGCGCATGGGCGCCGCTCCAGAGACACGGGCCTTGTAGCCAGCAAGCCAGGCCTCGGCCTGTGCAGGCGTGTGCCGCTGCTTGGCCACCGTCATGCGCACGCTGTTGCCCATAACACTGGCTGCGAGCGCAGTCAGCAGAAGGAGCACAACCACAGTCTGCATGGTGCTGAGAAAAATGTAGAGAAGTGCCTCTCATCTTTGCCCTCCCCCCCCCCCCCCCCCTCACTTGCCCCGCCACCGCCGTGTGTCGCCACAGGCCAGCACCCTCCTTGTGAGCTCTACGGAGATAAACTTTATCAGCGCCGATGCTTGCGATCCTTGACGTTTGCCGTGGCATAGTAGTGATTTCCAGTCTTCCGCTTGTTGGTGGTCATCCGCGGCTCCTTGAGCGTCCTGGGGCGCTTGCGCAGGGTGCCGTCGTCGTCGCGGTTGTTGCGCCGGCGCTTGGCCGAGCTCTTCTTCTTAGAGCTGGCCTTGCGGGCCGCGGCCGACTCCTCGGCCTGGGCCGCACGCCGCGCGGCCTTGCGGGCCTTGATGGCCTTCATCTCAGCGCGCGCCTCCTCGAGCGTCCGCTTGGGAATGTACGGGCCAGCCATGACGCCAAACTTGGTAGCAGCGTCCGAGTCAGAGCTCGAGGACGAGCCCGAGGACGAGCTGGAACCCGAGGACGAGCCCGAAGAAGAGCCCGAGTCTGCACCATCGTCGGACGGCGGCTCGATGGTGTCGACCTCTTCACCGATGACGGCGGCAAAGACGTCGTCCCAGTTAACGACCGGGCGGGCCGAGATGGGCACCCCGGCGCGCTCGGCAGCCGACTTGGCGTCCTCCTCGTCAAGGTTGGCCAGGGCCTTGGACTGCGGCATCGACGAGAGCATCTGGGCGACCGACGGGCCGGACGAAGCTTCCGATTTCGCGCTCTTCTTGGCTTTCTTGGCCTTCTTCTTGGCCAGGGCGACCTTGCGGGCCTTGGCCGACGGAGCGGGCGTGGGCAGCGCCTCGGAGCTTGCCTCCTCGCCGAACAGCGTCTCGGGGCCCTGCTGGCGGCGCTGGGCCTGCATGCGCGCCGCGCGGTCATACCGCAGTGCGTCGGGATCCTCCTCCTCCGGGAAGACCGGCTCGACCTTGGGCCCGCGGGCAATGGCGCCCTTGCCCTCGGACTCTGCTGAGGTCGGCGGCTCGGGGACGACCGGCTCGGCCGGGCCGCGCTCGATAAGAGCCTCGAGCTTGGCGCGGGCGGCGTCCTCGGCAAGCGTGCCAGTCTGGTCCTCCAGGCGCTGGCGGGCGATGGCGAGCGCGGCCTCGTAATCCTCGACCACCTCGGCGTCGGCAATGTTGTCCTCAAACGGCGGCTTGACAAAGTACGGGATCTTGCCGCGGATCCAGTCGTTGAGCACCTGCTTGGCGGTGGTGTACGTGTCGGGCTCGTTGCCCTTGTTGAGCCGGTTGAGCTTGCGGGCGAGCTGGGTCAGAAAGTCGCCAGCGGACTCCCACTCGAGGATGCCGTACGTCCGCTGGAGGTAGACGCTCTTGACCCGGTCGAGCACGCCCTGGACATGGTCCTCCGGGTTGGTCAGGTTGGTCACCCGCACCACACCCTTGAGCACAATGTCCGTCTCTGTGTCGTTCGAGTCCGACTCGTACACCACGCCGGGGCAGTCGATGAGATAGATGCGCCGCATGAGCGTCACGTACTGCCACACCTTGGTCTGCCCGGGCACCGGCGCCGTCGGGCACGTCACCTTGGCCTTGAGCGTATTGATAATCGACGACTTGCCCACGTTCGGGTACCCAATGAGGCCGACCGAAATCTGCGGCTTGTCCGAGTGCAGCTTGGCAAACTGCCGGAGGAGCTGGATGAGCGCGCCCTTGCCAAACGAGTTGGAGAGCGAGGCGTGGAAGGCCAGTGTCGGGTACTCGGCCGAGAGCACCTTGATCCACCGAGCCGTGACCCACGTCGGAACCAGATCGCACTTGTTGAGCACAAGCACCATGTGCTTGTGCGGCGCCTCTTCCTTGAGATGCCGCTCAATCCGCGCAGACCGCGTGCCCATCGGGTCACGCGCGTCGAGCACCTGCAGCACCACGTCCGACGAGTCAATGACCTTGTACAGCTCGCCCCAAATCCGCCGCGACTGGCCCTTGGCAAAAATCCCGCTCCGCGTCACGTCCTTGTACTCGGTCTCCACCTTGATGTTGCGGTCCGTCGACTCTGAGTACGTCGCCACGCCCTCGGCAACCGTCTCGGCAAGCGTCGCCATGTCAATCGCGCCGACCTTGGGCCGCTTGCGCGTCCCGCGCGGGCCAAACACAGCCTCAAACGGCTCGGTGTCCAGAATGTGCGACCGCGGCGTCGTGCCGAGCGACGACGTCGACTTCTTGCCTGTCGCGTATGGCGACGATGCAGACTCATTGAGCAGTCCCATCGGAATCTTCTTCTGCTTCAGCAGCACCGCGTACGGGTTGTTCACCTGGTTTGCCAGTGCCTCGCGGAACTCGGTCAGCTTGTCCTGCGACACCACATCGGTGTTGCCGAACCACCGCCGCGACGGCTCGATCCGAACCGGCTTGCCGGCCTTGTTTGACGTAAGGTACCCGCCGATCACCTTGCCGTGCTTGTTGCGGATCTTATCCTTCTGCTTGTACATCGCAAGCCGCCGAACCGTCGACCGTGACCGCATCGACTTGTGGTCCGTGTCTGTCCGCGACAGGACACGATCTTGGTTGGTCGACGAGTTGGACGTCGACAGCTTGCGGAACTTGCTGTTGGGTCCCGGCATCTTCCCCTATCGCCACACACGCACACACACGCACACAAACACACACGAGCACACACACGCGCATATCACGGGTGAGAACACTCACACCAAAGCAAGCGCGGGAAAGCGAGGAGGACAGGAGACGGGAAGAGGGGGAAGGGGGGGGGGTGGGGGTGGCGGGAGGGAGGGGGGGAGGGCTCCGTTCCATCTCTGCTGGCATCCATCCAACATCACCCCTGCCACCACCAGTTCCTCCTCACAACCGCTCAGTTGTCCGGTAGGTAGAAGGTGTCGAGGGGGTGGGAATCATGATAGAGAGGGGACAGAGGAAGGGGGGGGGAGGGAGGGGGGAGGGGGACTGGGACTGCTTGGCATGAGAAGGGGATAGTCGTACCTGTACCTGCAAGCCAAAGACGGGTGGCGTGGGATCTGCGCTGGACGCTGGGGTTTCGAGGCGATTCATAGGCCATGCCCGCACTCGGGGTAGAACGGTACGCTCCAGCGGAGCTCAAAGATCGCTAGCTACCAGCCACAGGAGTTGTTTTACATGATGCTGCACGCCGACTTGGTAAGCGACTTGGGATAACCAAGCGCCCACTCGACGCGGCCGAGCTTGGTGTCGTCGTACGGCGGGTAGCGGACGGCGTTGAGACCCTCCATGCCGGCGCCCTTGCCGAGGACGGCCTTGGTGTGGGTAAACTCGTCAAAGCCCCACTTGCCGTGATGGGCGCCCATGCCGGAAGAGCCAACACCGCCAAACGGCAGGGTGATGACACCGTGCTGGATGACAGTGTCGTTGACGCAGACAGAGCCTGACGAGGTCTCGGTCAGCACCCGCTCGCGCACGCCCTTGTCGGTGGAGAAGAGATAGAGTGCCAGCGGCTTCTCACGGTCCTTGATAAAGTCGAGGGCCTCGTCGAGTGAGTTGACCGAGAGAACCGGGAGGACCGGGCCGAAGATCTCGTCCTGCATGACCGCCGCAGACGGCGAGACATTGCGCAGGATGGTCGGCGGAATGTACTTGGACTCGCGGTCGGCGCGCTCCGGCCCGCCGGTCACCACGTCGAAATCCGACCCCGACGGGTTGTCTAGCAGCGACAGAATGCGGTCAAAGTGGCGCTCGTTGATGATCCGGCCAAAGTCAGGCGACTCGGCCGGGTTCTCGCCGTAAAACTCGAGGATGGCGGCCTGCATGGCGTCCACAAGCTCGGCCTCGACATCGGCGTGGGCGAGGACGTAGTCGGGCGCAATGCACGACTGCCCCGAGTTGATCAGCCTCCCCCACACGATCCGCCGCGCCGCCGCCGCGACGTTGGCCGTCGGGTCGACGATGACTGGCGACTTGCCGCCGAGCTCGAGCGTGACTGGGGTCAGGTACTTGGCTGCCGCCGCCATGATCACCTTGCCCACCGCTGTCGATCCGGTGAACGAGATGTGATCAAACCGAACGTCCAGAAGCGCCTGCGTCTCAGGCACTCCGCCGGTGACCACAGACACCACGTTGGGCTCAAAGTACCGCGGAATGACGTCGGCAATGACTCGCGCCACATTCTCAGACATCTCCGACGGCTTGAGCACCACTACGTTGCCCGCTGCCAGCGCAGACGCCAGCGGTAGAAACGTCAGCATGCACGGGTAGTTCCACGGCGTGATGATGAGGATGACCCCTAGCGGATCGCGCCGGACCTGAATCGAGTCGAACGAGTTGACCCATGACGCAGACTTGACCGACTCGGGCTTCATCCACGAGCCTAGGTTCGCCGCCGCGTAGTCGATCTCAGCAAACAGCTGCGCAAGCTCGGTCACCTTGGCCTCGGTCATGCACTTGGACAAGTCCGCCTCGAGGGCCTCGATCAGCTCATCCTATTCGCACCGAACCCGCAACTCGCCGCCCCGTAAGCCGGCGCTCGGCGTCGCCACACACATGCCCATGCCCACACACACACACACCCTCCACCCATACTTACCTGGCACTCGAACAGCAGCCGCTTGAGCGTCTGGAGCTGCTCCAAGCGCCACGCCTGCGGAAGGGTGGCGCCGGTCTTGTGGAACGTCCGCATGGTCGTCACGAGCGTGCCGTAGTCGGACATGGTGAGGTTTTTCGAGAGAAGTTGGACCCCAAGCTGTGGCGAGGTTGGTGTCAGCGGCAGCACCGCATGCAGACTGGGCTTTTTACATGCTCTTGCGCAGCTCGCCATAGTGTACTACATGTGCGACACTGGCCCATATTCATGCGCCCCGCCATTGTAGAGGATGAACGCGTCTTCGGGCGAGCCGTACATGGCCAGCCAGTCCCAGCCGTGACCATCAGGCTCGGCTACCGCTGGCAGTGGCGACGGGACGCACGCGTGCCTATCGTGCGGCTCGCGGGCGCAGCACGGCTCGCGTGGCAGGTACCAAATCACATGATCGGTGACTCCTGACGGTGTGAGCGCGGCAGCGAGTGAGCCGGCTTTGTCAAACTGCTCCAGGTAGTTGCTCCCGTACGCCCTGCTGAAGATGCGATCCTGCTCGGCCACGGCCGTGGCGTAGACATGGCCCGCGAGACCATGTTCCAGCAAGCTCTTTGCGTTGTCAAGGAGCATGCCAGCTTCGGCGACACCGGCAAATCCAAACTCGTTCTGGACTGCTTGCGGCGTCTCGAGCCCCGCAATGCGATGAAGGCAACTCTGCATCGTCGGCGGAAAGTCGGCGTAGTCGTCGGGCGCGCCAGCCGCGATCACCTCCGGCGGCGCAATCCAGCAGCGGTAGTCGAGACCGCGAATCTCATGGACCCCCTTATCTGGCTTGCCACCCTTGCGAAAGATCCAGCCAAACGATGCGATCGCGTGCTTTTCACTCATCGGCAGGAACGAAGAGTCGATGGTCTGTGGCCGGAAGAAGCTCTGCTTGAGCGTCAGCTGAAAGCCGTCCAAGTTGTACAGGTCGAGCGTGCGCGGATGAATAAAGACATTTCCAGGATGCCGGTCGCGAAACGAGAGCAGCACGTCGCGCAGCATCATCAGCCGCAGCTGCCAGTCCTTGACGTGTGAGACGAGCGAGAAGAGAAAGCCGGTCTCCTGCACCTTGGACGACCGCATAAGGACGTCTAGCGAAGCCACCTCGCCAGGCATCTTTTCCACAAACGAGACACATCCCCACGCCGTACCATTGACGTCGACAAACGGGCCCACAAAGGAGCGCGGCGTCAGTTGATCCAGCCCGCACTGCTCCTCGACCTTGGTCACCGCCGCCACATACGGAATGTACTTGCCCCATCCGGACGCTCCAGGCTCACACCTGTCGTGAACCGTCGCCGCCTCACGCTCCTTCTCCATGTCGTAAATCTTGGCCATTGCTCGCATCTCCTCCCGCCCGCACAGGGCCGCCAGCTGAGGCCCAAGCACGACGTGGACTTCGAAGAACCTGTACTCGGACGGCCGAAAGTACTCGGACGCCCCGAGATCAATGTCGCCAAAAGTAGGCGACTGCGAAGTGACAAAGCGAGATACTCTTCGCACGTAGTCGCCCTTCATACTCGTGTTGGCAAACACCATGCCCACGGGGCACTCGCCGATCACGCCGTCGACCATGGTGCCGGCAGGCCAGCTCCCATCAATCTCTACCCGGTCTTTGGGCACGTCGGCCCATCGGGTGTATTCTCGCTCAGCGAGCGGAATCTCCTCATCCAGTCTCCGCCTCTTGACAGCAGGCGGCGGAGGTGGCGGCAGCGGAGGCTGCGATCGTTCAGCCGCACCCAAACTTGTCATCAGTGAGCTCGAATGCGGCGGCGCAGAGCCGCTGCCGCCGGCGCCACGCTCAAACCGGGCTCGCTGCTGTCCAATCTGTATGTTGACGTCGTACTCGGTGCCTACATGCCACACCAACACACCGCCAAGGGCCATGGCAGCCACTGCCATGACAAGCACCGTCCACACGCGCCACATGGAGAGCTGCGACGCGCCGAGCTCGTCGACACGCGCATCTCCCAGAGCCGACACCCGCCTCTGCGCCTTGTCCAGCTTCTTCTGCGCTTGTCTATGCCCTGGACCCATCCCTATGTCTCCTCGCCTCGGCAGCAGGAGCAAGTCTATGGGCGACTCTGTTGGGAGCACCGGAGGAGTGATGAGAGCGCTGCGAGGAGGCAGGTGCCCCAGCAGCAGCCGTCTCTTTGTCCATCGCGAACGATCACGATCGCGATCGCGATCGCTGTCGGCAAAGCGGCACCCGGCACACGGCACACTCGTCGCCGCCAACACCACCACCAGCATGGCCACACTCGTGGACCTTGTTCCCCAAGTCACGTCGCTGCTGGCAGCATCCCAAGTGCATGGAGGCTCTCTGAGGCTTTCCACACTCAACTCGCAAGCCCCGTCGCAGACTACGCAGGCTCCCGAGGAACAGGACCGGCTGCGTGGTGCCGTCGCCGACGCTCTCGCCGCCGTCGACGACGATGGCCTTGCCTCGTTGCTTAGGGATAACATGACACCGGAAACCATCGGCAGCATGCTCCCACTGCTCAAGACCATCTTCTTTGGTACGTCGTTGGGGGGGGGGGCAGGGGGGAGGGGGGGGAGAGGGGGGAGAGGGGCTCGGCGACCGCCGCGGGGCCGAAACTACGACCTTTTTCGGACCAGCCAACTCACTCTTACCCCCTCTCGACTTTTCAGGCTGCGCCACGGCCTCGGACGCGTCTGTGGCGCGGCGGACCGCAGTCTACACCACCATCATCAGCTGTTTTGCCGACGCGCGGCAGATGCTGGAGACCAAGGCCATCCAGGCGGTCATCTCGCTCCTGCTGGTCGAGCTGGAGCACTTTCCGCCGACGGCGCTCGTCGCGCTCCTCGACCACTACGCAGACCTCTTCCACGCCGGCGACGTCACTTGGGGTGCGGCGCTCGAGTTTGTGCCTGCGCTACTCTCCAATGTAGAGAGCCTCGCCGAGGTGCCCGGGCTCGGCATCTCGGGAGCTGAGTTCCAGTCTAACTTTGTCGGCAAGATCATCCGGGCGCCGCTGCCGCCGGTCATTGTCACCCCGCTCACCACCATGTTCAAGGACATCTCGCTTACCTCGCCTGACCTGCTCAAGGTCTTTGTCCGCATTTTTGAGCTCTTTCCGGCCCTGGAGATCCAGGAACTCCCTTCGCTTGTCTACCACCTGCTCCTCCTCGGCTCCAAGGGCCACCGCGCCTTCCTCCTCTCGTCGATCATCAAGGCCTTTGACGCCCAGCCGCCTCACGCCCGTGACACCGCCGTCGAGTCTACTGTCGCGCTCCATGTCAACTTTGCCATGAAGCAGGATCTCAAGCTCGGCAAGGAGCTGCTCAAGGTGGCCAAGCGCGACACGCTGGCGCTCACTCCGTTTGCGCTCTCGCTCCTCCTCTCGTCGGCGCTCATCTCGCGGTTCGAGGAATCGGTTGTCGAGATTGTCAAGCACGGCTTGCTTGCGTCGGCCAAGGACGCCGCTGCCCGCAAGGCCTCGATCTGGCCGCTCCTGGTCGACGTTCCGCTCCCGCCGGTCTCGGACCTCGGCGCCGTCCTCGACACCGTTGTCGCCGCCACCACAGCAGGCTGGGACCTCCTCGTCCCACCACTGCTCAAAGTGGCGCTTGCGCTCTCGGACCTCACGCTGCGATCGGTCGGCTACTCGCGCGAGCTGCTCGCCCAGTGCCACGCTCGCGCCGCCGCCATGCTCACCACTCTGTTTGAGGCTCACGAGATGGCACGTGCGCCGCTGCTGGAGCAAGTCTTTGCCCGGGTCATCACCCTTGCCCCGTCGGCCGAGGCTAACATTGCCCTCCTCGCCACGCTCGTCGTCCGCAACCCATCGCGGTTCATTCCATTTGCCACAAAGGTCAAGGAGCTGGTCAACTACCTCTCGTACCTTAATCTCGCCACCGCCGCCGCCCTCATTGCCGCCCTCATTCCGCTCGCCTCGGTCCTGCCGTCGTTTCTGGACCATCTCATGCTTGTCCTCAAGAAAAGTTTGTTCAATCGCGAGCTCACCTCGCGGCTGGTGGCACTCTCGGGCTTTGTCGCCCTCCTCCGCGCCCTTTGCATCGACGAGACGCCAGCGAGCAACACCTCGCATGTCTCGACCGCCAGCTCGGCTACCGGGGCCGCGTCGCTCGATCTCTTCTCGTTCTCGCAAGCGCCGCCGATGAACAGCAACGGCGCCGCTGCCGCGCCCAGCACGCGCGCCGAGACCAACCCCGACGACTTTCGGCTTGTCCTTCCCAACGGCCACGCCCTGGCGCTGGAGATCCTGGGCCATCTCAAGCGCTGCCTGACTCAACAATACGCCGTCCGCGCGCTTCTGTACGATGCCCTGCCCGAGGTTGCTGCCCGCGTTCCGGCGCTCGGCCAGGACGTGCTGGAGCTCCTCTACTTTCAGCTCTCCAAGTACTACGTCAAGGCTTCAACCGGGCCGCCGCTCAACCTGGGTGGGGCGGTTGTCGTCAAGCCGGATGCCGAGTTGGTGGTGGTTGTCGACGACCTGCCGGGGCTCCTTCGCGCCGTGCGCAAGGCGCTCTCGGCCGTCGCCAAGCCCGATGGCGGCTTTGAGCGCGCCACCTTTGCCGCTGCGCTCTCGACCATGTTTGAGTCCATTTGCGAGCGATCGGCTGCATGCAACGCCGAGGACTACGAGCTCGACAAGACGGCCAACTTTGATCCCGCAGTCGTGGCCGGTGCCGCCAACCACACTCGTGCCACCCTATTGCTTGGTCTCCACGAGGTGCTCATCGAGACTGCGGTCTCGCGCGAAGCTGCGCGCGGCGCGTCCAACATCCTCGGCCCAGCCCTCGTCGAGTACGCCAAGTACCACGAGCTCCGCAAGCGCGTCAATGGTGCAGCCGGCACCCGCAAGGGCAAGTTCAAGAAGGGCAAGGGCATGGGCCCAGGCCGGTCGGCCCTGCTCAAGGCGCTTGTCCGCGAGCAGTCGCGGACAAAGCTCTCGTGGACTTATCGAGTCAAGATGCTCAAGGCTCTGTTTGCTCTCCCGGCCGATGGCTCGGTCGCACACGCCCCGTCACTCCTCCGGCACATCATGCTCACGCTTGTCGCTGATCTCAGCGAGGGTGCCAAGCTTGTCCGCTCGGCCGGCGCCGAGTCGATCGGAAGCGCCAGCGGTAGCGGTAGCTCGGCCCAGGACGACGCGCTCGGGGGCTTTGGCGCGCCGCTCAACCCGGTTGCTGCAGCCCGCTTCCTTGCTCGGCTGCCCTCGGTCTGCTCGCGCCTTGTCCCGCTCCTTGCCGCTCAGTTTGACGCTGTCAAGGTGCTGTACGCGGTCGAGATCGACGCTGCGCTTGCCGCCGCACCGCCGCCGCAGGTCGGTGACAACTACGGCGACGCCACGCCTCTGCTCACACTTTGCCTCTCGGCACTGCACGAGGCGCTGGCAGTGGTGGCGCCGCACCCGGCTCGCTTTGCCAAAGTCCTCTCGTCGCTGGTAAGCGGCTCTGCCGATGCGCCGCTGCGCGATGCCATGGGCGTCCTCAAGTCGTGGGCGAGCGCGCTCCTTGATGCCGCCTGGTTTGAGCCGCTCTCGTCGGTCCTCGACACGCTAGTCCACCTTCTCGACAACCACACCCCTGTTGCCGACTACGTGCAGCACGAGGCGTGGGCCCGCAGCTTCATCGAGCGCAAGGCCATTCTGGACGAGGGTGTGGCGCGCAAGCTCCTGCACTTTTTCATCACTGTCTCGGTGGCCGACGTCGAGGACTCCCAGCTCAAGCTTGCTGCCGATGTCAACAGGCTGTTTGGTGGCCTCGATATGTCGACCTACGACGGCGAGGTCGAGTGCGAGATTGTTTGCGATGCCAACGGGACCGTGGTAGTCAAGCAGGTGCTCGCCGGTGTCGAGGTTGCGCTCGGCCACGTCGAGTGGCTCCTCTCACTCCTCGACTCGCTCCCTCCCTCCGACCGCGGATCCGAGATGTACAAGGAGCTCTTTGATGCGCTCTGTGTCCGACTCCTCGACGAGACCGCCGTCCTCCGCGCGCTCTCATCGTCGTCGATGCGCAACGGCCAAGCCTCGGACGTCCTGCTTAAGTCGCTCATCCACTTTTACCGCACCTCGCTCCTGGTCATCAAGCACGTGCTCGCGGTCAAAAAGGCCAAGCCGTCGTCGCGGCTGCAGAAGCTCGTTGCCAACGCCGCCGAGCTCGCCGGTCTCACCTACAACCTCGTCAACTACCTGCAGTCGTACGTAATCAATGCCTCGACGGCCCGTATCGCCCGCGAGCAAAAGCTCATCCCAGGCCTCATCTTTGCCATCGAGCAGTACGAAGTCAACGTGCTCTCGCTAGCCCAGTCATCGGGAACATCGCTCGTCCGCAACTTTAAGCGCTCCGTCGCCCGCGACTTTAAGATCAAAACGATCTGCTCAATGTCGCCCTCCAGCGCCAGGACGAGATCGACGGCAAGTCCAAGAAGCGTGCCCGCTACGGCTCGGACGACGATCCGCCAGGCTCGCCGGGCTCGTCGCAGGTCGACGACGACAGCGGACGGCCACACAAACGGTGACAATGTCGCATCGTAAATGTCTCACTTGCTCGCCTCGCAGGGCAAGATCAGTGCCGCAGGGATGAGGTCGGTCATGCCAAAGATGTCGGTGAGCGCGCTGACGACGAAACTAGCCTTGTCGTCACCATCTCCGGCCTCGCGGACTACGGTCTCGACGTCGTGGGCACGACCAGGGCTCTTCGAGTTGGCAGTGATCACAACAACAGCTTGCCCGTCAGTTGAGACCTTCACTGTGTGCTCGATGCCTGGATCGGTGCTGCGTCGCTGGCGGACAACAAGCATGCGCGAGAAGATGGATTCGGTCATGAGCCACTGGTTGAGGTCGGCAAACTCGCCCAGCTCGACCGGGATCGGACGGAAGACGTACCCCGGCACCAGAGAGGGATCGTCACTCGAAGCATCATCGGCGACGACAAGAAGTGCCATACCGACTGCATCCGAAGCGTCATCAGCATCAGCGGACCCGACGCCGGCGTACGCGCCGATGGCCACCGCGTAGGTGGCTGCATCGCCGGCTGTGAGCGGGCCGAGCGCCGAGCCGTTGTCGAGCCCAGCCAATGCACTCCCGGGTGATGCATACGCCGAGGCTGGGCGGACTGCAGCGCGGACAGGCTCGACTTGGCCCAGGGCATCGTCCCAGTCCGTGCCGCCGGCCTCGAGGTGGCCGACCACGAGGCGACCGAGCAAGGATCCGAGCGCGACTGGGGCAGTAATAACCGTTCCAAATCCCGCATCGAGAAGCCACACCCCGTGCTCGGGCCCGGCATCGACAATCAGGGCAACGTGCGAGTCACGGTCGCCCCAGACGAGCTCAGATCCGGGCAACGGCTTGTGATGGCGAACGTTGACGCGGGCGCGGACCATCCAGCACTGCACGCCGATGGTGACGAGGACCCGATGCATCAGCGAGTTCTGCTCGAGGCACCAGCCATCGCGCCGCAGCCGGACAAGCTTGTCAAAGATAACATCGTGCGAGATGGTCGGCTCCTCACCGGCGATCCAGTTCGAGAGGTCGCCCCAGGCAAAGGCATCGGTATGTGCGGTGACGAGTGCCTGCAGCGAGGCCGGGGATGGTGGCAGGCCGATCGATGCAATATCCAAACCAGTCACAGCCTCGTAAGCGGCCACTTGGTCGGGTGTAAGGCATGGTGGTGCAGACATTGTCGTGGGGTGGAGGGTGCGGGAAGTGAGTGTGGTGGCTTGAGGTGACACACCAGCGAGTGCCCTCGACACACGTGGCAGCTTTGTTTTTCTGCTCTGCCGATGTACTAATGGCGTCACGGGCATGTCGCGTTGGGCGAGCGGTGGCGGGCCAAGGGCGTTGGCAGCTGGGAGCGTTCATTCTACGAATCACACGAGAGGAACGACAATGTGCCGACGCGTGACGGGTCACAAGGCGTATGGAGCAGTCAAGGGGAGGGATGATCAGGCCTGCGGCTCCTGAAGGAGGGAGGCGCCGTGCTCGGCCTGGCCGGACGACGGCTGGGTAATGTTCTGCAGGAGGAGGGCCCACCAACGCTTGGTGGAGGGCTCCTGGATGTAGTCGTTGAAGGTAGTGTCGCGGAGGGCATCCGGGAGGCAGGCGCGGAGGGCCTCGCGGGCGCGGAAGTTGTCTGTGAGGCGCAGGTAGCAGCGGATGACATGCTTGAGGATGCGGACAGAGGGCGCCTCGACGAGGGCGTTGATCATGTTGCCGAGGACTGTAGAGACGGCAAAGAAGCGGTCGTAGGTGGCACAGATGTAGTTGAGGCCCATCTCATCGAGTAGGATCTTCTGCACCACAAAGGTGGCAACGATTTTGGAGAGCTCCGAGCCAGTCTCCATGATGCGGAGGCAGAGCGGAATGATCTCGGTGGAGAGGAGAAAGTTAATGACATCGGTGTCGTCGACCTTGACTAGAGCGCCAATGACGCCGAGCGAGGTGAGCCGCAGGTACTCAAACGGCCGCGTCTTGGAGACTGTGTTGAGGAACGGGTAGAGGAAGAGCGGGATGTGGGCGGTTAGGAAGAGCGAGCGCGTCTCCGGGTGCGAGGCCACACACTGCATGAGGGCGAGCGCGTTGCAGACACGGTTCGAGGCGAGCGCGGTAAGCGATTGCGGAGCCAGCTGTGGGTAGATGGCAACAACCTCTTGGAGCAGGACCGCCATGGTCCCGACCGAGTGCCACAGGATGGGCCCAAGCTCGGGAATGACCTCACGCTTCTTGCACAGCTCCATCAGCGCGCGCTCGCGGAGCTCGGGCGAGAGCAAGTTGAGCGTCTGGGTGTATACCATGTTCATCAGCTCTGAGCCGCCGGCCGAGCCGCCGGCTGGTGCGCTCCCCGACTGGGCTGCCGTCTCAAAGCCAGGCGGCAGCTCCGAGCCGCCGCCGGCGCTCAGGCCGGGCCCGCCCGGCCCGCCCTGCGGCTGAGCCGCAGAGCCTGCGGCAGTAGCACCCCAACCCGGCGGCGCGCCTGAACTCGAGCCTGTTGCACCCCAGCCTGTCGGCACGCCTGTTGGCCCCACGCCAGCCTTGCCGCCTTGGCGGTAGTAGCCGCCGTGAGCTGAGCCGTCGCCGAGTCCGCCGAGTCCGCCCTGGTAGCCAACCTGGGCCTGGGCCGCTGCCTGGGCCTGGGCCGCTGCCTGAGCCTGGGCCGCCGCCTGAGCCTGTGCTGCAGCCTGTGCCTGTGCCACTGCAGCGGCATGGGCCTTGTTGTTGCTGTTGCTGTTGCTCACGTTGCCTCCGCCCGACGTGTTCTTGCCGCTCTTCTTCCCGCCGCGGTGGTAGTGCTTGGAGCCGCCCTTGCGGCCCTTGCGTTTGTTGTCGCTCATTGCAGGTGTTGGTGGGGGGGGGGGGGGGGGGAGGGGAAGGGAGGAGTAGGTGGGTGAGAGGTGAAGGGGGTGGGAGAGAGGTGTGGGGCAGGTGCAGGGGGGGGTAGAGGCTGGAGGTGGTGGAGGAGGGGGGGGAGGGGGTGGCCGTCGCTCGGTGGCTGACTTTGGCGGGTCACTCGGCGGCAACACAGGCGGCCAACGACAGAAATGACAGACACAGAAATAAAGGCAGGCAGACAGAAGGGGGGTGAGGGGGGGGGGGGGGATTGACCGACAGCGATCAGGACAACTAGCACTGCACACTGTTGTGATCTGATGATGATGCTTGACAAGGTCGGTGCCAAGGCGCTCGAGGGTGATGGTGGCCATGATCGCAGTTTACTTGCCTGTGAGGGAGGTGAACTCGACAAACTGGGCTGGGCGCACCTCCCAAGAGGGCAAAGGCAGAGCGGAGAGACACTGGTCTCTCTTCCCCCGAGGGTGGAGAGATGTCGAGCGAGCAGCAAGCGAGTGCAAGCAGTGTGGAGAGCGAGAGTGGAGGGAGCATGTGCGGATACAAACGTGAGTATTCCATCGAAGTTCCTGCGTCATCGTCATCGTCATCGTCGTCCCGGGTCAAGGTGGCTGTTTACGGAGGTTCGTTTGACCCCATCACTGATGCCCATCTCAAGGTCATGGCAGAATGCATCCACTCGGGCAAGGCAGATGAGGTATGGGTTGTTCCCTGTGCAAACCGCCGCGACAAGCCCCTTGTTGCTTCTGCTCTCGACAGGTACGTCATTCCCACCCCTACCCTACCCCCCCCCCTACCCCCCCACCCTTGCCCACGCCGCCTTCCTCTGCTCAAATGCCCCCGCCACCCACCCCAGCCTTGCCTTCCTTTCTATCTACCGTTTATGTCGCATGTATCGATATCTCCCGTGCGGCACACACGAGTGAAGGGCGTGTTGACCTCTAGGGGTTGTAGGTATGGCCTACATACGCTCGCTGCTCTTCCCCCCCCTCCCCCCCCCTCCCCCCTTGAGTCTGTCCTTCCTCTCCACTCGGCAGGCGATGGCAAAGCTGGCCCTGTCGACGATTCTGCCATCCGATCCCGTACATCACACACTCACGCGGCACGGATGGCTGATCTCGATGTCGGACACACGCACATTCACTGTCTTCCTCTCTTGCGCTTGGCTCATACTGACACTGATACTGATACTGACACCGCTACTGACGCCTGCAGGCTCATCATGGCGCACCAGGCGGTCAATACCACGTTTGGATCGCGTTTCCCTGTCTACGTCAAGGACATGGATGTGTTCAACGAGACCGCAACGCCGACGTACTATCTCATGAAACAGCTGACAAAGGAGGTGCCCGGCAATGACTTTTACTTTGTCCTCGGCTCGGACCTGCTTCCTGGCCTCCGCAAGTGGGACATGGGCGAGGAGCTGGCCAGCGAGTTCAACTTTCTCATCATGGAGCGCCCGGGCTATCCCATCTGCAAAGAAAACATGCCGGCCCACTACGAGCTGCTTTCCCGGCCCGAGTTCACCATGACCATCACCAAGCTCTCGTCCTCTGAAGTCCGCAAGCGCATCCGCAAGAATGTCTCGCTTGTCGACGGCCTCATCCCGTCGTCCGTCCTTGCCCATATCATCCGCAACCATCTGTACAAGTGCAGCCTGCCGCAGCAGTCGAATCGCCTGCCGCTCTCAGTCACCACTCCGATCTCGGTTCACCCCGTCCCGGACCTCCCCGATGACGACTCGTCGCAAAGCACCGCGGCGTGCACTCCCGAGTCCTCGCCCCGCCCTGCCGACGCCTAAATTACCTCCTCAAGCACGAGCCCGCAGCTGGTCGCCAGCTCGGCCACTGTCAGTCCGTCTGAGTTGCGAACCTCGGCGATAAAGACCCTCGCACCCTCCTCGCCTTCCTGCTCCACTAGCGCCGCCATCAGCATCCGCACCATCGCCTCCTTCCCGCTCCGCACAGCCACATGCATCGCCGTCGTTTTCCGGTGCATTGCCCGCTTCTCCCACCGCCTTCCGCTGCTGTCCATCTCCCACACCACATCGTTCATCATCACTACCTCGCCGACCCGCGCACCGCTTCCGATCAGCACCTCGCCTGCGCCAACCGCCCCTCCAGCCGCCGCTGCCACCAGTAGACTCAGCCCGCCGCCGCCAGCCCGGGTCGCCCCGTCGACCACGGCATCCGCTGCCAGCCCGCCAGCCACAGCCTGAGCCACGGCCTCGGCCTCATCGCGCCAGCACATACCAGCCACCACGTCCGCCATCAGTTGCCACCTTCTGCCAAGAAGAACCAACTCGGACAGGTGTGCCCATACCTGTGCCCGTGTCGCCCACCACAAGCTCTTGTCGGTCCCGATGCCACACCACCGCACATCATCCTTCCAGGATCTCGAGCCGGTCATCACCAGCCCCGTCTTCAAACGTCACACATCACATCACATCGCACATCACAGACCGGACATCGTCATCGCACCGCATTCGTCCACGCCATAACTCACCATCATCATCCCATCCCATCACATCCCATTCCATCACATCACATCACATCACATCACACATCACAGCATCGCATCACACATCACAGCATCGCATCGCAACACACCATATCACACCTCGCATCGCAGCACAAACAGCTACCACATTGCACACCACATTGCACCGCCGCACACACACACACACACACATACACACAAACGTGCTCTCTTTCTCCGCCACCACTGAGGTCACGAATCGGCTGCACTCGAGCACCACCGCACCTGCCGCACATCAAGGCGACGCCGCTGCGGCCCACTACTCGCCACTTGCGCAAGGGAGCGATGGAGATTTCGGTCGATGCAGAGGCCATTCCGTCAGTGGAGGCTACGGGCGGAGCGGTGGCGGTGGCGGTGGTCGGCTGGACAGCAGGCCTCCTGGTGGTGCGACGGGCGGTGGCGGCGGGGCGCCTGGGCGGGGCGGGACTGGCGGGGAAGCGGGCGTGGGATCTGGCCTTTGATCACCTCAACCACATCCATGCTTGTCTCACCACAGGCCTGGCGGTGGCCATCATGGCCATCGATGCGCGCATCCTCGCCATGGCGCCCATCGTCGACACATGGAGCCGTCCGCTCCACTGGACCACCTGCGGCACCGTCGGCTACCTCGTTGTCGACGTCATCATGCAGCCGCTCATCATGCGTGCAGAGACCGCCAACTGGGACTACTTTGCCTTTCACGCCTCCATTCTCGTCGGTTTTGCTTCGTGTCTCGCTACTCATCGCGGTGGTGTCGTCGTCGCGTGGGGCCTCTTTTCCGAGATCGACTCGGTTGTCAAGGGCTGGCAGCTCCAGCTCCACCATCACTTGCGAACAAGCCGACCTGAGCAGCGCATCCGCTGGGCGCCCTGGCACAAACGCCTTGCCCTCTTTCAAGTCATTCTCTTCTTCTTCTCGCGCGTCTTGTTTTCGTCAACCTCACATCCGCGCTCTGGAGCCAAAGCAGTTTCACGCTGCTCTCCTCCGATCCGCTGCTCGCTCTCCAGGCTCTGTTGGTTGTCTCGGGCCTCGTCACAAACAGCACCTGGTTCTGGAGCGACGTCGACGAGCTGCACCGCGTCCACCACATCTCGACCACCAAAATCTGGGCTATCATCGCCGCTGCCGGCATCCCGCTCGCGGTGGTAGTTCACTTGCTCAGGTAGCGCTATTGATGCGGCAACGGCTCGCCGTCCAGCTCATCATCAAGGCCAGCGTCAGCGAGGCGGGCCCGGAGCTTGGCCACCTGGTCGGCGTACGCCATGAGCACCTTCTTGGTCTTGAGCGCGATGTGCTGCAGCTGCGACTCGGCATCGTCACGCTGTTGAGTCACCTTGGCCAACTGCGCCTCGGCCGCGTTACGCGCTTCGGTTGTCACCCTGAGCTTGGCTCGGAATGAGCTGCGCGTAGACTTGAGGCGCGCCATGAGCGCATGTGCGTCAGGCGCCGACGAGCTTGTCGACGACAGCGACAGGCTGTCGTCGAGGCCACTGCTTTCGGCGGCGGCGGCCTCAGCCCGCGCCCGCGCCTCGTCGGCCTCGGCAACACGCCGCCGCAACAGCGCCACCTCGGTCTCCAGCGCCTTGGTCTCTTTCGACGTGAGGCCAGCCACCCGCCGCTGCAGCCGCTCCTTGGCCTTGCTCTCCGATGCAACCGACTGAAGCGCGTGGACCTTGGCTTGTAGGCTCTTGATCTGGCTCTTGGCCTTGGCTGCCGCGGCCTCGGCTGTACTCGCCCGCTCATCGGCCTTGGCCGCCGCTGCCCGCGCCTTGCGGCGCGCGCTCTGCGCGCTCGCAACCTGCGACTTGAGCGTGGCCTCGGCCGCCGACGACGCCGCTGCCGCCTTCTCCTTGGACGCCAGCGCAAGCTCCAACGCCTGAATCCGCGCCCCACGTGCACCGAGCTGATCTTTCAGCATCGTCACCTGGTCTCTAAGCGGCTTGGTTGCCGAGTTTGCCGCCCGTGCCACGTCTTCCTTGCACTTGGCCTCGAGCGCCTTGATCTCGGCCGCGTGGCTCTCCTCGGTTGTCGCTACTAGCGCCCGCAACCGCTCGGCGTCGGCCTCCATCTCTGCCGCCCGAGCCGACAATGCCGCGTTCTCGGTCCGCATGCTCGCCACGTCGCGCATCAATGCGCTCTTCATGCCCTCGGCAGACTTGAGTGATGCCTCGAGCTGGGCGTGCACCCGCTGTGCGGCACTGAGCTCGGCCTCAGCCTCAGCTGCGCGCTCGTCAGCTGCCATGGCGTCGGCTTTGCGATTCTGCAGCAAGGTGTTGACCGTCTGCAAAGCTCGCTGGTACTTGGCCTTTTCCAGCCGCGCCTTGATGGTAAACTCACGCAGTGACGCCGACTCGTTTGCACAAGCCTCTTCCCCGACGTTGACAGTATCGGGGAGGACTCTGGGAGCCGACTCGGACGCCTGCGCTTGCTCCAGCGCAAACTTAGTCTGCATCTGCGACTTGAGGGCCATCAGCTTGTCCTTGGTCAGGGCCTTGAGCTTGGCCACTCGCAGTTTGCTCATCTTCTTGTGCTTGGCCAGCAACAGCCGCGCCCGCTTCCGCACCTTGACCACCTGTTGTTCGGCCGCAGCCTTTTGCTCGCGCGTCGCCTTGAGCTCGGCGGTAAGCGCCACCAAACGCGCTTCGCTGCCGCCACCGCCACTGTCTGCAACGCTCTCGGCATTGCTCTTAGCACCCGCTTCTAGCTTGCGGTACTTTTTGACGGCAGCCTTGGCCATCCGCTCCACCTTGGCCAGCCGTGCCTTGGTCCGCTTGTGGTCCGCCAGGAGGCCAGCAGCCTCGGCCGCGACAACCTCGATGAGCGTCGGCAATGACGGGTCGTCGGGAGCCGGCACACTTTGCGACGGATCGTCGCGCCCACATGACAGCTCGTCGTAGAGTGTGCTGAGTGCCGTCTTCATCGCAGCCAGCTGTGACACAGCCATCTCAATTCCAGGCTCGAGGCCGGCCGCCCGCATCGACTCGACCGCAAGCGACTCGCCCGCTGGCGAGCCAGGCGCAGCCACTGCGCCCTGCGATGCCAGTGACTCTTTGATCTGAAAGTGATGGATCTCCGACCGCTGCTGATCGATGGTCTCGTTGAGCTCGGCAATGACCGACTCGAGATGGGCAACCTGGTCGCGGGCCTCGCGTGTCTCGTCGTGCGCTGCAGACAGCGATGCGTTCGTGGCATCGAGCGAGAGTTTGACCCGCGCCGCAGCGGCTAGCTCGCGCTCATGACGGGCAGTCTTGCTCTCGGCCACGTCCAGCTTGGTCCGGAGCTCGGATGCCTCGTTCTGCAGCTCAACTAGCGCCGACTGCGCCGAGCTCGTCGCCACCTTGGCCTTTCGCGCCGCCTCTTCAGCAGCATCGCGAGCCACGCCCGCTTCCTTCACCTGAGTCAGCAGCTCGGCTTCGCGCTTGCGCACAAGCTTGAGCTGCTCTGTGGTGATGCGGGCCTCAGCAGCGGCAGCGGTCGCCACCTGGAGCTGGGCCTGAAGCCCGGCTAGCTCGGCTGCATGCGCCTCTTCCAACTCGGCCACGTGGCCGACCGCCCTCTCGCGATCAGCCTCTGCACTCTCCAGCCGTGAGCGGAGCAGCTGCAGCTCGGAGCCCGATCGCTCTGCGGCTGCCGTATCCGCCGCCGCCGCCGCCGCTCTGTTGATCGACGCAGCGCGAGCGACAAGACCGTCGAGGGCGCGCCACCAACGGACCTCGTCCTCGACCATGGCCAGCGGAATCCGCTGCGAGTCTGCGTGACGGCGCAACGCCAACGGCACGGCATCGGCAAGATCCAGAACAAGCGGCAGTGCGTCAAAGCCTTGGCTAGGACCAGTGAGAGCGAGGAGAGGCTCACCTGGCCGTCGGTCGCGTATTGGCCAAACAGCTCGGCCACCAGCTCGCGGTCGGCCTCGCCCAGTGCCGGCAGGCCGGGCCCGGTGCTCATCCCGCCGAGTGAGGTGTATGTGTGAGGGGGAAGGGTGAGGTGTAAGGCTGGGGGACGAAAGGGGTGTTGTGGGAAGGGAGGGGGGTGCGGAGGGGAAGGTGCGGGACGGTTGGTGGCTTTGGCGCGCGATCGCAACCGCGATCATGATCAGGTTCTCTCTCGCTCTCCTTGAGTTGAAAAGGGGCATCGGAGCACAACACGCTCATTCGCCCTCGGAGCCTATCCGCTCATCTGGGCGGCAAGGATGTCGCAGACTTCGGCATGGAAAGAAGAATCGGTTGAGTTGCGCTTCTCGTACTCGATGGACTTGGCGTGGGAAAAGACAAAGAGAAAGCGGACGGCGACGTGGTCAGCGTTGGGGACGACCCAGATGTTGTTCGACTTGCGGACCTCGGAGGTGTCGATCAACTCACACAGTGCGACACAGATCATGTTCTCGGGATCAAGGAACCGGGCCTCATACTCGTCGGCGTCGGCAGTCGTGGCGGCAACCCTCGTGCCGCGCCCGGTGAATCGCGAGTTCTTAGTCGAGTAGCCCATCGAATACGAGAGCGTGGTCGACAGGTAGATGCCGCTCCCATGCGCAGAGCCATGGCGCTGCAGCTTGGTCCCTGACGCCGACACCAGGCCGCGTCGCGAGATCGAGTGCCAGTTCTGAGTCGGCGAACCGTGCCACGCAAACTTGGATCCATGCTTGACCTTGAGCTCCTGGAAGACAGCCTCCTTCTCGGGCGCAGATGAGAGCATGAGGTACTGGAAAGGGGTCTTGATTTGCAGCCGCTGCTCCGGCGGGAGCAGCACAATGTGCGACCGGTTGGATGAAATGAGCCAAGCGAGGAGCGGGTAGGCAAACCGGTTGGCCTCGTTGAGCCGGTCCTGCAGCTGCTGTGCAGACGACACCGACGCCATCTCGGCCACAGGCGGGAACGAGTTGAGGATCTCGCGCAGAATAGTAAAGTCCTTGTTATCCGGGTCGAGGACCACCACCTGTCGGTCGTTCGGATCGTACAATCGCGGGAAGGGGTCGAAAATGAGCTCGGCCTGCGCGTCGGTAGCAGCGGCCACGGCAAAGCAGACCAGCAGGTCGATGATGGCGGTGCCGAGAGCCAGCTCTGCCGCGGCGTCGGCGGCCACGCCCAGATCCTGAAAGGCAAACGAGCAGATTGTCCGCGAGCAGACTGACGGCTTGAGCATGAGCCCAGATGCAAAGAGGTGCGGCTGGTCGCAGATGATGCAGACCGAATTGAGATGTGGCGTCCGTGCGTTGAGATACGACACAATGAGGCTTGGCAGGCCGTGATCATAGTCGACCATGTTCTCAACGTCAAGAGCGCCCAAGCCGTCGTCACCAGCAAAGATGGCGCCGCTGTGCGGGGAAGCCGTTTTGGCAGCTGGTGAGGCTTGGCTTTCCTCGTCGGCCCGGCCGCTCAGCGTCTCGCCGTGCGCAATGCTGAGCATGTGTGCGTACGAGCCCGGAATCGGCCCGCCCGGCGGGTCGTCCAGCAAGCTTTCACCGCGAGTCAGGAGGAGCTCTGTTGCCTCCTCCATCGTCGCTGCGATGTTGAGCGCCGCAATCGCAGCCTCGAGTGGGAAGCCCATATCAGTGAGCGCAACTGCCACCTGCAACAGCTGCATGTGAGCAAGCGAGTGGTTATCGGAAGCGGGCGCGGTGAGTGCAGCGGAAGTCGTCGACGTCGCCGACGTCGCCATTGAGCTTGTGCCCGCCACATCGTCGATCGTGTCCTTTCCCTTACCCGCGTCCTCGCAAGGAATGGCACCGTCGAGATGGCAGTGCTTGAGCCGGGTCGACAGCTCGCTCCATATTTTGCCGAGGAAGCTGTTAAGAATGTTCCGGAGCTGGAACGCGAGTAAGAATGGCTTGTCCGAGTCCTGCGAGACCCGCACCCGCGGCGGATCGCGCGAGAAAAGGTACGAGGTCGGCACCAAATCAAACTCGATGAGCACTGGGGTGGACATGTCGACGCCCCAGGCCTTGCCGGTCATCCGAGTGAGCGGCGGCCACCACTGGAGGGTGAGCGTACCCGAGTCAAGACCGCGGAGCGCAGTAAAGTCAGCGCGGCCCTTGCCATGAAGCGACTCAAAGATGGCGACGTCGCGGGCGAGGAGCTTGTGGCCGGAGATGGCACGACTCGAGACTGCCATCGGATGCAAGTCCTCCTCATCGTCAGAAGAAGAGTATGATAGCTCGAGCACGCACTCTGAGTCCGAGTAGAGCGAGAGGATCGAGTCAACCGTCGAGGCCCGGGTCACATGGCCCACGTACGGCACGCCGAGCCGCTTGGCCACCATTGCGCACGTCTCATCGACAATGGTTGTCAGTGGACCCGAGACTAAACTCATCGATCCACCATCCAGCAGCGAGCATGGCTCGTCCGGGTAGCCATCCGCCATGACCAGAGTCAGCGCCACACTCTGCCCGCCAAGTCCGTCTCCGATCTCCATGCCGACCGTGTTGGCTTCCGGATCGTACTCCAACCCTGAAACCAGCCATTTACCCCCCACAATCGCACACGCATTGTGCCACCATTGTCAATCATTGGGATGGTGAGTCTGTGCCAGAACTTGGCATGTCCGTCCGTCTTGGTTCTTCGGTTCGGCAACTGGCTTCCATTCGCCTTTCCACCACCACCCCCACCCCCTACCCCATGCCCTGTGCGTACTCTGGATCATCCGGTTGGCCTGGTGCGCGGCATGGCATGCTGCAAGGTCGCTTTCAATACGCTCGCGAAGCCATGACGACATAGTCCAGCGTCAGGTGCCTCCCCCTTATTGCGTGGTCAACCCCAGTCGGGCGGGCAGGCACCAGCCGAGTCGCACTCGGCAGCGGGGGAGGAGGGAGGAGGAGGAGGAGAGTGTGTGTTCATCAACAAGCTAGGCCAGACAGGATCATGGCCCGGGGCAAGCCCACGTGAGAGAGAAGGTGGCTTGTTTCAAGGGCTTGGGCTCGGGATCGGACGAGGGTACGAGACTGCGGGTGCCCGGGTGGTGGTCGTTGTCGTCGAGGAGAAGCGGTCGGTGGTGGTGGTGGACGAGGCGGTACGCGGCTGGGCGAGGTGCGACTCGATGGCGGCCGAGATGGCGTCGAGGTTGGCCAGAGTCGACTCGATGGCGAGCGAGTCGATGGAGGCCGAGTCACTGGAGATGAGTGACTCAGCATCGTCGTCGTCGTTGTAACCGGTCTGGGTGTGGACAGGGCTGGCGCCCGAAGCGACAAGCTGCTGGTTGAAGACCGCCTGGCGGTGGCGGAGCTGCTCGAGGAGCTGGGCCTGCTGGGCCTGGACGGCGGCGGGCGACGAGGCCCGCGACGAGGCGGGCGACGAGAGAGCCGAGTGGGTGGCGCCGCCGTGGGCGGAAAAGTGCGAGCGCAGCTGGCGCTGGAGCTCTGCGGTCTGGGCCTCCATCATCTCACGGCGGGCGCGGAGCTGCTCGGGTGTCGCCTGATGGAACCGCTGCTTGGCAGCCTCAAGCTGCTGCAGCCGGTGGTGGCGCGCGGCGTCGTCGGGCGAGAGCGCTCCGGCACTCATGGAGCTCTGAGAATACCCGCCTGGCGAGGCGTAGTACGAGAGGCCGGGCGAGGCCGGCGTCGACGAGACGACCGGGACCGGCGAGGCGGCGGAATACATGGCGGCGGCGCCGGGCTGTGGATGCACAATATGATCGGGCGACATGTGCAGCTCCGGGTGCTTGCGCAGGTACTGTTCCGGCGGCGTCGTCGTCTCGTGGCCGTCGGGGTAGATGTACGTGATCGAGGTGATCTGCGCCGGGCCGGGTGCTTCGGGCCCCGGGAGGTGCGAGGGCTGCGGCGGGTAGTACGAGAGCGACGGAGCAAAGACGGGCGGGCGCGGCGGGCGTGGCGGCTGCGGCGGAGCGGGCGATGGGGCTGGGTAGACGTAGCCTGGCTGCGGCGGGCGCGGCGGAGGAGGAGGCGGCGAGTGAAGCGGGCGAGTCTCCTGGCGGCGGTGGCGGCGGATGGTGGTGATGACCTTGCGGCGCGGAATGAGGTGGTTGGCCTCGAGATAGGCCTCGACAGCGTTGAGCGACGACTGCAGCATCTCGTGGGTCGACTCGGAGCGAGCGAGGAGAAAGTTGAGCAACCGCTCGCGGTTGATGTCGATGGCCTTGACATGGCGAAGCTGGGCCTGGAGCGGGAGCTCCGGGTCGAACGCGCCCTTGCGGGCGAGAGGGTCTTCGCTGCGGCTCTTTGTGCGAGCGCGCGAAATCTCGGCGTCAAGCTCGGCGGCCAGCGCCTTGGATGCCTCTGCAGCCTCGCGGGCAGCCAGCATGTGCTGGACGCGCTCGTTGGTGACGGTGGTGGTCGTCTCGAGTGCCCCCTCCATCCGCACGCACTCGCCGATCTCAGGCGGCATTTCCTCTAGCGGGAGCGTGGCGGCGAGCCGGCGCAGCTCGAGGCTCTCTTCGGTCGAGTAGACGGCGAGGCGGAGCTCCTCACGAGCGACCGTTGCGCGCTGAGCCTGCTGCTCGAGGTCTGCGATTTGGTGAAAGGCCGACGCGAGGTCGGTGTCGAGGCCCTCCTGCTCGGCGAGCACCGAGTGAATCTTGAACTTGAGAGCCTCCTCCGAGTCGGCAGCGTCGGCAATGTCCTCGCGCATGGCGGCCAGGACACCCGGCAGCGGCTCGTTGTCGCGGAAGAGGGCGGCAAGCTGGCGGTTGGCCGAGATGAGCCGGCGGACCTGGTACTCTTCGCGCAGCAGCTGCGCCGTGGCCCACTGCTTGGTACGCTCGATCTCGGCGCGGACGAGCGCGGCCTGGCGGTTGATCTCGGTCTGCGAGAGGCCGGCGGCAGCATCGATGACGATGCCGTTCTTGTCGCGCTGGACCCGCATCGGCGCGGCCATCGGCAGCCGGCGCAGCTCCTCGGGAGCCGGTGGCATGTTGGCGGTGAGCATACGCTCGGTCTCCTGCAGAACCCGGAGGCGGCGGGCATGGGCCTGGCGCTTGGCCTCGGCCTCGGGATCCTCCGACGGGCCGACGGCGGCGGCAGCAGCATCGACACCGGCTTCAGCATCACGGGCTGCGCGCCGGCGATTGCGGCGGGCAGCGCGGACGGCAGCGGCGTAGGTCGGCGGAATGCCCTGGTCGTTGCGGGCCTCGGCGACCTCGTCGTCAGTAAACGGGTTGCCGTCGTCCCACTCGGCCTCGAGCGCGCCAACGTGGTCCTTGCCTGCCGCAGCAGCCATAGCGGCGTCATGTCGCGAGTCGACTGCATGCTTGCCTGCTGTTCTGCCCAGCTTGCCTGTCGTCGCCGCCGACTTTCTCCGGGCCTTTCTGCCCGTCGTCGACGACGTCGACGAGTCCCGCCGGCGGGAACGGCGACCAGCCGGGTCAAAGACCGGCACTACGTTGACGTCCTCCTCCCAGCCACGACCATAGCCTTCGCTTCCGTCGGCTCCAGTTGACGTCTCCTTCCGTGCTGCCGCCCGCCGCCGCCTTGCCGCCTTGTCATTCCGGCGTCCCTTGGACTCGGCCTGGCGCCAGTCGGAGACCTCGCCAAGGACGGCCGAGGCCGACGAGGTCTCGTCCTCGGCCACAGCCTCACGCCGGTCCTTGCCCTGCTTCTTGCTCTTGCTCTTCGACCGGTGCCGCTTCTCCCCCATCCTGCCTGGGGAGTATATCAGTGACAAAGTCGAGTGTTGGTCCTTTGGGCGCTGAAGGGGGGAGGGGGGGAGTGTCAACGGGTGAGGTGGGTGGGGGGGGGGGCGGAAGGGGGCTGGGCGTGTGATGGCCGTTGAAAACCAACGGCTGGGGATGGGGAGGGGGGGAGGGGGAGGGGGGGAGGGGGGTGCCTACATTGCAAATTTTTTATTGCTCTCTATCAATCTCGATACGGAATTATCCATCGCGCAAGCCGCGCTCCGCGACGCCCCGCAGACGTCGCAACGTCCATCAATCGCGGTAAAAGAGTAGTACAATGTGTTAATGGCTGCTATGGCCACTGGGGTGCCACAACAGAAAACAGTCGGCGATGCGAGCTCGCATGCGTCTCGCTGGCCAACTACCTGGTCGTCGTCGCCGGCGATTACGAGCCCAAGCCCAGCGACGGCCTCAAAGAGCCAGAGGAGGGTGTCGATTGCCGACATCGTTGTCTTGTTTATCGCCAAGGACGACCTCAAGCTCTCGATCAAGCTCCCCGAGTGGGGCACGAGCAAGGCGGTCGCCGGCTTGGCGAGGACGTCGAGCACCCGACGCTCCTCACGCGCCTCCGTCTTGCTTCTCATGTCGGCATCGGCCACGCCGACCGGCAAGCTCGTCCGTCGCAAGAATATCCACAACGTCCTTGCGCTCCCCCATCCGGCCGCTGTGTTCAACTCTGTCATGCTCTACTTCCCGGTCGTCGAGGTCGTCAACTACAAGCTCCGCACCGTCCGCCCACCGCGACGACAACTCGTCAGGCGGGCATCTACGTGTCGGCCGCCATCACGTGCGGGCGCGCCTCCCACCTCAAGCCGCAGGCCAAGCAGGCGTCGCGCAGCGTCGGCCGGTGACCTGGAAGTCAAGCATCATCGAGTTGTTCACTTTGAGACGCGCGACAACGCGTCCGAACGACCGAACCGCTAAGGGCTATCAACCACTTTGCAACCACGAAGCACCCACCATGCATCAGATGCTCTTGCCTCTGCGCACAGCCTGTCGCTTACATCCCGGTTGTTTGACTTTGTACTTATTGCCACAGTTTACGCAAACAGTTTGCGGGCACGGGCATCGTCGATAACCTGATGCGGGAGAACCGGGTCGGAGTGGCCGAGCGGCGACGGAGTGTGCGAGGTGGAGACCGAATCGTCATCGTCGGCCATGGTCGGAGTGGCGGCACCTGAGTCACCAGAGGCGGTCTCGCGGGCCTCCGAGTCGTCGTCAAAACCGATCTCGAAGACGGTAGAGGCGGCGTCGCCAGCTGACGCCGCGGCGGCCTTCTCGGCGGCGACAGTGAGCTCGGCCTCGAGGTCAAAGTCGATGGGCTCCGGCAGCGGGTCCGAGTCCTCGACGCCGTCGACCAGGTACGGCAGGACCATGGCGTCGCGGATGGCCTCAGTATCGCCGATGAACCGGGCGACAAAGGCCGGGTCGACGGCGGCACCCGAGAGGGTGGGGCGGACGGCCGGCGCGAGACCAGCGTTGACGGCGACGGCGGCCGAGATGGACGATGCAATGCTCTTTGCATCGCCAAACGTGTTCCAGTTCTGCGTGACCACCACCGAGCCAGCCGCTTCCATGTCCGTGAGGAACTGGCCGTACCACTTGTGCAGGCCGGCGAGGTAGTCGAGCGGAATGCCCGACTCGCACTCGCGGCAGCGCTCGTGCAGGATGCGGCGATGGCACTCCTTGGGGTCGACGTCAAGGTAGAGGGTGACGTGCGGGACCGGGAGCGCCTCGAGCATGCGGGCGCGCAGCGCCATGTAGTACGCGTAGCCCTCTTCAGAGATGAAGCCATCCTCGCGGCACTTGTCGGCAAAGACCTTGTCCGAGAACACCGACCGATCGAGAATGACACCCTGGCCCGAGGCAGCCATCAGATTGAGCGCCGCAATGTAGGTGTAGAACCGCTGGCGAACAAGCCAGAGCTGCATCTTGAGGCCCCACTTGAGCGGATCCTTGTAAAAGTGCTCCAGGTACGGGTTGGTCAACGTCGGCTCCATGAACACCTTGCACCCGAGCAGCGGGCCGAGTGCCTGGGCCAGCGTCGACTTGCCCGCAGAGATATTACCTTCCAGAATTACAAGCATGCTACACACTGTCTTTGGTGAGTTGCTTCATCCGCTGCCTCAACAGGGAGGTAGAGGGGGGGGGGGGAGGGGGAGGGGCCGACGGCGCGCGAAAGTAGATTCTAAGCATCAAATGCTATTCGCCCGCCACAACCTGGCGCTATCCAAGGCAGAGGCAGGGGCACCCATTGTGGGGGGTCTTCAGTAGGGTATGGGGGAGGAAAATGGGGACGGGAGGGGGGAGAGGGGGGGGGCTACGTTTGGCTAGTGGTGGAGGTGGAGGCGTACGTGGGTGACGGGAGGCGAGCTGGCGCAGTGGGGTGTCCGTCTGCTCAAAGCTGCCGAGGGGGAGCTGACGACTGGCCACCAACCAGGATGGGATTGGGAAAAGACGGCGGAATGTGGGGGGGGGGAAAGGCGGGAAGGGGGAAGGGCGCGCGTAGAATCTGCAGTCTCCACATCCCCCCCTTCACGCACACGCACATACACACACTGTCACGTCATCACACGCATTGCGACCCACATGCCACCGCCCCCGCGCCCAACCCCCCCCACACCCCCCCCCTATCCTCCTCAACCTCCCCTCTCACTTGCTTTCAGCTTGATCATCAACAGGATGCTACACAGATCAGCATCAAACAAATCCAGATCCCCCCCCCTCTCACCCCACATCGCCTCGCCTCAAATGGCAAACTCTGTCTGACACTGTCTCCCTCCCCTCCCCCTCCTCCCTCCCCCTACCACACACACACTGTCACGCACACCTGTCTTTGTCAAGACATGGTGTGGGGGGTTTGGAATGCTTGTTGATTGCTGTGCAGAATAGGCGCACAGGGGGGGTGAGGGGAGGCCTGGTGTGTGTGGACCTGGGGCTACCAAGGGGTTGACGGTGTGTCGCTGACCGACGAGTGGAGGAGGACGTGGGCAAAGGAAGGGGTTGGGAGAGGTTGGATGGGGATCAAGGGCGGCATATGGCGGTGGGTTGGCCGGTATGGGAGGCTATGACAGCTGGTGGTCCATTGGTGTGGAGATGGAGGGGATGGAGGGCGAGAAGGAAAGGGATGCTGGTCGGACGGGATCGATGGTGGTGTTGCCTGGTTGTGTGTGTGCGTGTGCCGGAAGGCAAGGGGAGGCAGAATGAGCTGGAAGAAGAAGGAGAGAGATCTTGGTCCTGGTTGGAGAGGTATCCTTGGCGGTGGTGGTTGCGCCACTGCGGTCGGCAATGGTCTGGTGATGGCTTGGCCAGACTGGTGGCGGATGAAAGGGTGCACAATGATGATCGTTTTGTTTCCTCGGATCGGCTGGGGAGGGTGGCTACTGCGGGTGGAAGAGGGCAGATCGAGCAAGTTGTCGGTTGCAGACCGCAAACACTGTCAGTGGTGCTGTTGCTCTGCCGCTTGTCGGCGAGCCTCTGCAGCTCTGCCCCTCTCCCTGCGAGCAGAGTCCGCCGAGTTTCTTGACGCGGACTCTGCTAGCACCCTAACCCTAAGAGTTGTTTTCTTGCCTTCCCCCCTCACCCCCTCTCTTCCCTATTTCCTGCCATTGTAATCCTCGCGATGCTTGGCGCCTCTGGGTCTGTTTCTCCTCGGGTTTGGATCCCCAAGGCGCCTGGTTCTTCCCCTGCCTGCGCTCAATGCGCGCAATGCAAACCCGTGGCACAGATGCTGGACGGCTTTCCCCAGCCGCTGACATGTTTGTTGCTGCAACCTGGCCGCTGCTATCGCGGCACTAGCCATGTGCTGTGGCTGACCAAGGCGCACGGTGGCCTGCGGGCGCGAGTGCTGTCCAACAAGCCTGCCCATGCGCAGGAGAGCGATTGCGCATCAAGGCGCGCGGCCGAGGGCGCGAGACAACGGACCCCCCATACCCGTGGCTCGCACGCAAGCGCCTGTGTCTGCAGGCTCTTGGGATTCCGGCTCGAGCTCGGCGCCTCGGCGCGCGACTCGAGCCGAGACGGTTCGCCCTCGTCCTTTTTATGCCTGCCGGCTTGCCTTTTCATCCGGGCCCACCCCGGGGCCGGCAGGCGCCTGTGATCCCAAGGCCCGCCCTCGCTTGCTCTTGGCTTCTTGCCTGCCCTCGCCTCTGGCTGCGCACCTTGCGCGACCGCGCCCGGGCTTTACTCGGCTCCTGAACGTGGTCAGGCATGGAAAGTCCGCTCTGCTCGATGTCTTGCCTGCCGAGCGCCCAGCCAAGCCGCGATGCGGTGCGCCAAGGCACCTGCTCGTTGTTTTTTTCTGTGTCCTCCTTCCTCCTCCTCCTCTCTTCGCCAGCCGCATCATCTTGTCCCAGTCTCGGAGTTTACGGCCCGCCACGTCATCGCCAGCACAAGGTGCCCAACATTGTATTCCCCCCTCCGCCGCCGAACCGTCTCCACGAGGATCTCGCTCTCACTCTCTCTTTCTCTCTCTTTGCTCGACATGCTGTTGCACGTCGAGACTGCTCATTACGCCGTCTGTACCCTTGTTGATGGCCTGCACCAGCTCACACCCTCGCGCTCACATTCTGATCTGTCTTCTCCCCATCTCTCCCTGCTTCCCACACACTCTGTCTCTCCCCTATCTTAGCCACTGGTCTCTCCTCCCATGTGTACCGGCACGTCTCCACGCCTGCCTCTCTCCTCGCCCAACTCTCACTTTTCCTCTTCTCCGCGCACCCTCCCTCCAACGCACGGCACATACGTACCACCATTTGCCCCAACTCGCGTACCCGGTTCTCCCCTCCCTCTGATGCATGACGCGGTCAACCTGCATGCACGGCATGGCGCAAGCTGCCCCTTCCCCCCGTTTTCTCCATGCTTACTGCACGGACAGAAGCGAAACCTTCTCTCTCGCTACACACACACATCGGATAGCCTAGATAGATAGATAGCCAAAGACTGCATGCATAGCGCAGCGCGTTTGTTGTGGTCGGTTTAATCCTGCTTCACATCTCGTCGAGCTCGTCGAGGAACGAGTCGAGCGGCAGCGCCTCGACTTCGATGGCGCTAACGTCGACCTCAACCGGAGCCGACTTGAGCATCTTGAGCTGGATCTTGAGCTCCTCGTCATCCTCCGCGTCGTCCTCATCGTCCGAGGCCGAGTCAATGCCCTCGTAGATGCAGTACTCCTCGGTGACGCGCTGGACGAGCTCGTCGGTCCAGGGAATGACGTAGGCCAGGTCCTCGGGACGGACAAAGACGCCGCAGCGAGGCGGACAGCGGAAGTAGACCTCGCCCTTGACCGAGCCGTTGTTCTTGCCCTTGCCCGGCACGTCGAGCTCGACGCCGACCCAGGTTCCGGTGGCAAACTTGGTCGGCCCGACAAAGCGGACGACACCCATCTTGGACGAGCCCTTGCGCCACACCGGATCGCCGACTTTGAACTCATGGGTGCCCGGCTTGACGAGATGCAGCATGTGGCCACGGACAAAGAGACCGTGGCCCGGCGGGCAGTCAAAGAGCTTCACGCCCATGACGGTGCCGTCGCATCCGCCCTGAGCGGTGGCAGTCTTCTTTGGCGTGACAATGCCGACAAAAGTCGAGCTGCCAGCATACGGCAGCTCGCCGACCCACTCGACGCGGCAGAGCGAGCGGCCAAACTTGACGAGGGTTCCGCGGAGAGCCTCTGTGCGGGCAGCGAGGCGGCGCGAGAGCTTCTCCTTGATGCGACGCTCGCGGCGGATCTGCTTCTGCTTCACAGCCTCCTCCTCCTTCTTCTTGGCAAGCATGGCCTCCTGCTGGGCGAGCTCGGCGGCGAGCCGCTCCTGACGAGCCTTGTACATGGCCTCCTTCTTCTCAGCGCGCTCGCGCTTCTTGCGGTTGCGCTCGTATTCGCGGCGCTCAAGCTCGGCCTTGATCTCGGCCTGCTTGCGCTCGAGCTCGGCCTCGGCCTGGTCGACGAGCCGCTGCTTCTCGGCGGCGAGCCGCTTCTCGCGCTCGAGCCGCTGCATCTCCAACAAGCGGGCCATCTCCTCCTCGCGGCGGGTCTTGTCGTCCGAGAGCATGCGGTTCTCTTCCTTGATAGCCTTGGTGAGCGACTTGGCGGCCTTGGCCACGCCCGCCTTGTACGCCTCGGTCTTGTCCTTGGAGTAAAAGTCGTTGGTAAACTCAGCGACGGCCGAGCGGAGCGCCTTGGCCGCCGAGCGGAGGATCTCGGCGCGCTTGGCCAGCTTCTCACGCTCCTTGGCACGCTTGGCGCCGTTGGCAAAGTCGACAAGCGACTTGAGGGTGATCTCGAGCGGTGCAAGGGCACCCTCGGCTGCGTGCAGCGACGGCACGAGGTGGGTCTGGCGGTACTCCTCCTTGATTCGCTGCCGCTCCTCCTCTTCCTCTTCGAGAATCTTGCGGTCGGCCTCCTCGGGCGAGTAGCCCTCGGCGACGAGCTGGCGCTTGCGCTCGATGCGCTTCTTGATCCGCTCATACTCTTCGACGAGCTGCGGAAGGCGGCGACGGGCGAGCCACATGCGGTGCAGGGCCTGAAAGTGCTCGAGCGCGGCCTTCATCTTGGCCTTTTTGGCGCGGAGCGCGCGGTCGCGGGCAGCTGACATGGCCTTGAACATGTTGTCTTTGAGAAAGACGAGGTCGTAGCCGACCTGGAACGGTGCCATGTTGGTCCGGTTCTTGACAGCCTCGGGATCCTCATCGACCACCATCTGGCAGAGGAACTTGATGGCGTCGTCAGGGCTCTTGGCCTTGAGCGCAGCCTTGTCGTCGACAAGATCCTCAAAGTAGTCGATAAAGGCCTCCTTGTTGCGCTGGACCGGGTAGCCGGCCATGCGCATCTCGATGACGGCGCCCATGCCTGCCGAGATGAGCTGGTCGAGGACTTTCCAGTCCTCAAACATGCCGCCCTTGGTCATGGTGCAGTTAGGCTTGACGCAGCGGACAAACATCGGGTCTGTCTCCATCAGCTTGTCGTGCAGATCGTCGAGCGAAGCCTTGAACTTGGATGCGATGGTGGAGACGCCACGGCGGCTGCCGCCGGACCCGCCGCTGCTCTCGGGCACGAGGGCGACGACAAATGCCGAGGACGAGGCCTGGAGGACGGCAGCAAGGTCCTTGGCCATCGAGTCCTTGTTCTTCTCGACAGCGGCAACCGTGGTGTACCACACCTTGCCGGCGTAGTGGTAGACAAAAAGTCGGTCTTGTCGCGGGCATGCTTGGAGGTGTCGATGCGCGGCCACCAGCCGAAAAAGTCGTCGCGGGCCGTCTTCCACTCCTGGTCGCCGAGCGGCTTCTTGCGGCCCTTGGTAAACTCGGCCACAATCTCGGTAAGGAACTTCTCATCGGCCATGCGCGGGTTGGCCATGAGCTCGCGGTTTGTCTGCGACTGCTTGGTCACGCCGTTGAGAATGGAGAAATGTTCTTGGCCTTGGCCGCCTTCTTGTCGCTCTTGTCGATGGGACCCTTGATGAGCTGGACGCACGCCGAGTTGTCAGCGTACTCGATGTCGTCGACGTGGAGGCCTTGCGACCGGTAGAGCTCCTGCTGCTTAGGAATCTGGTTCTCGTAGAAAAAGTGCTGCAGCTGCTCGTTGGTCAGGTTGATGCAAAGCTGCTCAAACTTGTTGTTGGTCAGCACGCTGTGGTCCGGCTGCTTCTTCTCAAACGACTCAAAGCCAAAAATGTCAAGAACGCCGATCCACTTGGCCCCTGCCCCGCCAGGCGCCGAAATCACCGTATTGATGTGCTCCTCCACCAAGAGCTCAAAAAGCCGGCCGTACATCTGCTTGGCCAGTGCGTCGGCGTTGTCGTACGCCTGTTGCTCGGTCAGGTTCTTGATCGTCGTCTCCGTGATGTGGAAGAAGAGCAGCGCGTCCGAGAGGCCCTGCTGTGAGACGCCGAGCAGCTCGGCCACCCACCCGACCTCCTGCGGCGTGTCGATGTTGCACGTCTGGCCTTCCTCGGTCGCTGAAAACTTGATCTGGCCCAGAATGAGGATGGCTGCGAGGATCCGATAGAGCTGCTGCCGGAACTCGGGCCCAAGCCCGAGCGTGTCCATGTTCTCCACAAACGTTGCATACCGCTTGTCGTCGTGCATCGGCTCGCCGTGGTGGTCCACAAAGCACGTGTTGACGTTGCACCGGTCGCGGCCCACAAGGTACCGGTACTGGTCGTACGTCGTCAGGTGCAGGGCCGCCAGCTCGGCCGGCGAGAAGTTCTCAAACATCATGTAGAAGATGTGGTAGTTGCGCTCGTCGAGCTCCTGCAGCACAATCCGCGACTTTTCCAGCAGGTACTGGTTGATTCGCGCGCCCACAATGACGTTCTGCTGATTGAACTGGATCTCCACAAACTTGCCAAACCGCGACGAGTTGTCGTTCCGCGTCGTCTTGGCGTTGCCAAACGCCTCCAGCACCTCGGATGTCGCCAGGATCTTCGAGTTGACGTCGAGCTCCTGCGTGCCCTTCTCCGCCACAAACGCAATGTACTGCAGCACGTGCTTGGTCGACTCACTCTTGCCGGCCCCAGACTCGCCCGAAATCACAATCGACTGGTTGATCGGCCGGCCAGGCTCCGGCGAACACATCTTACGGTAGACCTCGTCGCCCGTGGCGTAGATGTGCGGCGGGAGCTCCGGATCCGCAAACGGGCGGCCCTTGTACTTTTCCATCGTCTCCTGGTTGATCAGCCCCATGTCCTGCAGCGGGTTTGCCACCACAAGAATCTCACCCACGTACGTGTAGTACAGCATCGGCTTGGCCTTGTACCGCATCCGCAGGTTGTACATCAGCTCACCCACCTGCAAGTCTTCCAGCTCGACCATGTTTTGCCGGCCCTCTCGGTTCGACTGCGCCATGATTTGCACCAGTAGGTCGTCGGTCTGTGTCACCTTGAGCGCCTTGGGCTGGTTGTTGTAGTCGGGATCTCGTACGCATCGTGCACATAGATCTCCCCATAATGGCTCCAGCGAGATCTCACTATCCGACGGTGTGCCCTTGACCTTGGCCGCGAGCTTCGGCGGCTCGGGCGGCTTGTGCTCCTTCTTGTCCTTGGAACTTGACGCCCCACCTCCAAACCGGCTCTTCTTGACCTCGGGCTCGGGCTCCTTTCCAAAGTTAAGGACCCACACCAAGTCCTCGTTGTGGAACGAGGTGAACACCTTGGTCATCGCTATGCAGTTGGAGGGGGGGGGGAGGGGGGGAGTGGGGAGGGGGGGGAGTGTAAGTAGGGGGGAGGGGGAGAGGACAGAGGAGGTATCTATTTCAGCCGTTGGCGGGAGGGAGAGGCTAACGGGCGAGGTGGTTGGCGAGGGGGAGGGGTATGGCCATAGCCATGGGTATGAACGATGGGGATGGAGGGAAGAGGGAAGATTAAGTGTGTAAGGTAGAAGTTAGTGAGGAGGGGGGGGGAGTGGAGGTCCGTACCAGCTGACCTAGGTGAGGTGTTGCTTGGTGAGGGGGAGAGGGGGGGTGGGGGGGGGAGGCTGAGAGGGCAAACAGCGGTGATCGTGATCGATCGTGATCAGGACGGAGGCGGAGAGCGAGAGAGTGGGAGCGGACCGATTGAGGTATGTGGTCAAGCACCCGTCTTTGGAACTGTAACCATGCTGAGGCTCTCCCGTGCGGTGTGCAGCATGCCGACTCGCGTACGTGGCTACTCTAGAGGCAAGGAGGTAGTGGGGGGAAGGGGGGAGGGGGAGGGGAGGGCGGGCGAGGGGGGGGGGGGGACTGGCTGGGTTTTTTGGTCGATGAGAAGCGCTGCACCGCTGTGGGCGGACAGAGTCACGAGGGCGACGGGCATGGCGAGGCGAGGCTCCTGGTGAGGCATAGTGACAGGTGACGGGTGACGGGAACTCGGCTCACGATATGTGTGGGAGGGTGTGGGGACATGGGTGGTTTGTGGTGTAGGCGTTTGCAAGCACTGCAGTTGCAGCAGCTGGCAGTGGCGGCGACAAGCTCCCTGGCTTTGTGCACAAGGTTGTGGACGAGGACGTGCCGCAGGACGGCGAGATGGTGGAGATGAACCTGTTTGAGGCCGTGAATGCGGCGATGGACGTGGCGCTGGACACTGATGAGACGGCGTGTGTGTTTGGCGAAGACGTGGCGTTTGGCGGCGTCTTCCGCTGCTCGATGAACCTGATGGAGAAGTACGGCAAGGACCGGGTGTTCTCGACGCCGCTCTCAGAGCAGGGCATTGCCGGCTTTGCGATCGGCATGGCGGCGATGGGCTCGACAGCGATTGCGGAGATCCAGTTTGCCGACTACATCTTCCCGGCGTTTGACCAGATTGTCAACGAGGCGGCCAAGTACCGGTACCGGTCGGGCGGCATGTTTGACGTCGGCGGCCTCACCATCCGCTCACCGTACGGCGCAGTTGGCCACGGTGGCCTGTACCACTCGCAGTCGCCCGAGGCCTACTTTTCGCACACGCCCGGCCTCAAGGTTGTCATTCCGCGCTCGCCGCAGCAGGCCAAGGGCCTCCTGCTGTCGGCCATCCGCGACCCGAACCCGGTGCTTGTGTTTGAGCCCAAGGCGCTCTATCGCGCCGCCAACGAGCCTGTTCCGGTCGAGGACTACGAAATCCCGCTGGGCAAGGCGCAGGTCCTCAAGGAGGGCTCGGACGTGACTGTCGTCGGCTACGGCGCCCAGATCTACGTCCTCGAGCAGGCCATCCTCATGGCCGAGAAGGAGCTGGGCATCTCGTGCGAGCTCATCGACCTCCGCTCCATCCTTCCCTGGGACAAGGACACTGTCATCGACTCGGTGAACAAGACCGGGCGCGCCGTCATCTCGCATGAGGCGCCCAAGACCTCCGGCTTTGCCGCAGAGGTCTCGTCCACCATTCAGGAAGCATGTTTCCTCAACCTCGAGTCGCCCATCCAGCGCGTCTGCGGCTGGGACACCCCGTTCCCGCTCATCTTTGAGCCGGTCTACGTCCCCGACAAGCACCGCGTGTTTGAGGGCATCAAGGCCGCCATCGAGTTCTAAACCACTCTCGCGCCCGCCGTCACACACCTCTCGCCAGCCTGCGAGATTCAAAGTGCCACAGCGTTTATCAGGCCAGCTCGCCCTCGCTCTTGCTTCCGCGAGTGGCCGAGTTGTAGCGGAACAGCTGGTACAGCTGGGCAATCTCGTTGGAGACGTGGCAGACAAAGAGCGGGTAGTTCTGCGGCGAGATGGCAAGCGACCAGCGCATAAAGAGCAGCGAGTAGACAACAAGCGAAGAGGTCATCATTGGATCAATCTTCGTCGGATCCTCGTTACCCACAATGTGGGCAATCGCGGCCGCCGGAATGGTCCAGTTGGCCATCGCGCCGACAAAGCCCACAAACTTGGTCCAAGTATCGCCCTTCTCGGCATCCTTGCCGTCTTTGCCCTCGCTCCCGCCATCACCTGAGCTTCCCCCGTCGCCGCCATCGCCAGCACTCGAACTGGCCTCGGCCCCAGCCTGACCGCTCTTGGCCTTTTCCAGCCGCTGAGCCACCACTGCGTCCTCCACAGGCTTGTACACCGGCTCGGCCGGCGGGACGTAAGCAGGCAAATCCGCGTCGCGCTTGCTACCGTTTGCTCCTCCGGCAGCAGTACTACCAGATGCCATCCGGACCGCCGCCATCATCCGACCAGCACCCAACCCCAGCCCCCCGGTCATTCCGCTCGCCATTGCCAGTGCCAGCGCCCGTCGTCCGCTTCCACCAGTCGCCGCCATTGCCACGCGCCCACCTCCGCCAGCACCACCCCCACACTGCGAACGGCAGCCCAGCCCATACGACCCACGCCCGCACTCCGGAGCATCTCCTTTTACTTGAACAGCAGAGAGGCGTGTAAGTGCAAGGAGGAGAGGGGGGAGGGGAGGGGGGGATCAGAGCAGTGTGTGATCACGATCATGATCATGATCATGATCATGATCATGATCACAAGGGGGGGAGGGGGGGGTGACCATACCCGGGCCATACTCCAGAACCCACACCTCTCCCCCCCCCCCCACCCCCCTTCAAAAAAAAGAATTTTAGCATATTCTCCTTATAACAACCATCGGCGTCATTGTCCTCGATCATGATCATGATCATGATCATGATCATGATCATGATCACAAGGGGGGGAGGGGGGGGTGACCATACCCGGGCCATACTCCAGAACCCACACCTCTCCCCCCCCCCCCACATCCATGCATATCCTCCTCATAGCAACCATCGCCGTCATTGTCCTCGGTGCACCGCTCCAGGCAGCAGGAGGCAAGCCAAGCCCGGCAGGAGGCAAGCCAAGCCCGGCAGGAGGCAAGCCAGGTCAGGCAGCGACGCTTCTGTGGTCGGCGCCGGTGTTCTCGGGCGGCGGCTACGCTTCCGAGTCGCTCAACTATCTGCTTGGCCTGGCGCCGTATGCTGCGGCTCGGGATGTGGCGGTGGCGGTCGAGCAGCACGGCGACATGTACGATCGGAGCTATGTCGCCGGTCTGCCGTCGCCACAGGCTGCTGCGCTTCAGGGCTGGGCCAGGACGGGCGCTGGCCTGCGAGGCGGACGCAACTCTGCGCCGATCATCAATGTCTGCCATTCCGAGCCTGGCGCATGGTCGGTGACGGCCCGCGGTGCTCTGTTCTCCACCTCGCGCTGCCCGCGCCACGGCGCGGCCTACACCATCGGGCGGACTATGTTCGAGACCGACTCGCTGCCCGACGGCTGGGCTGAACGGTGCAACGCCATGAATGAGGTCTGGGTCCCCACCGCGTTTCACGCTCGCATCTTTGCCGACGCCGGCGTCGACAGCGCCAAGATCCACGTCGTGCCCGAGTCGGTAGACACCGCTACGTTTGATCCCGACGCCACTGACCTCGTCCCGCTTGCCCTCGACGGCCCGCCGGACGCCTTTAACTTTGTCTCGGTCTTCAAGTGGGAGGATCGCAAAGGCTGGCGGCTGCTGCTCGACGCCTACTTTGCTGCATTTGCCTCGGCGCCGCAAGGCTCGGTCGCGCTTTACATTGTCACTCGCGCCTTCCACTCGTCGTCTGACTTTGACACCGCCATCGCCGCACACGCCGCTGACCGCGGGCTCGACATGGCCACCCTCCCGCCTGTCTTTGTGCTCTCGGGCATTCCGCAGACTCACATGCCCGCCATGTATGCAGCCATGGATGCGTTTGTCTTGCCGTCGCGCGGCGAGGGCTGGGGCCGCCCGCACACTGAGGCCATGGCCATGCGCCTTCCGGTCATCGCCACCGCCTGGTCCGGGCCGACCGAGTTCATGACAAGTGACAACTCGTACCCCCTCCCATCCGCGGCCTCGTCCGCGTCGGCGGTAACTCGCACTTTGCCACCCACTCGTGGGCCGATCCCGATCCAGACGCTCTTGTCGACCTCCTGCGCACCGTCCATACCTCGCTGGCCGAGAACGCCGCACGCGGCGCACGCGCCCGCGCTGACATGGTCGCCAACTTCTCCAATGACGCCATCGGCAAGCTCCTCGCCGACCACCTCGACCGCATCCTTAGCAACCTTGCCGAACGCGCCGTGAGTCCCGAGAGCGGCCACGACGAGCTGTAGCGCAAACGCTCATTCCGGGACGACGAGAACCACAAGCCCGACCCCGCGCTGCCAGAACCCGGCCGCGTCGCCGACGTCCCCGACTGGCTCCAAGCCGCCGTCGTCGTTCTCAAACCACACGTTGCCGCGACTTGCGCCGGCAAAAACCGCACCTGCGCTCAGCCGCGCTGCTTGCACCAGCTCGCCGTGTCCGCACCCCTCGCCGACCCGCGCCGTCGTCGCTGCGACAACCTCGCGCGGCGACGTCCGAATGGCGACGCTCACTGGGACCACCGTCTCGTTGCTGCCGACTCCGAGCTCAAACGATGACCGCGACGAGTCGGGCACTGCTAGTGAATCGCGGTTGAGCCCAAGCGAGTCGCGCATCGGCCCGAAACCACTCGGTGTGCTCGCGCTGCCGGCTGTGGTGGGCGTACCGCCGGGCAAGCCAGCCGGTAGTGTCAAGCCCGAGCATGAAGAGAGGTTGTCGATGCCGTAAATGCGAATCCCGAGTTCAAACTCCTTGCCAAACGTGATGATTTGCCCATCGAGGAGCCGAAATGGCGTGTGCGGCATCACCTTGACCTGCGAGCCGCGGAACCGGGCGGTGGTCCCATTGGCAGAGCCAAGATCTTCCAGGAGGAAGCACGGCTCCGAAATGGAGACCCGTGAAGGCCGTGGCTCGTCAACAAAGCTTATTCGGGCGTGGTTGCGTGAAATCGACCGCAATGAGTCCTGGATCGACACGTCGTGCATCGACCGCCCGCCCACCAGCCCGCCCGATGGGCCGACCACAAACACCTGTCCGGCATACTCGATAGGTGCCACGACCGTGAGATGCAGCTCAACTGCAAGAGATCTGCCCTGAACTGCTGCAGTACGATCGCCCAGCGCTGAGAGCACTTTTGCCCGCTTCATGGCGTCCATCTCAACCTCTCGCATGCTTGACTCCTTCCGCTTGCTGTGAATCCCACACACCAATTCGCCGCTTCGCTTGTTGGCGCGCCGGATCGCTTGCTGAACATCATCGACCCACTCGGTAGCATGTGTGTACGACTGGCACGGATGCGCCAAATCCGATCGGATGTGACCAGCTCAAACAGGCCGAGCTTCTCGTCCTTTCCGCTCGCCATCTCCACCACACGCACCTCGCTCACCTCCTCCAGCGGAATCAAGCCCTTGGGCGGTGCGTCCTTGCTCTTGGCATACGTCAATGATCCGCGTCCTGAGAGCACAAACCATCGCTTCCGCCACGTCTTGATCCGTCCCCCCTGCTTGACCAGAAAGCCCTCCCGGACAATGTCATCGCCACCGTACACCAGCCGCGAGCTGGCCGTCCCGCTTGTCCTCCACTCGGCGCCGTCCACCACACCCAAGCCACTCTCCGCCTTGTATACACCCACAGACATCACACTCTGTCGTCCCGGACCTCTCCTCCGTCGGACTCTGCTCGTGCCCGTAGTCTACCTCTCAGCTACCTCCACGAGCTTGCACAGGTGCGAGTGGCGTGTCTGTCGCTCTGGTCCTCCCACACGGTGCCAACAGTGTCCCGGGGAAGGGGCGGGGAGGGACGGCTAGCGCTCTTGGGCGCCGTCATTATTCACCGATACAGCGATCAGGCATCAAACGGAGTATCTGTGGCATGCATGGTTAGAGTGGGTGGCTGCGATGGCAGATGAGCTGAGGAGGATGGCGATGGACGAGGAGAAGGCATGGCAGTGTTGGTTGGCAGCAGGTTTTGCCTGATCACTAAAACTGTGGCCGTTTCGATCGAAACCCTGCGCAGCAAGCACCATCTCTATCAACGCGTGATGGACGGTAGCATCTGGTGCTTGTTCCCCTGCTTGCAAGTGGAGCACCATGCTACGCTTGGTACCCACCGATCTCTCCTCTCTCTCTCTGTTTCCCCACGCTGCGTGCATCATCATCGTCAATCCTGGAATAGCGTCGCACCATCACAGGTCATCATCGCTTGCATCGCGTCCAGTCTCCGCACGATGGACGGTAGCACCTGGTGCTTGTTCCCCTGGTTGCAAGTGGAGCACCATGCTACGCTTGGTACCCACCGATCTCTCTTCTCTCTCTCCGTTTCCCCACGCTGCGTGCGTCGTCGCTCCAGCCAAAGTCGACGCGGCAGCTTGCAGGGCGGTGGACTGGGGCGGGAAGGGGATCGCTCGCGAAGTCACCCGACTCTGCTGAAGAGAGTATGTCTGGAAGAGGGCGACTTGTGTTCTCTGTCATTGCGGGCTCTCTGCTTGGTGGTGGGGTTGGCTTCTGGTACATGGACAAGGCTATGGAGGAGCACCGGGCTCAGCTCAAAGCCGCCGTCGCTGCCTTGCCTGATGATGACGACGGCAGTGGCGGGCCTGGAGAGCCTGGCCTTGTCGTTACCGGATCAACACCGGGTGGATCGCAGGTGGGCGCGGCAGGAGAGGCCTCTGGCTGACCTCTTTGACTGTCGATCGATGGTGTGATGGCCGCGTACCTTGGCCTCGCGGACAGCTCGCACCCTCTCGGCTTACTCCTCAGCGGACCTTGGATCGACGGCCCCATGCTCCTCGCCCTCGGGCTCTTGGATGGTTCAGTCGATCATCAGCTCTGACTGGGAAGGGATTAACCTCGAGCGCCATGGCTCTGCGGCCAGTGCTGCCCCTAAGCAGCCACACAGCGGCGCACCAACGCACGATCCTTGCCGGCCATAAAGTAGATCGTCACCTCCTTGGGTCAGGACACTCAATAGCCAAACTCCTTGCCCAGCGCAACATCGGCTGTCCTCCTCTTTCATCATGACTCCTGCCTTGCCACCATCTCATCTCTCCCCATTACTCATCAGATCTGGTCTTGGTGGTCTTGGTCTTGGGCTTGATCAGATCAGATCAGATCAGATCAGATCAGATCAGATCAGCCCACCCAACCTTGGCGCGAATGTCCCCCCACCTCACCCCGCCCACCCCACCACCTTCCCTCCCCCCACCCCCCCCCCCACCCCCCCACCCTCACCCCCTCCCCATCTTCACCTCCCACATCTACCCTCCTCTCGCTACATGGATACCAAAGTAGCGCTGGACGCCGGCGCGTCGCTCGCCCGGCTGCAACGGTCGTTCCCGGCCGTGACCGACTACGTGCCTGTGGCAGAGCCATCGCCGGCGACAGACACCTCCGTTCCAGCTCGGAGACGATCACCGTCGCTCTCTCGCGCCTCTCTTCTCGAGGCTTTGGCACCAGATGAGGCTGACTCTCGTGGTGATGGAGCTCGCCGCAGATCGCTCTTGGTCACTCAGGCGCGCGCTGCCTGCATCGCCGGTCAGCTGGCCGAGGCTCGCGCAGCCGGTGGCGGCCTCCTCCTCCTCCCGCCCGGACTCGGCTTTCATCCTTCAGGCTTTGAGGCCACGTTGGATCAGATTCCACGAACGATGGCGATTGGCCTCACTGCAGCAGGGCTTGACGACGCGCTTGCCTACGACGATGCCAGCGGCGGGTTCATCCATCTGCTCGCCCGCTCGGCCCCAGCAGTCCAGTGGCTCTCGCTGGCTGGCAATGCACTGACTCAAGCTGCTCCGATTGTCTCGGCGCTCTCGTCGCTACACACGCTCTCGCTCCGACTCAACGTCATCGATGATGCGGGCCTGGCCGCTCTGGGCGACGTACTGCCCTCGTCACGCATCGCCATCCTCTCGCTCGCTCTCAATGCCTTTACCGCAAATGGGCTCGCCCACTTTGCTCGCAACGCCTTGCCCAACTGCCGCTCTCTGGTCTCACTCGATCTATCGGGCAACGTAGTCGATGCCGCTGCGGCCTCGGCGCTCGGCTCGGCCATCCTGTCCCTCTCGTCACTGGCTGCGCTCTCTCTTGCCGCCTGCGGTCTCGACAGCCTTGCCGCCCTGCATTTGGCTGCCATTCTTCCGGCAGCACGCAGCCTCCTTCACCTCAATCTAGCCTCCAACACACTGAGTGACGAAGGCTGCCAGTTCCTGGCCACCGCCCTCGCCAGGCCTGTCGCCCTCACCCATCTCGATCTTTCTTACAATGCTGTGTCGGACTCGGGTGGCCATGCTCTGGCCGCACCTTTGGCTTCTGTGGTTTCGGCGCCAGCGCTGGCACACCTCTCGCTTCGCGGTAATGGCATCGGCTTCTCGGCCGCTCTCGCCCTTGTCCGATCCGTTGCCTCGGCTCCGCTCGACGGCGTACTGCGAACTCAGATTGATCTTGCAGGCAACGGGTTCTCCTCCGCCAACATTGATAGTCTCTTGCTAGCCGCAGGGCCACGCCGCGAAGATATTCTCCTCATCCACGATCCTGGCACCGCAGTCCCTCAGCCGGGCACCTCGCTTCCGTCGGGCTCAGCTTACGCCACATCGGGGACCAGTGGCCTCGGCCCCACCACGGCTCCACACCGGCCTCACCCGCTCAGCGTATGACTGATGCGACGCAGCGCCAGCTCAACCTTGCTACCCATCTCGCCACTAAGCGCCGGCTCAACCTTGATGCTCTTCTGGCAGCTCCGTTTGTTCCTGAACCGCCCGAACCGACGCTCCGCAAGCTCCAACTCGAGGGCTCGTCTGTCGAGGCCTCATATCCCAGCGACGCTCTCCCCAACGTTCATCCGTGGCATGTAGGCTCGCAAGTTCCAGGCTTCTCGCGCATGTCTCCCTTTGCATCGCCCATCCGCGGACCGGATGGGACCCTCGTTCCCCCGCCGCAATGGGAGCCACACTACGTGGCCTCGCTCCACCGCTCTGCCCGCTCTGCCGACCGCCTCTCGCTCGATGCTCACGCTTATGCGCTTGAACTTACGCCGTCCCATTCGCACTTGACTGCCACAGACGCAGTATCCGCTACGGGCAAAGATGGCGATGAATCGGACGTTGTCCGGCTCGGACATGGCCCGCTGCCGCGAGTCATGGAGCTCGAGGGCCAGTTTCCGCTCTCGCTCTTAGCCTTGCTTGACCTCACCTCGGCGCCGCGGCTGCTCGCTACTGTTCTTGAGCAGCACCGGCAGGCCAAGGCTCAACTCGGGACTGTCGTCGAGTACAAGACGGTGGCATGGCCGGCGCCTGAACGACGAACCTCAATCGCGACCCCACCGCCACTCTTGGCCTCACTCAACGCAACCAAGTTGCGGCTCAACCTCTCGTCGACCGACTTTCTCAACACCTCGGTCCCGGTGAAGCGGATGGCTCCTGAGCTGCGGCAGCGCAGGCCATCAGGACCAACCACTGCCAAGCTTGCTACCCTCGCTGCCGCGCTCAAGGCCGCACAGGAGAGCGACAGCGAAGTCTCACCATCCACGCTTGCGGAGTGGTCGGTACAGCTCGATGACGTTGTTGCTAGCTCGGCACCAGTGATCTCTCCTGGCTCACGCTTCCTGACCGGCGAAGTCTCGCCGCCAGCCACCCCGCTCTCCACTGCTGTCGCCGCCCGCCTTGCCGCCATGAGCTATGACCTCAACTCCTCGTTTGAGTCGATGTCTATCGAGCTGGATAAGTCGACTGAGGCTCTCAAACTCGACGCGCTGCACTCGACACCGCCTCCGGCTGTCGCCTCAGTTGGCCGTACACCCACCACCCGGCACCAACGCACGTTTGCCATCCGATCGCAAACTCGGTCTGTCACCGACATCCACTCGGCGTCGTCGACCAGCTCAAGCTCGGAGAGCCACTCGCAGTCCTCCGACTCGAACACGGGGTATGTCGAGGTTGTCTCGCCCTTTTCGCACAGCATGCAGCAAGTTGCTGTCGACGATCGGCCCACGCCGTCGCCGCAGAACGTGACGCCGGCCCCGGCGCATGGCTCACCCGAAATGCAAATGCTGTCGCCAGAGCAAGCTTGCGACTCGCCAATCCGCAGTCTCTCATTGGCAAGCGAGCTGTCCGAGTTTGAGCCGTCGGCATCCTCGGGTTCCCAGACTTCGTCGTCGCGGTGCAATGTCGACACGCCGCTTGCCTTTCTCCCTACCATCAAGCTTCAGGTGGCATCGTCAATTGGGGAATTGGGTGCCAGTGCCGAGTTGGCGTACAAGGACGACCTTGCTGGCCCCATCGGCACGTATGCAAAAGTCACCAACCGTCACAACAAATCGTGGTGCAAGCGGTGGGTTTACCTCGACCCGTCTACCGGAACGCTCACGCTGTTCAAGAAGCAGAAGCACAAAGCCCATGTCGACCGCCTCTTTTTGACAGACAACAACGAATGGACCCTTATTCGTGACCGCAGCAAGATGCGCAAGCGCAAGATGACCTGGCCGACCCTCCTCCTCGGCTCGCCGCGAATCGGCAAGAGGTACTGGTTCAAGTTTGGCTCCGCCGATGAGACCGAGCACTGGGCTGCGGCCATCACTGGCATTCTCAACGCTACCATTCTTGCCTCGCTAGCGGCGGATGCGTTCCTCATGGACTCTGACCCGTCGCTAGGCAGCAGCAACAACAACTTGGACGATGCGGATGATGCTGCTGCCGATTGTGGTGATCATGTCTCTGGAGGGACTGACAGCGAAAAGCTTAGCAGCGCTATGGAGTGCTCACACCAACTTATCATGGCACATCTTGACCGCCAGAACAACTCGCACGATTTTGTGGACGAGAGTCAGGAGAGTGGCTCTGACTCTGGCCCTCGCCATGTGGTTATGGCCTCGAACGATCTCCTGCACCACGACTCAGCCATCTCGTTTGGCAGCCCGCCCTCTGTCCACTATGCACCGTTGACGCCCTCCGACGTTGTGGAGCACGACGACGCCACTGGCAGCGCCGATCCAGGCAGCGCGCTGCCGCGAACCATGTCGCGTGCCGAGACTCAGTCGATGTCCCAATCCACCTCGTTTGCCACAGACCGCGGTTCGGGCGACGATCCAACTGCAAGCTCAGACGGCGAGATTGAGCCCCCGGAGCACTCGTCGATGCCAGCGCCGGCAACCGGTAGCAAGCTCGAACCGCCATCTATTGTGGCGCGCAAGCCACACATGACGCTGTCGATGCTCAAGCGGCCGTCGCTTACGTTCTCGTCATCATCGCGGACAGCGACGCCGTCCAACTTGCAGGTTACGACGGGGCCGGATGCTAGCGTGTCGTCGCGCCTCAAGTCACCGCAGGTCCCGCGGCTTCCGGACCTGAGCAATCTTCCGGGTGACGCCGAGTCGGACAACGAGTCCAACTCCAACTCTGGCTCTGCTGGCTCGCGCGACGAGCACCCGGCCGCAGGCCTTCCCCACGCTGGCATCGGCATTGAGATCGATCATGGCGATGTCGGAAGCCTCGGCTCGTATCGCCGGAGATCAAGCCACCACTCGAGGTCGCAGAGGCTCAACGCTCGGGCCTCGCCGCGGACTCCATCGCGGAACGTTCTGATGAAGTACTCACTCACGCCCAAGGGCGGCACCAACTCGCCGCGCGACTCACCGCGGGCGTCGGCTAGTGACGACATCCAGCGATCCATGCCATGGCTCTCGCTTGTCACAGCGGCCGACGTACTCGCGCTGGCCGACCTGCAGTCAAATCGGCTTGCTGAGGTTCCAGTCTCGCTCGTGGTCGACAACGGCAGCACGCCACGCTCTGGCTATCTGCTCGTCCTCGACCTCCACGCCCGGAGTGTGTCGCTTGTTCGAAAGCGACGAATGCGCAAGAACACCGTGCTTGCCTCGTGGCTTCTCATCCAGACCCGCACGCTGCCGCGGACTGTTGACAACGACTCGTTTACGCTGGAAAAGGCAGCCGTCGATGCACCGATGAGCGCCCTCTCGCCGCCGTTTGCGTCGGATGCCGGCGCCGATGCTTATGTCTTGGCCGCCAAGGATGAGTCGCGCGTTCGCATCCTGGCCCTTTTTGACGCCTTCCGGCGGACTGCGCGCGGCTCGCCCGAGTGCAAGGTGTTGATGGGCAAGACGTGCAGGGTAGCCTACGCCATCCAGGGCTCCGAGCTGTACAAGCATGCCCGGGGCGCTCTTGTTCATGTTGACAAGATCATCTGCGGCGGCTGGCTTCGGATCACCGACTCGCGTCGCGACACGTCATACCTGCACGCGGTCACGCTGCGAGCCATTCACGATTAACCTTTAGCCGCACGGTCGCTCGGGCGTGTTGTCGCGCGCCTCAATAGCCTCAAAGTGAACATAACAGTCCTCGCACCCTCCTGTCGCCGCCACGCGCCAGCCACGCGCCGGCTGCTACGCACGCGCCATCGGCAACAAATGAGTCTCTGGCGGGGCGCGAGTGGCAGACGCGCCTCATGGACTGCTTTCTGATGTGGCACGTCAGGAAAAGCTGATCCGGGGTCAAAACGCTTGCTCCTCGTCCTCGCTTGCAAGAGCAGCTTCTGCTGGCAATCGCTGTGGTGAGCCCTTGGCTGCAATGTCCGACGCTGTTTGCGCCAGCCGAACTTGGAGGCCTTCGAGCGCGCCGACTTGCGCCTGGCGCGTTGCCCGATCAGCGGGGTGTCTGCTGCAAGTGAAGCGCGGAGCTTGGCAACCACTGTGCCGACCATCGCCTCGAGTTGGGCAATGCGGGCCTCAAACTCGCGGACAACCTCTGCGCGCTGCGAGCGCTCGCGGACGAGCGCTACGTGCTCGGCCTCGTACATAGCTGTTGCACGAGCAGTCATGGCGCGGGCATCAGCAAGCTGGGCTTCCAGGTGGTCTGTATGCACCTTGGCGTCCGTTCGCTCCTCACGGACCGGCGACAGCGGAGGGCCGGCGGCAACGGCGGCGACAGCCTGTGCGCTTTCAAGCTCGGCTCGGAGTGCGGCAGCGTCGGCCAGCGCGTCATCGACCTGGCTCTTGTACAGCCGCTGCGTGTGCTCCAGCGCCGATGCCTGCTCCTCGTAAAGAGCCGCAAGCTTTGTCTGCTGGCTCCGCATGTCGGCGATCTGCAGCTTGCGTGAGTCGGCCAGCTGCGTTGCGCGCTCGAGTTGGTCGGCAAGGTCCTCGACCTGCGACCGCATGGCTGCGAGCTGAACCGGCGTGACCTCCAGCGATTGCGAGGATGCGTCACCGCGCGCCTCAGCGACGCGCAGTGCAGCGGCGAGCTCGTCACGCTCCAGCTCCAGCGCCACGGTCTTGGACTCGAGCGCACGGTAGGCGTTTCGCGCCTGAGACAGCTCGTCGGCACCCTTAGCGAGCTTACGCTTTTGATCGCCGAGTGCCTGCTTGTACGACGCCAGCGCGGCACCGGCCGACGCCTCGTACGCGGCGTGCGAAGCCTTCATGTTCGCCAGTGAGCTCTCGTACTGTCCGGCCAGCTGTGTCCAATGGTCGGTGAGCGAGCTCAGCTGTGCGCCAAGCTCGGTCTTGGCAGCCTCCACCGACGTGATCTGCTTCCGCAATGCCTCCAACTCCCGCTCCGACGAAGGCGGGGGCTAGCAGGCACATCGGCCACTGCTGCGCTTGCTTCTGCAGCCTGTCCCTGACGTGCGATAGCGGCGGTCCGGACCGAGTCCAGCTCGGCCGCAAGCTTGGAGGCTCGGGCGGTGGCAGCGGCAATGCGCTCATTGGCGGCGGCGTCGACAACGGCAAGCTTTGCAGCAGCACTTGCTTCCTGGGCCACCAGCTGGTCGTGGAGCTCGGAAACCTTGGCGCGCGCAGCCTCGGCCTCAGCCTGTGACGCGTTGAGCTGGTCACGAAGCGCAGAGAGGGTGGCGGCATCAGCAAGGCGGGCGGCGGCGTGTGCGGTCTTGACTTCGTCGAGCGCAGCGGCATGCTTGGCCGCAGTAGCGTTCTGCATGGCCCGAAGGTCGGCAAGTTGCTGGCGTACGCCGGCGGACGCCGAGGGCGATGCAGGTGGCGGCGAAGCTTGTGCGGTGGCGGCAGCCGCCGCCTTGAGGTTAGCTAGCTCGGTTTTGAGAAGCGCAACCATGCGTGCAAGCTCGGCATCCGGCTCTCTCTCGTGCATCGAGTCGTTAAGCGCCGACGAGACCATGTCGGCGTCAAACGAGGCCGAGACAACACGCTGGGTGGAGAGCTCGGACTCGACCGACCGAATGTGTTGGGCAACCGAGGATGCGCGCGACTCGGCGGCTGCGAGCGCGTCGCGAAGCGCCGCAATCTCCACGTGGGCCTCGGCAGTCTCGGCTTCGGCGTCGAGCGCGTCTTGGGTGGCAGCAGTGTAGTCAGTAGAGACTTGTTCGAGCTCGGCACGAAGGGCATCGCTACGGGCGGTGGCCCGTGCCACGGCATCCTTGGCCACGCGAGCGCGCTCGATAGCGGCGTCGCGCTCGCGGTGTGCTGCGCCGAGCTGGGCACGCAGCTCTGCGATTTGGACCTCGACCGCGTCGGACGTTTCGTCAGCCTGTGCGGCGTGGCTCTCGGCGAGCCGGAGCGCATCCAGCTGACGCTCCGCAGCGCGTAGCTTTGCGTCGGCATCGGATGCAGCCACAAGCGCGGCGTCACGGGCGGTGGCGGCGGTGTCGGCTGCGTCGCGGGCGTCGTCGCGGGCGGCTTCCAGCACAGCGATGGTACGCAGGGCGTCGTCGAGCTCTGCACGCAGCGCATCACGCTGGGCCTGTGCATCCGCCAGTTGCATGCGGAGCTCGGAAACAAGAGCGTGCGACTCGCCCGAGGCCAGTGACGAGTCTGCGTGAGCGCGCTGTGCGGCGCGAGCAGCATCTGCCCGGGCGGCCTCGGCCTCTGCACAGCGGGCCTCCAGCGAGCGAATGGTTTCGAGGGCAGCAGCCGAGTCAGCCTGGGCACGTCCGCGGTAGGCATCCAGGGCAGCGAGAGTCTCCTTGTGGGCCTTGACTACCACCATGTGCTTGGCGGTGACCTCCTTGAGCTTGGCAGCCAACTCGAGTGCGTCTCCCTGAGCCTTTGCCTTGGACTTTTGCAGCTGTCCATTAAGTCGCTCCAGGACCTCCACTCTCTGCTCTGCCGTCCGTGCTGCCGCCTGTGCCGTTGCCAGCTCCTCGCCCGGGTCATGCTGTGCGCTCCGCAGCGAATGCAGTTGTGCCGCCAGTGCTGTGTGCTCCTTACGGAGGGTGGCGTTCATGGCCTCCAACCGGGCTGTCCGCTGGCTAGGGGACTCACTCTCGGTCGCCATGACAATGGGGGATGCGGGTAGTAGTGCGGGAGGGGTAGGAGGGGGGTGGGGGTGGGGAGGAGTGGTGGGGTGTTGGGGAGGGGGAAGGGGGAGGGGGGGGGGAGGGGGGTGTGGCGGTGGCGGTGCTGGTGGTTGCTGACACGAATCGGCGACAGGCGGCGTGCGGGGGCTGATGGGCACGACAGAGAAAGAGGAGGACGGAGTTGTGGTTATGCTGGACGGAGAGCTAGAGCTAGACGTCGGCAAAGAGGTTGGAGACCGAGCCGAGGGCGGAATGATCGATTTTGGACGTCCGCTCCTTGCGGCGCTTGTTGAGGATGGCTTCAGTGGCGGCGGCGGCCGAGGTGGGGACTGAGACCGTCTCCTGGCGCTTGCGCTTGCGAGTCTTGGGCTTCTTGGCCTTGGGCTCAATGCCACGGGCCCGATCTTCAGCTTCCTTCTTGGCCTTGGCCTTTTGGCTCTTGAGGTAGTCCTTGTTCATCGCCTTCCACACAGCCGACTTGAACTTGACTTCGCGGTCCGATAGGATAAAGGCGTCGAGCTCTTCGTCGTCAAGATCGTCAAGGTTGTCATCGTCACCACCGCTATCCTCGGCCTGGTTCGCAGGAGCGGGCACTGCACTCTGGCTTTCGGTCTCAGCGGCCGAAGCTTGGGATGCAGGCGGTGGGGCGGCCTGTGACGACGACGGGGTCGAGTCGGCGCTGGGGGGAGGCGCGGGAAGAGGAGGTCGTAGTCGTGCTGGCTCTGCAGGCCGCGCGCAAAGTCTTCGAGCGAGAGGTTGTTGTTGGCCGGCCCAGCATTGTACATCTCCAGCAGTTCCAGCCGGCGCTTCGAGTCGGCAGTCTCGCGCTCGCGCGAGACAGCAAAGGCCGGCGGATCGGCCTCCTCCTCGATCGAGGTCTCGTTAAACTGGGAGAGCGACATCTCTGACGACGGCGTTGCCTCAAACTCGCCCAGCCGCTTGCGCAGCGTCAGGTCGCAGATGCGGACGACCTGGGTGATCTCCTTCTGCGTTCGCCGGAAGCCGTGCATGCGCGCCGCAATGAGCAGGGCCGCGCCGCAGATGCCCGACGGCCGCCGCCCGTGGTGGATCCAGTCGCGCTTCATCGACTGCACCAGCCGAAGTGCAGACATGGCGACCACATGCTTCTTGGCCCCAAACTCGAGCTTGGCCGCAAACCGGTGGATGTACAGCGACGGGTCGATGACCGGAAGCGTGATGTTGAGCAACTGCTTGAACTTGAGAAATGTGTTGCCGAGTGTGTACACGTTGGTCTGCAAGACGTCCGAAAAGTCGATGAGCATCAACGGCGCCTTCTCGCGTCGGCACACAATGTAGAGGCAGGCCGCCACCACGTTCTGCGTCCGCCGGCCTGGATAAAGTTGTGCTGGACAGCAAGGAGAAAGTACCGCTGTGCGGCATCGATGTGGCGCGAGTTGAGTTGCAGCGCAGCCGCAACCTGGGTGATCTTCTTTCGTCCGTTGATGATGGTCATCTCACGCGAGTTAATGGAGATCGAGCCGTACGATGGGGTAGCCGCGATGGACCGCGCCCCGGTCTCCGACACAAAGGTACCCACGATCGACGATGAGCCATGCGAGTCCTCCTGGAACTGCAGGCCAAACACAATCGAGTTCTCCTCTTCCACGTGCCCGCAATTGTTACACGACGAATGCCCTTCTGCACCCGCGCCAATCAGCTCGCCCACCCCACAACGCGGACACTTGGCCACCCCGGCTCGTCCGCCTCCACCGCCTCGTCCGCCGCTTCCGCCACCACCGCCACCGCTCACGCCGTTCCCGCCGCCCACACCTGTGCTTTTGCCTGCAACACGGGCAGACATGTTGACTTGCTTTGCCTGACAGGGCACGGGATGAGTGTTCCTTCAAGACAACTTGACCTTGCCGCTGGCGGGCCTTGCCTGTGTCGAGAGCTCCTTGGCTCGATCAGTCGGTTCGTGGGCCTTCGATGGCTCTCCCGAATTGGTCGGCTGCGGGCGACATGCCATTACGGCTGATGGGTATGCCGACGGATGACGCAGCGCATGAGGATTGGATCGAGATTTAGCTTGACGTAATCTTCTGCATGGTGAATGACGTTGTTGTGGCTATGATTGTGGCTGTGTTCGACAGGAGTATGGGTGCGTGGGGCTTGCAACGTCGCATCTCTAGCAGCGAGACTTGGACTTGACGATCTTGCAGCCCCAGTCTGTGGCGGCGAGGGCGGCAAAGAGGATGATGCAGAAGACGAGGCAGCAAAAGCCGCCGCCTGCGGCAGACTTGCGGGTGAGACGAATGACCCGGCGAGTCTCTTTCTGCACGGCGGCTCCGGTGGTGTCGACGTGGCGGTCAAGACGGTCAAGCAGCGGCATCTGCTCATCGAGCTCGCGGTTGATGGCCTGACCAAGCTCCTTCTGCCGTGCCACAGTCTGTGCCAGCACGTCCAGCCCGTCGTCCTGCTGGCGCATGATCTGGCTCTGCATCTGCAGCAGATCCTGGTTGTTCTTGTCGATGGTATCCTCCTGCTCGACAGTCCCCCACCGCGAGCGCTGCTGCCCACTGCTGCTTCCACCCGGCCCGCCCATCAGCGACGCCCGCGACGCCGCACCCGCCACCTTCATCGCCGCCGACGCCTTCTCCTTCCGCGCCATCAGCGTGGCACACAGATCCCTCCGCCGCGCGCGCTCGCCCTCGGTCCTATATCTCTCCCCTCCCTTCCTGTAAGTTACTCTACCACTCCCGCCCACCGCTTCTGCTCACCGCCCCCGCTCACCTCTCCTGTCCCTCCCGGTCACACCAAGACTTACACCGGAATGGCATCGACCCGTGCGCGGAGGGTGTTGACCGACGAGGCCACCAGGCTCAGCTGGCGGTTGATCTTTGAAGTCAGCTACAGCCAAGACAGCACAACATCCATGCATACCAACCATTCCCCCCCCCCCCACCACCTCCAAAGATTGAGTAAGTACTTGTCTCCATCATGCTCTTATCTCTGCTTCGCTATATGTATTTGTGTCGGTGATAGAGGGCGTGGAAGCTCCCGGTAGCAGAAGCAAAAACTGTCGCGTGCGAGCCAATGCGAGGGGGGGAGGGAGGGAGGGGGGGGGGGGGGGGAGTAGGCATGGTAGGAGGGACAGGGACAGTGTATGTACCGATGAGACATCCTGCCCTGATCTAAGCAGGTTGTTCCGCTGTGTCACATCCTTGTTCACCTCGTTGAGGGCTGTGACCTGTCGCTGGTACTCGCGGAGCCACTCCTTGTCGGCCATGGCTACCGAGAGGGAGGAGAGGAGAGTGACTGGCTTGATGGCCTTGCCTATGATCGGGTCGGATGCAGGCGCCGATGTGGTCGGAATACCGTATATGATTACCAGCTATCATCAAGATCATTGTGCAACATGGTATACTTTGCCATCATGACATGCTGCGCCATGGCTGCCGAGGTGGAAGGAGATCGGTTGGTCGACTACGTGATGGCCTTGCCTATGATCGGGTCGGATGCAGGCGCCGATGTGGTCGGAATGCCGTCTATGAATACACATCATTGTCATGTTGCGGCACAATGAGGGTCGAATCGGGACATGATCGGGGCTGGGCGAGCCACAGTGAGAGGCTTCGTATTGGTCTCGGCAGCGTGCCGCGACGTCTCGCACAGGGCACTTGCACCTGTGGAGACAGGCGTACGGCAGGCGGAGAGGTTGCACACCCGACTCTCCCCCATCTCTTTGCAACATGCTACGCGGCACTATGCTGAGCGGACGGTTACAGCGTCTTCGGATCCTGCAGCCGCTGTTGTTGCCGGTGGCGTCGTCGTTGGGGTGGTTTAGCGGTGGTGCAGCCAGGGCAGACAGTCAGGGTGTTGGTCAAGCTGATCCGGCGATGAAGAGCAGGCAGATGGCGGTACCAGTGGCCTCGTTCCCAGCAGTTTCCATCCCAGTTCCGGGATCGGTCCCAGTAGAGGTCACTCTCATTGCCCAGCTCGCGCCAGGCTCCGGATCGCATGTCTTTGATGCCGTCGCCCGTCGCCAAGCCGAGCACGCCGAGTACGTGGCCGAGCTCGATGAGCCCTCGGCGAAGCTGGGCAACGTCGATCTGGACGTTGGCGATCGGAGCTCGCTCTACACTTTTACCGTCGACGGTGGCCATCCGTTTCACAGACACGCTGGCCATCGGGTGGTGGTCGGCATCGCCGGCGCAAGCGGCTCGACCCTTGCCTTTTCCACCGCCACTGACGTCGACGAGCTTCGCGCCAATCCCACGGCGTTTGTGGACAACTTTGAAGTCGTCCGCCTTCCTCCAGATGCGCTCTTTACGCTGCGATTCGACGGATCGGTGTGGCATCGGTTCTCGCCGGACTTTGTCCGCTTGCCAGGCCAGAGCCACGAGCTCATCAACGTGCTTTCTGCCCGGCAAGGGCCGCATCCGGCGTTCACTGCCATCTCGACTCACACCGACGAGACCGGCGGAGACCTTGCGCCTGAGCTGGCGCAGGCCGTCTGCAGGGGAGAGGCCAACATCGCCATGCTCACCGAGCTGCTGCCTGACGAGGTTGTTGACTACCTTGCCGCCCATCCGATCAGGTCGCCCAAGACGACTGCGCTCTCGCTTGAACCGTATGGCCAGCTCCAGAGCGAGGCCTGCTACGCTTTTCGCTCGACCGCTGGACGCATGTGGCGCGCGTTGCCCAAGTGGGAGCCGAAGCATTGGGTACTCACCACCGTCCGGGCCGATCGCTCCGGCGCCCACCTCCCTGTCACGTACTCACCCGATCCAGCGCCGCACTCGATGCTCCGGACTGTTGTCGCCGAGTTTGACCACCAAGACGAGTTTGCTGTCGAGTTTGAAGCTGGCACGGCTGGCTTGACCTCCGCAGACGTCCTGGCGCTTGCGCTGGAGGGCTTCCTCGAAAACCCACCCGATGTGGTCTCGACAATGATGCGAGTCCGCAATGCACTGGTTGCTCCGCTACGGCTCCGCACCTCGCCGCTCGGCTGCCCGGTCTCGTCGCTTCTCTCGAGATCCGACACGCTGTTTGCTGGCCGGTTCCCAGTCCATGACTCGGTGGTGGCAGACGATGGCATGTCTGCCGAGGTTCTCCTCGGCGCTGATGACAAGCATGTCAGCTTTCGCTCGGTCGTCCGAGTTGAGGCCCTTCCGTCGGCGTCCAACACTTTCCGTCTCATCCTAGGCAACCGCGTCGAGTGCCTCAATGTCTTTGGCAAGGCCTACATGTGGGCTATCGACGCGAGCCATCGCAACATTGTCGCTCCTGGCCTCATCCGGCACGCCGCTCAATACGTCATCGCAGCCACCTCTGCCGCCGACAGGGCCAAAACTCGCGGTCACCCCAACTCGCAAAGGTAGAGCTGCCACGTAGCGCACCTCCTTGGCTCAACCATCGCCGCTGTAGTCTTTGAACAAACGCCGATCCATCTCGAGGGCTGACCAAGTAGGACTAAACGCTCACTGGCTCACTGCCTGACACCGCACTCAAGACGGCGGTCGGATGTGTAGGTGAGCCGTGGTAGCGGGTGCCGGAAAGAGGAGGAGGAGGAGGAGGAGAGGGTGTGGGGGAGTGAACACAGACTTACATGGCCATGGGTGGGCATGGTGGGCTGTGGGTGGTTGTGGTGGGCCTTGGTGCGGCTGTGGCTGTGGCTGTTGCTCTGGCTGGGGCGGGCAGCAGCAGAAGAGGCACGACAGCCGCGGTGCTTTGTGTGCGGGAAGACACTCGAGGGGGCAACGGTTGTGGCGGTCCATTCGGCACGATTCCATGAGGCGTGCTGGGAGTGGTGGCTCCCGCAGGGCAAAGTCGACTCGCACTCGTACATGCAGGTGGCGGCATCATCGGGCCTGTTCTTCAAGGGCGGCAAGATTAAGGTCTTTGCCAAGGGCGGCATGCTCTCGTCGTCAAAGTGGCGGGACCGGCTCGGCGTCCTCACGCGTGAGGGCATGTTTGTCTACCGCAAGGCCAAGGATCCGGCCTATGAGTCTTGTGTTCTGTTCGAGGATGTCGACGATGTCCTGCCCGGCCGATCGTGGGCCGGCTGGGGTAAGAAGACCTCCAAGATCCGCCGAGATCTCGCTGTGGTTCTCCTCCTCAACTCTGGCGCTGCGCCGTTTGTCTTTGAGTCGAGCGCGATTGACCTTACCAAGTGGCTTGTCTTTGCCCGCTTTCTCCGCAAGCTGAAGGCGGCCGGCACCGCTGGCCATGTCCATCGCATCTCGCCGGTAGCTGCTGTCGCCGGAGAGTACGTGTACTCGGACGACGAGGCGGTTCTCGACGAGGCTGAGACTGAGGAGGTCGACTGTGATGACTGGATTTACGGTGAGGGTGAGGGCGAGGGCGAGGGCGAGGGCGAGCATGTGTACGAGCATGTGTACGAGTACGAGTACGACGATGGCGCCGGGGCCAGCGGGTCGCTGAAGGGTGCGCTGAGCGCCTCACTGCAATGGTCCAAGTCGGAAGAGATTGCTGCGCTCCTTGGGCGGCGGGCCCAGTTTTGGTGGGGTGACGATGACAGATGGCGAGTGGGCCGTTTTGTGGCCTTTGCCGACGCCACTGACATGTTCTCGATCAAGTACACTGATCCGGTGTCAGGCGAAGAAGTCACCCTTGAGCAGGCCCTCGACGACATGCCGTACGAGCTGCTGAGCGACGACAGCAGCGCGCTGCAGCGGATGCGGTCGATTGCCACCGTCTCGTCGCTAGTACGCCGCGAGTCGCGGGCGGATATGGGCAGCTCGGGTGATTGGGCGGATAGCAATGGCATTCCGCGCCTTGCCTCGGACACCTGGATTGAGCACATCAATGACCACCTGGACGGCGACGTCGTCGCAGTTGTCCCTGACCATCTTGTTGGCTGCTTTGTTCGCGTGTGGGAAGACGAGGAGTCGGATGTGTTCTCCACCGGGCAAATCATGAGCTACGACGAGAGCACGGCGCTCTTTGCAGTCGATTTTGCCTCGGAGCACGGTGTGGCGTCGCGGCAGTTTAAGTTCAACGGCGATGTCGAGTTTGAGCTTATTGCTGAGAACATGCTTCATGCGTCGCACCTCAACGCTGACCTTGCGGTTGCACAGGATGCAGCCGTGGTCATGGGCAAGGAAGGTGAGGACGGCGAGGAAGATGCCGGTGACAAGGACGGCGAGGACGGCGAGGTTGGCGTGATCGCCACAGCCGAGTCCAAGGGTGATGCCGTGGACGAGTCTTTGTTGGAAATCAGTGCTACCAGTGATGTTGAGGTTGATGTGGATGAGGATGACAAGCTGGAAGGCGAAGATTACTCGACTATCGATGTTGATGATGTGCTCGGCCTTTTGCGGACTGACACTGAGACGCAGAGCGCGGGCTTGGTGGGACCGTCTTCGCCCGCACCTGCGCTTGTTGAGCCACTCCAGCCTGATCTTGACCAGCCTGCCCCCCAACCGGGCTTGAGGGAGCCGTCTTTGCCAGACCGTTGTCGCCTCGGCCGCCGCAGTCGCATGTGGCTGAGGATGAGTTATCCAGCACCTCAGAGTCGCGGGAGCCAACTTCACCGTTGTCGCCTCGGCCGCCGCAGTCGCATGTGGCTGAGGATGAGTTATCCAGCACCTCAGAGTCACCAGACGCACTGGAGACTGCTCACGAGACTGTGGCTTTGTCGACTGCACTTCTCGACGGCGGCGTGTTGGCGAGCTTGCTGTGGCGGTCCAGAATGTCGAGTCAATGGGTGACAGGCTTGCCAACCCGAGTGTCATGTCGAGCGATGGAGACTGGGCAGCGGCGCTTTACCCGGTCCGCGACCACGTCGATGCTGTGGCGACCAGTGTCGATGACCTGGCACTCCGCGTCCAGGCGGCCGAAGCGACTGCGTCGACGGCGGCATCGCTGGCGGCTGATGCCCGTCGTGACGCTGCGCATGCGCTGGAACGGACCGCGTCGCTCGAGGTCAATGTTGCTGATGTTGGCTCTGGCTCCGAGCTGGCTGACGCGGTGGCAGTACTTGCCGACGATGTAGCGAGCGTCAAGGAGGCGTTGGCTACTGTGACATCGCGGGTCGACGACGTTGCGTCCCACAAGCTCGAGGTCACGCGTGTGCTAGCTGAAGTGCGCGGTGACGGTGACGAAGAGTGCGAGTGGAACATGCGCGATGAGGTCCAGCACCTCTCACAGCAGGTTGCGGTCCTTGTTGCTGCAGTCCGCGAAGTGGATGCCCGGTCGGCCGAGCCGGACCAGATTGCCGTCGAGGAGCGTGGGCGGCTGTGGGACGAGCTGCGCGCGCTTTCAGGAAGAGTTCGCGACCTTGACGAAGCCCCGCGGGAAGTCCCGGTCGTTCCCGAGCTAAGCGCAGCCGTCGAGGCGCTGCAGCACCGGGTAGCGGACATGGAAGCAGGCTTGGCTGGTAGTCTCGCCGCCACGACTGGCCTCGAGAGCCAAGCTGGGATAGGCAGTGCCAGCGCCAAGCTGGACGATCTCGCACTCCGTGTCGAAGCGCTGACTGAGGTCATGGGCGAGGTGCAGGATGCCCAGGGTGAACTGCAGAATGCGCACGAGGCGGCCAAGCTGGAGAAGCGGGATGCTGAAACCGCTTCCTCGGCCACCGCGCCTCCGCCCGCTGTGTCGGTTGAAGCCTTCGAGGCGCTTGTCGCTAGCATCCGCGACCTCGGCAACCTGATAGGTGACCTTGAGCAGGCGCAGCTGCAGCAAGAGCTGCGACACGCGCAGCTACGCAGCGAGCTCGTGAATCCACTCCCGCCCCGTGCCCCGACACCGACTGACGATACCGGGCCAGGCGATGCCGAGCCGGACGATGCGGCGTCAGACGCCGCGTTTGTCATTGTGGCCGAAGCAGCCGAGCGCGCACCTGCACCCGTGCCTGCGCCCACACACAACGCGGTGGCCGAATTGGAGCGTGAGCGTGAGCAGTGGCGGCTGGAAAAGGCCGAGATGGAGGCGGCGCACAAGCTCGAGATGGAGCGGTTGTTGCTTGAGGTCGACCGGGCACGGTTGGAGGAGCAGCGGGCGGCGCTACTGAGCGAGCGGGCGGCACTCGACAACGCGTGGGACGAGCTTGAACAACATCGCGGCATTGCAGTCGACCAGCAGGCTCGGGTCCACCGTGAGTTGGAGAACAAGGCTCACGCCCTTGCTGAAAAAGAGATCGAGGTTGTTGCGGCCGAGGTTGCGGTCAGCGTAACCGCGGCGGCAGCGTCGCAAACGCCGCCTCTGGCGCCGGCGGCTCCTCCTGTCATCCACCACCATCACCATGCGCCCGAGCCTCCGTCATCCTCACGGTCGGTGCAGGCCTCGTCGCGGGACGACCACCGCAGGGCTGCGTTTGCGGCCCGACGTTCGGAGTCAGGCTCAAACCTGGGTCACGAGGCCGAAACGCAGCGGAGTATGAGTGCAGCAGCCGCGATAGACAAGAGCAAGTCGCGGCGCCGACACAGAGTCCGTCGCCGGCGATCGCAGGCCAGCGACGCGGCTGGGGTGAGCCCGGCGGCCGTGCCGTGGACGCACGTTGTTGAGGAGGATCCATTCCCCGACTACGGAGCTGCACCCGGCCCAGGAGAGACCGACCTGTCGCGCCGGGTCCGGATGATTTTCCAGCCCGGAGAGCCTCTTTCGTCGCGGTGGCGGCGGTCACCGACCCGGTCGCCAGGGCGCAGCGCCGACCTCTCGACCTCGCCGCTATTCCTGAGCGGGCTGCCGCGTGGTTCACGAGCGACGCCTTCGCCAGTCAAGCCGTCCTATCGACTCTCCAGCTCGTTGACACCCAAGGTGTCGCGAACGGCATCGTATGCACCGTCGCCGTCGCTGCTGGGCCGGCGAGCCGGCGGAAGCCGCGGCAGAGACAGCAGCCGCGGGCGCGGACGCGATGGCGAGCTGCTCAACCCGTATCGGCTCTCGCTCTACGGATGAGCCGTGGATGTAAAGCAAAGGATTCGTTTAATGATGGCAACTCACTCCAACTCCTCGTACTCGTCTTCAAAGATCAAGTCTTCTTCGTCGAGCTCGACCTGGTTGCCGTTGTGGTCGTAGAAAAGGCCGTCCTCGCCTTGGTAGATGTCGCCCTCCTGCAGGATGAGCTCTTCTCCGTCGTCCCCAACTAGGAACGGGTCTTCCGCCTCGTCCACCTCGGCATCTAACCAAGACCGGGACGAGCGAGCTGAGTGCGAGGCGCGAGAGGCCGAGCCATTGCGCAGGGAGCCGTGATCTGATCCAAGCGTGGCTGATTGCGGGGAGCCTAGCGCTGCCGAGGCATCGGCCCGCGTCGGCTTCTTGTATCCGAGGAGGACAGCGCCATCGAGGGTGGGCTTGAAAGTGCAGTTCTTGCGGATGTCTTCCTCGCGCTGGCGAATAAGCTCCTGGCGGCGGCGCTCGGTCCTTGAATTGACGTCCTTGGCGTGCTGCTCCATGCGACGGAGAACCGGGCCCGCGCCTCGGCGGGCGACAATGCCCGTCGACTTGCGGCCGATCTGCGGACGGAACGGCAGCGAGCGACGCTCATTGTATCGCTGCTCGTTACGCTTGCGAGTGATGCTGGCGTCTCGGTTGCGGGCCCACTCATCCATGCGCTCATTGAGTGGCTTGGTAAACCGGGCGAGCTTGGCCGACGTTCGCGACGGCCGAGGGCGGACCCGCAGCTCCTCGAGCTCCTTGCGCTCAGCCTCACGGGCCAGTGCCCGCAGTTTGGCCTCCTTCCGCTCTTGGGACTGCTGCAGCCGCGTTTGAAAGGATGGCAGCGGCTTGGAGGAGACAAGCTTGCGGGTGTGGGGCGAGAGCGTCTTGCCGGTTGTTCTTCTCCGTGCCGGCGCCTGCCGGCCTCCCCCACGCCCATTCTTGCGTGATCGCCCCGCGTTCTCTCCGGCTCGGCGGTGGGTGTTGCCCTTAAGCGATCGGGTCAGGGCCGGTCCTGTCGAGGTGCTGCCACCATTGAACGATCTGTTGCGAGCAACGTGCGGCGCGGCCGCTGGATCGGGACCCCACCACTGGCCTGCACCGGGCTGAGCGTAGCTACCACCCTGAGACTGGTGCGGATGGGGACTTGGATACGCTGCGGGATGCGGATTCGAATAGCCGGAGGACGGCTGTGCGAGAGCGGCTGTGCCGAGCATGTGGGCCGGGGCGGGACCCGGCGGGAGCGGGTAGGCCGGGTACGGATACGGCGCCGAAGCTGCGGGGAAGGGCGGGCCGTGGGGCGGATAGCCGCCACCATGGGGCGGATACCCCAGATGAGACGACGGATATCCGAGTTGTGGAGGAGGATACGCAACCTGTGGCGGGAGCCCGTGCCCATACCCGATGCCATGCCCGTATCCGACAGCCTGGTTCGGCCGGTGCTGGTCGACGCCCGGAACCGCCACGGAACCGCCACGGTCTGGGCCTGGTGCGGCCATGGCGCGAGCGCGAGGGGATGGGAGCAGGAAGGGGGGAGAGGGGAAAGGGAGGAGGGGTAGCTTGGAGGGAAAGTGTGCGTGTGTGTCAGGGTGGAGTGGTGCCGGCTGTGGCCGTCGCTGTGGGCTGTGGCTGTGGGTGGTCAAAGGTGGGCTGGCGATCGGACAATGGCCGAGTATGACGGCGGGAGCTCCGGCATGTCATCAGGTTCCGAAGCTGGCGCACGTTGAGGAGGAGATGGGTGGCGGCGATGGCGGCGATGGCGGCGATGGCGGCGATGGCTCGGCTCGGATTGACGAGGCGACGCGGGCGAGCGCGAGCGCGAGTCCGAGATGCAGCCGGAGCCACCCGAGCACGAAGAGTCGGACCATGATCCACCGGCAGCGACGGAAGGGAACGGGGCGGATCGTCTCCGGGCGTGGCAGGGGGCTGCGGAATCCAGTTGGAGTTGTAGACGTCGCGATGGCGGCGGCGGCGGCGGCGGCGACCAGGCGGGCTGCGCGAGCGCGAGCGCGAGTCTGACATTGAGGCGGAAGCCGAGATCGAGGACGAGGAGCGCGGTGGCGGCGCAGTCCGCGCAGCGTTGACCCAGGCCTCGGAGACCGACTTGAGAAAGTGGACGCTGCCTGTCGGGCCGTCGACGCCATGGATGTAGTTGCCATGGACGTCGATGGTGTACGTACCGCCACGCTCACGGCGGAGCCGGGCGCGAGTACGCGCGGTGAGTGTAAAGCCAGCATCGTAGCGAAGGACGAGTGCCATTCGGAGCGTCTCGTCCGAGTAGTAGCCGACGACGACGTCGAACCTGCCCTCGCCGTCCGAGCCATGTCCAGAGATGCGCCCAGAGGTAAAGGTCAGATTGAGCTCTGCGCGCTCTGGGACCCCGCGGGACGACTGGATACCACCAGACCAGCGGCCCGATACAAAGAATGGTGGCATGGGCCTGCCTGTCTCGCCGATGTGAACGTGTCGCTCGAGCTCACTGTGGCTGGGATGAGCATCGGCAGGCGTCGGGCCAAAGTTGGAGGAGCACGAGTAGCACGAGCACGAGTCTGTATAATACATGTAGATAGCACAGACACCAATACCCATAACCACAAGCACAATGAGCACCCATGCCCATGCCGGGATCACCCCATCGGACGGCCTACTCTGATCAGCCTCATCCGTAGTCGAGCCACGGGTGGCTGACGACCGGGCCTGGCAGCAGGCAGCCAAGGCGAGCACCAGCAGGCCAAGGCCCACCAGACGTAATGCTACCCTTGGCATGGGTGCTACTACTACAACAACAAAGATGGATGATGAAGTGGAGTCTGAGTGTAGTCTTCTTCTCGGTCCGGACCTCTACCTCCCCCCCCCCCCCCTCTCTTGTGCCGCCATGGTCTCCCTCTGTCGCCTGGCGTGCTCCGTTTGCTGCCGCACTTTGCGTCCCCCGCTTCTGCCGATCCATGCCTTATCAAGCGCGATAAGAACAGATCCGGCGGCTGGAGCAGGTGGCGAGTGCGAGCCAAAGCATCAGGTGTGCATGCTTGAGCATTTCTGGCTGACTGGCCGAAGCGCTGTCGTCAGCTCTTCCCCACGCGATCGTAGCGTAGTAAGAGCTACGCTGATGATCTGCAGACTCATCTTGATCCTGGTATCCGAGTCCGATGGCCAAGGTGGATGCCAAAACGGCAGCTGAGAGGAAAGCATCATACCAGCCATCGTTGAGAGCTGGGAGCGTCTTGTCACTGCCCGCCGCCCGACCTTGTGCTGGACGGCGCCATGGCCAAGACGGCCACCAGCAGGGCCACCACTCGACTGTGAAGCATACGAAAAGAAGTGCGTGAGATGGAGGAAAGAAGAGGATACGGACCTGTGACTGTGAGCGAGTGGGGCGAACGTGTTGTGGTGGAGAGCTTTCCCTGGCGGTCGGTGTATGTGGGTGGCGGAGTGTGGCTGCTCGGTCTGGTCCTGCTCGTCGTCTTCCCTCTGCCATCCACCGGTCTACTGAAGGTCTTCCACTTGCTGGCGGCGGTCATTTTCTTTGGTGCAGCCGGCGCTTCGTTTGTTGGCGCGGCAGAGGGCTTTGAGGCCCGGATCGGGGACAAGCTGCCCACTGGTGGGGTCAAGGGCGAGCTCCGCGTCCACACCTCGCCGCTCCTCGCCCGACTGATGGGCGAGTCGGCATTGGGCGAGCTGCTTGGCTCGGGCCCGCCGCGGGTCTACGTCCAGTCACTGGCAGGCGTCTCGGCTGTCCGGGTCGATGCCAAGGCTGCCGACATCCACTACGGACAGCGCGGCGGCTTCCGCATTGTCGCCGTCCTGGAGGGTGGCATCGTCCTCCCTCTCATCCACGAGTTCCACATGATCCCGGTCGGCCCGTTCAACGATCTTGTCGACGCTCTTGCCGTCGCCTTTAACCTCACTCTCGCCGACCACCGCGAGATCGGTCATGATGCCTCGCCCAACGAGCGCCACGTCCTCCGCGGCACCCTCCACGGTTGGCGCCGCCTCTCCCCGAGCCAGATCCTCGAGCACGCCATGGACGAACATGGCTACTGATAGCATCCCACAATCGTAATATGATACACTCTACACCGCGACACAGTCTGATCCTGTTTCTTTCTCTAGCACTTTGGCGCAAAGCCTGTGAACCTGCCGCAGCCACAAAACAGAGATGGCGCGCATTCGGCTGGTGTGCCGACTCGGCGCGCGCGCGCAACGTGAGCAGCGAGCAGCCAGGTCCGCAAGCAGCCCGCAGCAAGTCCCACTTCTCCCCCACCTCTCTCCTCCCCTCACAAGCTTGACCATGCTGCGGGAGGTGCTGCTTGCGCTTCTGGGCCATGCGGGCGACGTCATTGCGCCCGGACCCGACGGGGTGCTCCGGGTCGTCCCTGGCCTGCCCTTCCTGCACCCGTCCGAGGCAGCTGCTGTGGACAGGCTGGTGGTTATGGGCAGCCACTATGCGTCTCTGAACGGATACTCTGGCCGTGTTCATGCAGCCGAGGGCGCTCGCGACCATTCGTTGCTGGTCTCGGCCTTTGCTGCAGGTGTGGACGAGGTGCTGGATAGATACCGCGCTCACGTGCTCGCGGCAGAGAAGGCGGTCATCGCCGATCAGGGCATGACCCTCGCTCATCTGACGGTCCACTTTGCGGCAGAGGCTCTGACTCTTCCGGCGCTTGCCGGCCTGGCTGCCGTTGTCCACGACCAGCGGCTGGTGGGCGGCCGGCTGCTCGAGGCGGTGTACGAGGCGTCGGTGTCGGGCATTCCCGAGGTGGCCGACATGTTTTCTGGCGTCCTCGCCGCCCTTCATCGTTGCCTGCTGGGCTTGATGAAGGCATGGATGGTTGACGGCGTGCTGGACGATCCGGCGAGCGAGTGGTTCGTGGCGCCAGGCAGCGCACAGACTGTCGACGGTGATGACGACGGTGCCTCGGTCCTCACAAACTGGAACTCATCGTTTACGCTCCGAGTCGACGGGATTCCCAGCTACTTGCCGGCGACGCTGGCGGAAAAGGTGTTGTTTGCCGGCAAGGCCGTCCAGGTCCTCCGCGCCATCCGCCGCCGCAAGGCTCTCGCCGCGCTGCTCGGTGAGTCGTCGGCGGCGTCGGCGTTCCCGCTGCTGCCGTCGGACGCGCGGAGCGTCGACGCGGTGGTAGCCGGCAGCAGCAGCGGCTCTGCTACTGCTGGCAACCAGCCGGCGCAAGCCTTTCGGCTGCTGAGCGATGCCGAGCTGGAGCGGTTTGCTCTCGCGCTGGACGAGCTCGCGCTCGCGCGGACCTTTAAGCTCAGCGCGTTCAAGGCAACGGTAGAGGACATCCGCACGGTGCTGGCGGGACATCTCTTTGACCTCATTGTCCACGAGGCGGATTTGCTCGGCCACATCGGCGCCCTCAAGAACTACTTTCTGCTCGGCCGCGGCGAGCTCTACCACTCGTTCCTGGCGGATGGGCACGAGGTGTTGGCGTCGCCGGTCTCGCCGCTCGGAGCGCACGAGCTGCGGGCCATCTACGTCCAGGCCGGAGCCAAGTCGTCGGCCGACGGTGACCACTTCTTCGAGCATGTGAGCCTGGCGGTCGAGCTCGGCGACGATGAGGCCGCTCGTGGCGGGGGCGGTGAGGGCGGGCCGGACGCGGCGTGGCGGGCGGCGCTGAGCCTGCACTACGATGTGCCATCGCCTGTCCATCTCGTGCTGGATGAGCAGTCCATGGCGCTGTACGGCCAGCTCTTCTCATTCCTCCTCGCCGTCAAGCGAGTCCAGCTGGCGCTGCAAGGAGCGTGGATGCCACAGATGCGGCACAAGAACATGGCTCGGCTGATCGGGAGCTCAGCGCCGGTGCAACGAGTGTGGATGACACGGGCGCGCATGGCGTTTTTGATTGACAACTTGCAATACTACCTCCAGGCTGATGTGCTCGAGGCGCAGCACTCGGTGCTGGTGCAAGCCGTCGAGGCCTCGCGCGACTTTGAGGCCGTCAAGGCTGCCCACACGCGATACATCAACAACCTCGTTGCGCTCGCCTTTCTTCGCATCAAGCCGGTATACTCGACGCTCCTGCAGCTCTTTGACACTTGCATTCAGTACGCGCGGCTGCTGATGACGGCAGCGTCGAGCTCCGCGGCGGCCGGGGCCGGCATTCCGGCCTCGCGCGAGGCGGCGCTCTCCAAGGCCTTTGATCGCCAGTCACACTTTCTCTTCACCGTCCTCTCGGGCGTCAAGCAAGTCCACGCCGCGCCTCATCTCGCACAGCTTCTGCTCCGCATCGACTTTAACCGGCATTTCTCGTCGGCCATGCCGTAGCAGTCACGATGCCCAGCCCGCGGCCGCGAGTTGGTGTAGTAAAGACCGCCGGCTCGAGCCAACGTCCAAGCAACACACACACAGCCAGCCGTTGTACACGTTCAGCCCAAGATTTGCGCCCTTCCATGTCGACCATCAGCATGCCAGATCCATATCGCTCGGCGTGCAACTTGATGCGCCCCGCTAGGCCGTTTCCCGCCCGACGACCGACTTGGCTCGTTAGCAGCCCCGACCGTTGCCCCGTTGGCAACCGACCACCACCGCCACCACCTTTCTTTGCCTTGTTGAGAACAACATGGCCGGTACGTGGAACAAGCTGCGCCTCCCCGTCTCCTATCTTCTCCCACCACCAACACCTTTATTATCCCACCATCCTCCCACTTTCCCTCGTGTTCTACCTCCTCCACCTATTCCCCCTGTCCCCCTTCCCCTTTGGTGGTGGTGGTGGGCTGGTGGTTGATGGCCACTCGCATCGCCCAGTCGCCGTCTCCCCTTTGGCTCGAGGGTCATTTTTTTGAAACCGACTGCGGGAGGGAGGGGGGGGGGGGGGGGGAGGGGGGCTGGTTGAGGACTGGGACTGGGAGAGGAGGACAGAGATAGAAAGGCAGGGTGTCATGACTTATGGTGTGTGTATGGTATGTATGTGTGTTTGTGTGGGGGAATGTGGTTGTGTTTGGGACTGGGCTGGGGGTGGGCAGACAACGCTGCGAACGCGTCCTCGCCGCCGGCTGCTGCTGCTGAGGTCGATTACGACAAGCTGACGGTGAAGGACATCTTTGAGAACCTGACGTACGGGCCTGCTCCCGAGTCTGACGCTGCCTTCCGCGAGTGGGTGGACGAGCACGAGGGCAAGTTTGGCCTGTTCATCAACAACGAGTGGGTGCACCCGGCGGGGGCCAAGTACCGGCCGTCGGTCTGCCCTGCGACTGGCGAGGAGCTGTGCGTGACGTGCGACGGGACGGATGCCGACGTGGACGTTGCGGTGAGCGCTGCGCGGACTGCGTTTGAGTCGTGGTCTGCGCTGGAGCCGCACGTGCGTGCGAAGCACCTGTACTCGCTTGCGCGTCATGTGCAGAAGCACGCGCGTCTTCTTGCCGTGGTCGAGGCGCTGGACAACGGCAAGTCGATCCGTGAGACGCGCGATGCGGACGTGCCGATTATGGCGCGGCACTTTTACACCACGCCGGATGGGCGCAGCTGATGCCGGAGGAGATGGCCGGGTACCGGCCGCTTGGCGTTGTGGGCGCCATCACGCCGTGGAACTTCCCGCTGATGCTGATGACGTGGAAGATTGCGCCTGCGCTTGCGATGGGCAACACAGTGGTGCTCAAGCCTGCGTCGTACACGCGGCTCTCGGCGCTGCTCTTTGCGCAGATCTGCGTGGAGGCCGGGCTCCCGCCTGGCGTGATCAACATTGTGACGGCGTCCGGGCGTGTCGGGTCTGCGCTCGCAGACCACCCGGGCATCGACAAGGTGGCGTTCACCGGGTCGACGCCGATCGGGCGGCTGCTGCGGCGGCGGATTGCGGGGTCAGGCAAGAAGATCTCGCTGGAGCTTGGCGGCAAGTCGCCGATCATTGTGTTTGACACTGCCGACATTGACTCTGCCATCGAGGGCTGCGTCGACGCCATCTGGTTCAACCAGGGCCAGGTCTGCTGCGCGGGCTCGCGTCTGCTTGTGCAGGAGAACATTGCGGCCAAGGTGGAGGCCAAGCTCAAGGCGCGGATGGACCACTTCCGCATTGGGCATCCGCTGGACAAGTGCATCGACATGGGCGCGCTTGTGGACGAGTCGCAGTACGAGACGATTTCGTCGTTTGTGGAGGGCGCGATTGCCGAGGGCGCCAACGTGTACAAGGCCAATGTGCCTGTGCCGTCGGAGGGCTGGTACTGGCCGCCGACTCTCATCACCAACGTGGCGCCGACAAACGCGTGCGTGCGCGAGGAGATCTTCGGCCCGGTCCTCACCATGATGACGTTCCGCAACCCGAAGGAGGCTGTGGCCCTGGCCAACAACACCATGTTTGGTCTCGCCGGTTCGGTGTGGTCGGAGAACATTGCGCTCGCGTCCGAGGTGGCGACGCAGATCAAGGCCGGCACCATCTGGGTCAACTCGCACAACCTGTTCGACGCTGCGGCCGGGTTTGGCGGCTACCGCGAGTCCGGCTTTGGCCGCGACGGCGGCAAGGAAGGGCTGTACGAGTACGCGACGCCGGCCTGGCTCCCGGTTCGCCCGGCGCCCGAGCTCAACTTCCCGGTCTCGGAGGACGACATTGTGTGGGACCTGCCTGCGCCGTCGCGGCCCGCGTCGGTGGCGGCATCGTCGGCCTCGGTCGACCAGGCCATCCTCGGCGTCATGCGCGTCGACCGGACGCAGAAGGTCTTTATCGGCGGCAAGCAGAAGCGGCCGGACGGCCAGTACTCCAAGGCCATCCTCGACCCCGAGGGCGGGCTCATTTCCGAGGTGGCTGACGCCAACCGCAAGGATGTGCGTAACGCTGTCGAGGCTGCGCACAAGGCCGCGCCCGGCTGGAGCAAGCGTGCCGCCCACAACCGCGCGCAGATCTGCTACTTTGTGGCTGAGAACCTCATGCGCCGGTCCGACGAGTTTGCCTCGCGCATCGTCGTCCAGACCGGCCGCTCGCTCGAGTCGGCCGAGGACGAGGTCAAGGCTGCCATTGAGCGCCTCTTCTACTACGCCGCGTACGCCGACAAGTTTGGCGGCACGGTCAAGGAGACTTCGTTCTACGGCGTGACCATCTCCACCAACGAGGCCGTCGGCGTGGTCGGCATTGCCTGCCCCGACGAGTACCCGCTGCTTGGCTTTGTCTCGCTCGTCGCGCCCGCCGTCATCCGCGGCAACACCGTCGTTGTCGTCCCGTCGCAGGCCCATCCGCTCTGCGCCACGGACCTCTACCAGGTCTTCGAGACTTCGGACCTGCCTGGCGGCGTCATCAACATCCTCACCGGCCACCGCGACCTCGTGACCAAGACCCTCGTCGAGCACTGGGACGTCGACGCTATGTGGTACTTTGGCTCCGCCGAGGGCTCCCGCAACGTCGAGTACTCGGCTGCCAACAACATGAAGCGGACTTGGGTCAACTACGGCGACTTTACCCGCAACTGGATGGACAACAAGCAGGGCCAGGGCGTCGAGTTCCTCTTCCACGCCACCGAGCCCAAGTCCATCTGGCTTCCCATCGGCGAGATGTAGAGTCCTGCTCTCTCTCTCTCCAATCTAAACTCACGTCTGTGCGGCAAAGCGAGCAAGCAAAGCACTCCCCCGCCCCATGCCCGATGCTGTGACTAGCCTGGCTCGCGTGTCGTGTCCATGACGTGTTGGTGATTGCGACAACTGCCAGCCAGCCAGCCAGCCAGCCAGCCAGCCAGCCAGCCAGAGTGCCATGCTAGCAAGTGCGGCCTGGACATAGTACGAGCTGACGGCCAGAGGGACACACCCGTCTCCATTCACACGCACTATGGCCTACCAAGTACGAAGCCAGTAGCGGTGTCCAGTGGGCATACCCTTCCTGGTTGCCTTGGCCCTGCCCCCCACCCCCTTGTTTCCCCCCTTGCCCACCACCGCCACCTTCCGATCACCCTTCCCCCCTCCCCCGACTTCCCGCCCACCTTCCCCACCCTCCGCTTCCCCAACT